GTGCACGGCTGTATCAAATTCGGGCTCGTCGAGTCGGCATCAATCAGATACGCAATGTGTACATGCCAATTTGGATGGAAGGAGATGAGCAAAGGCAAATATGGGAGCATTTCGAGGACATTTTGTTCAAGGATCAACGAAAACTTGATCAGCCCGCTACAGAATAGATATATTGGTCTACATACTTTCCATAGTCTAGGGTGGGTATTCAAGAAAGTAAGAGGCGAAGGCGAGAGACACAATACTGGTAAGAAAGATAAGAGAAAGATGGTTCAATAATGTAATCTAAATTCTAAGCATCAGTGTTGGTGTCATCACGAGGAAGACCCTCTTCATCAGAAGGAGGGGCCCGAGGAGCACGGGTTGGGGTGTTGTCAATGGTAAACCGAACAGCAGGGGAAGTGTTGCGATAAAGTGTGGTGAGGGGATCTGTGGGGTCATCATCATCACTCCCCCCGGCCCAAGTGACATGACGCCCACCATCAGGATAAAGAGTTTCAAGGCGAACACGATGGCTGGGACTAGTATACCAGGGTGTATCACGACGATTGCTGAAGTGTGGCGAGCGGCGAGAGGTGCGATGTGGAGTCCTGAGGAGATGGTGCTCTCGACGGCGACGAGAAGCTGATGGGCTTTCAAGCTCGTGTCGAGTGAACTGGCGGGTAGCAGCTTGGTAGGGATGGCGATCACGATCTGCATTGTCGTTACTGCGGCGAAAGAGGGACATCATCTCGATACGATCCGCCTGACGTTCCGCTTCATATCTTGCTCGTTCGGCCTGCTGGAGCTGGGTGCGTAGGCTTTCAATTGTGGCATGTGCATCGCGGAGTTGTTGGCCCATTGTGAGCAGCTGAGTCGTGTGCAATGAACGCGAAGCCCGATCCTCGTCGCGGGCAGCCTGAGTTGCGGGATCAAGAGCAGTAGAGATTGAGGACAGTAGCTGCTGTGCATCGTTCCGGGATGAATTCCGAGCACGAGGCTGAAGAATCTTGTCAGCTGGGGGGCGGCGAGCCATGGGCCCACGCTCTTCAGTGTCCTTCTTGATCTTCGACTTGGTTGCACGCTGCCGTTGGGTGTTGGTAGAGTCCTTGCGCGGTGGGTCGGCATCTTCTTTGTCGGTCTCGTGGTCCTCATCCTCGTCCTCAGATCCAGAACTGTAAACGAATCAAGACGGAAGGAGTCCAAGATAGAATCACCACATACCTGAGTTCGACAACATCGACAATCTCCGAGTCATCCAAATCTCGCGTCTCGGCCTTGCTGTTGATGAGACTCTCAATGTAATGAGAGCGCTCGACGTAGGGTGGGCATTCTGCATCTCCTGTTGGCTTTGTGGCACGAACATACTGAACAAGAGATTAAACACTGCTACATCGCAAATTGAATGGAGCCACACCTGTTTGTATTTCAGCTCTAAGGACTTAACCGTCCTCTCGGGCCGTCCACAGCTGTTTGCCCACTCATTGTACGCAGCGCCAACGGTGTTCCACCCATATCCACCGGTGGGGAGGTGGTCTTCAAGAAGGTCAAGCAATTGGTCGATGTCATCGTCATTGTAGTTGACAGCCCCAGCAATACGGCCACCACGTTTAACACGTTTGGCAGCCGGTTCGTTGTCAGCATGACCAGCTGCCTTCCGCTTGCTGACAGTCGCTGGGGTGTCGGCTTTCTGTTTACCCTTGCCCTTTGAGGGAGCAGGGCGGCGGCTGCCGGCCACCTTTGAGGCAGGTTTTGCAATCTTTGGGAGCAGCTTGTGAGCGGGTGGAAAGTCGTCATCGTCATCCTCAGGGAGGGGTAAGAGAGCTGGGTCGATCGCGGGTTGGCGAGATGGGCCAGCAATGGGGGGCGGAGGGTGGTATGGTCCATGCGGGGCATCGTTCGGGCCAGAGGTGGGTGGGTAAGGGTTCTAGATTCGAGAGATCAACACAACTGTGAAACAACGCAGAGTAACATACGTACCGGTGCATATTGAGTGAGATATCCTGGAGGAGGGTACTGCGGCATGGCATGTGGTGTGTGGGGGTGCTGAAAAAGTAGTAACCTGTTAGCTGTGGTGAATAAAGGAAGGTGAAAATACATACGGATAGATTCGGCCAGTCCATCCCCCCATAGCGCTGGTAAGGCCCTGCTGTCGGGTCATTCCAACTGACAGGTTGACGGGTGTTGGCGCCGGCCTGGCTGGGGTTGGTAGTTCCACCAGAAGGGGGACCAGCTGGGTCGACTGGGGGGTTGTTGGTTTTGGCGTTGGCATTGGTGCTGGCGTTGGTGTTGGTATTGTGAGACATGTTCGCAGAGAGGGATCGACAAGTCAGTTAGCAAGGGAATGCTGGAGAAAAGGGAGAGAAATGCACCTGCTTTTAAACCTTTTCACCATTCTTCGCAACGCCCTTGAGCAGAATTTGGACAAACACGAATACGCCACTGGGACCAGGAAGGGCGCATTTTTGATGCTTGGGTCACTATGATCAGGTACTCAGACACGACGTAGGTGATATAAATGGTGAGTTTTCATGAATACGCCTGCGTAGATGTTCAAACTACACGAAAAGCGCTAAATTGAGGGGGTGAACAAGAGGAACCAAGGGATGCTAACCGTTCACTTACCAGCCTCAAATCCCCTTTCCGTGACATTTATTGTGTATTTCCCATCAATACGACGCGTTGTAAACCATCAAAAAAAGCCCTAGAGGAAAGGGCATGTCTACAGGGCAAGGACGTGTCTGAGTGTCCTGATCAGAACGCGTCATCTAATGAGCGCGTCTGCCAAGCACAAAAGCGCGGTGATCGTGATGATGATGTAGAGCGTGGTCTTGTATGGCCGCGGAGTTGAATTTTCGGTCTGGAATGCATTTGGGAACGGATTTGGAGTTGAGAGGGGGGTAGGGAGGGTCCTTCCAAGCGAAGGTTTGAGACGAGGTCGCTTTGACAGGTCGGACCTTGAATCTGAAAGATTTTGATGTGCCTGGCTGTCGGCACCTCGGCTTATGAACTTAGAACACGCATCTGGAATTGAAAGCGTTCTAAATCGTTAAGGAAAGTCATCCATTGACCGTTTATAGACTGTATTTGGAATAATAAACCAAAATAGTCTCAAGCCCTTTTTGCAGCACTTGACCACGACCACAAATCGCCAACGGAGCGGTATACACGTTCCGAACGACCAATCAGAGAGCTTTCCCACTTTTGACGATTGTTGAACGCGTTCGTCACGATATTCATACCTGTCGCTCTCCTTGAAAAATGGCGACAAGACGGCGAATCGGTGTCAGCATTGCGACGACGGAGGCTGCCCGGCGACAGCTTATGCAGCCTGTCCCATGCTGGGAAAAACTGTGGGTGACACCAAGCGGTATAACCTCAGGTTCCTCGACGTTGAAGGTCTACAAGTGGGTCAAAACAGAGAAGGTCCAGGTAAGCATCTCCTTTCACCATTCAAAACCTTTTCTCACAATTTCCACAGCAATTCAGCGACGACGAGGGCGAAGTCGATGAACCTTTGGCGCCCCTACCAGATGAACCCGAAGTTGTAGAAGGAGATGATGACCTTGAGCAGGATGAACCCAAAAATGAAGCTACCCAAGTCGTCAAGGATCTTGACATGGACACAGCTCAAGATGAACCTCCTTCCAAACTGCCCTCGCCGAAACCCCAACTCATGATAGTGCAATCGGGGTCTGAACTGGAGTCACACAGTCATACGTCAGGGTTGGATGCCTCCCTCAACCTGCTGGACACAGCAATGGACGTCGGCGACGAAGAAGGGAAGAAGGGAGGAGACGACAATGGCCTTGAGCTCGACATTTCTGGACTCGGGCCGGATGGCCTGCAGCTCGAAGGAGCGCATAACCTTTCGCAACTCGACGGACCAGACGGGCTAATGGGAGGGTCATTGATGGACGGCACCACCGACCCCTTCGCCGAAACTTCATGATGTACCCTCTTCCCTTTACTAGGCCTACTCCCACGCGTCAGACTGGGTGTGTTGTTCTGTAATTTTTAGTCCACGTATTCTTCTCCGCGATTTGACTTCTTTCATAAATGCAGCGACTATCGATAGCATAAGCCCAACCACCGTCGATATCCCGCTCCATACTCCAGCACGCCAACTCTTACGCGTATCCAATGGTTCAGGGATCAAACATTTGCGTTCAGCACTTGCATTCACCAGGCTTGCATGCGCAGCTTTAGATCGCAAGAATGCCGTTAGCCTTCAAGTCAAAGCCTAACTGCCAATCAAAGAACCCACCTGGTGCAAGTGCAGCTTCCGCAGCCCGAGTTCGATTTATTCTTGGGAGGGTCTTGCATGCACTCGCAGCTAGAGGTGCCGCAGCCCTGAGCTTTGATGGTGCAGTCAGGCTGATCAAAATGTCATTAAGGCGGAAGATGCGTGCTATCGATGACTTCACCATTTCGATATAGATCAGTAGATATGAACTTAAGATGGGAGTGGCGGGAGAGGGCGGGTTAAGGACTAATTCCACGCTTGGAGGTACTTATACTCTCTTGGACCTCTTATCGTTATCTAAAGAATCATTGCTAAATCCAGTTGATTTGTTCAAGCAAATAAATCCGCCCTCGATGACTCTGGACACAAGACAAACACCCCAGAACGACTAGTAGAAGAGAGGCAGGTGCGCAGCAGGAAGCACCACGTTTACGTGGACAGGTGACCGATGAACGTTAACCGTGGGATCTGGTGCCAAACAACGGTACTATAAAGATGGGCGACGAACGAGCGCTTATCCTTGACTAGAACTTGACAGAACCATTCGCCAGTGCATCCAACTGACGACTAGCTCTTCTCAAGTCCTGCACTAAGTTCGTCATCATGACTCTTCGACGTGTCATCTTTGACGGCTACCGCAATGTATCCTTCCTATCTCTTACACTTGTGACGTCCACATTCGCCTTGCGGCCAGAGTCGTCCATCATACCAACCATCGCCTTACTCTCAGTCCTCCTACTCTACTCACCATTTTTGTTCAGGTCTCATGATCCGCAAGGGTGGGCCAACATCACAGCAATCTTGACGGCGCTTTCCATCGGCGGAGCAACCTCCCGCGTCCATGCTTCTCTCGAGGCCTTATCCTCCCCCAGCCAGTCTTTGACGACTTTATTCTTCATATCTACCTTTCTTTCCAGCCTCTCACTTGGTGCATTATATTGCGGAACGAAGCTTAACACCCGCCTGTCTGGCCCATGGTCGCAGATCACCCTTTTCCCAGCCATATGGTCGACTCTTTGGTGTACCGTCTCGTACCTCAGTCCGGTAGGACATTTGTCGACCTGGAGTATCACAGACAACACGGACGCATACAGCTGGCTCATACCGTTCCTCGGTCCGGCCAGCAAGAATTGGATCATAGCAGCATGGGCAGCCATTATTTCCCAGACGCTCGGGGATTGGTACATTGGTCCTCAAGAGGAGGAGAACCTCATCGTGACGTCTCCTGGCGCGAAGAGCGCGTGTCGAGATAGTTCTTCGTCCAGGAAACTTCTTGCCGCCTTCTTGGTTGCTCTTACCCTTCCATCCTTTTATCTTCCTCGCCTACCCCTTCCAGTATCGACTATCGACGTGGCATCGCCATTGACAGTTGCTTGTGTCGTTCCTCCCTACCAACGCTACAAACACCACTCGCCGACTATCGATGATTATATTGAAGAAAGCAAGAAAGTGCGGAGCGCAGCGAAGGTGATCCTCTGGCCAGAGGGCGCAATTATCTTCAATTCGACTGCCCAGAAAGAGCAGGCTTTTAGTGAAATTCGAAAGAAAGTCGACGGCCCCTACGTCGGAGTCTCCTTTGAAGAGATCGTCAGCGATCCTACCGATCCAACGGGCAGGCATGCCCTAACCCGAACTGGCATTGCTATTATTTCACATTATAGTCCAGAGCCATATCTGCAGTATTATAAACGAAACCTGGTGCCGTGTAAGTGTTCTCCAAATCTGGTGTGTTCCCTCTAAATGCCAACACATTTTCTCGATAGTTGCTGAATCATATCGCCTGAGGGCCGACAGATCTCCTCCGGAGATATTTGAGCTCCCTTTGGCCCGCCCAGGGGACTATATACCGAAACCTGAATGGTCTTCAGACCCCAACCGTACACGCCCTATTCCCATCACGGCTTCCATTTGCCTCGATTTTGCCACTCCTTCGCCTTTTGCTGCATTGGAATCCCGGCCTGCACTCATTCTCGCTCCAGCACGAACCTGGGATCGAACAGTTGGATATGCCATGTGGCTTCAGGCAAAGCAAAGGGCTGAGGAGCTAGGAAGCATGGTTCTCTGGTGCGACGGCGGTGACGGTGGTGTGAGCGGCATCGCTGGCCATGGCTTCAACGATGTGGCACAAGTTGGATCTGGCACCTTCATTCGAACGATCGGAATTGAGTACCCATTCAACACAACTTCAACATCATTCGCTCGCTTTGGGGACTCCGCGCTGATTCTGTTCTGGCTTCTCGTGGTGCCCGGAAGCATTCTCCGGGGTGGCAGGAGGTTCAGGACCAGCTCGTTCAATCCTCTCTCGTGGTTCCACGCTATACGGAGACCGAAACCACAAGCGCAGAGCCAGCCTCAACCAAATCTGGTCGATTTGTAAATTGCAATAGGTTTCCAGTTTCTTCTCACAGACCGGCGCCTTCTTCAATTGTACTGCTCTTCTTTACTTTTTGTACATGAAAAAAAGCGTAGTAAGAGGATGTATCCTAGGTCTGGCAATGTCGCTCTTCAGATGCATTTAGTCGGGTCGATAATTTGTGGAAGCGAACACGACGACGGGACTGTGCTTCAAAACGATGTGACTTTTCCTGGAAGGAGCTCCTTCCGGAAGTCATGATCTCCTCGAGGCACCTTTGCCTGCGGGGCACGAGTCTGCCTTGCATTTTCTGCGCCTCATCGACGTCAAAAACCCACGGCTCGCAGACCTTTCATCTCCTTACAAGTTCATCCAGAGAACTTGTCTAAGTCACGACGTCAAGCCCCAGCAACGCATCCCAGTCCTCAAAGCTTGCTCAAGGCCTCCGTGGCTCTCTGCGCAATCTAGGCTGGAAGTCATCTCACTCTACTGACCTCAGGCGTCGGGTATTTCATAGGAAACGCCTTTTCTCTCGCGACCCTTCTCCCAAGGACGACTGGAGCGACGACTTCCTGGTAATCACCCGAGAGGACGCTGATCTTGAACGCTCGGGAGAAGAAGCTGCTGATAACATCCTCACCATTAGCGCCGGCACTCCCCCCGAGCCTCTCATTCGACCTCAGGACAGATCTGTAGGGGAGACGGTCGTCGAATTTCCTCGATCAACAGCGATACCTCAACGTCTTCTGCCTCCGCTGATCATTCCAGATTCTATCATCCATCGAGTCTCATCCTATACCGCCAAGACACTCACAGCATCGGAAAGTTCGCCTACCCCCACATTCACGGAATTCACACATATCACTTCGAGCTTCCCTTTACCACCCAACCATATACCTGTGCCGCGCAAGCCATTGCCAGAAACACCGGAAACAAGTGAGCACAAGAACCTATTTGTTGTCGGTAGCCTTGAATGAATCTGACCGTTTCGTGATGCAGGCTTTCCTCAGACATCGGGCACTCTTCCTATAACGCCGTCTATCGAGAACACGATTATCTCACCTGCCTCTGGAGCCAGTCCAAGCAGCGTTGTCTCTTTCCAACGGATCAAATCTCGAGCAAAGGATATTCTCCGCATTCCATCTATTCTTTCTTGGAAAAGCAAATTCTAGTCTTGCACCAGTCTACACCTATCAATCAAGCCAACCCAGGTTCAAGTATCAACTATGGAGTACAGCGGAAAGAGGACAGATGTGGTGGATTTCGGTGGGGAGATGGATTATTCCCATGTGCAGTGGTTCCAAGATCGGCCCCCTCGACCTACGGTACACATTTATTGATCTTGGTCTCCGGCTCGTTGAGTAACCATTTCCTTCTAGCCGGTTCCTCAACCAGCACCTCAACCACAATACCATCCTTCACCGCATGTTATCGAACGGAATGAGGCGTTTGTATATGCCCTCAGCGCTGCACCCAACATTCTATATCAACGCTACAAACAATTTGGACAGGTGCGAAAGCTCTCGCTTATGGTTGAGACCTCTATTGACGCAAGTTTCAGTTGGGCGTCTTAGGCTGGTGTTCGGAGTTCAGTGAACTCATTGACAACCTCAAGGCGCTGGGGTTTGAGGGAAACATGTTCGTCGCAACCAGAGAACAAGCCTTGAAGACATGCGAACAGCTTCTGCAGCTCAAGTTGGAAGACGTCAAGATGCAGCTCATTATAATGTACCTTTCAACCCAGGTAGCAAGACTTCGCCGGTTCTTGGACGGTGATCGTATTTGGGACGACTACCCTGAGCCTCAGTTTCCATTAGAGCCGAAATACCAGCAATTATAGGATGGATTTCTCTACCGTACATTAGTAGTTCCTTTGCTTCTCTTATGCGTACATACATGCCAATGAACATCGCTGCAACTTTGAATCCCAATAAGATGATGCGAAATGGGATGAAAATCGTGGGCAGTCCGTGGTGGTGCATTACAAAATGTGAAAGCGAAATAGATATAATATGTATATATAGTGGTAAAGAGATAGAAGAAGGCGATGAACAAGGTACAAGAGGTCCTAATGTGTGGCAGAAGGGTGTTTCCAATAGTCATTTGAATGTTTCTTGCTCGGTCTCATGGAAGACAAAGGTGCAGGCTCGTAGGGTGATTCTCGAGGCGGCTCTGGAAGAGGATTGTTAAGTGGTCGTGGCATTGATGCCGTGATTCTATAATCGGATGGGGAGGGTGCTGGGTACGTCCGATAAACTGGTTCGTAATCGTAAGTCGAAATGGAATCGGGAATGCTGGGTATAGAGGCAGGTGAGGAATATATGATAGGGGGAGGAGCCGTTGGCAAGGAGTGGTATATTTGCGAACCTCGAGTTTGGAATGGAGGCTGAACAACGTAGGCTGTGTGGCTTGAGCCGTAGATAGCGCTGTGTGTTGGCGCATCGTCGCTCAAAGAACTCGAGGATCCAGGGCCACGGATGAAGTTCGTCCTCGGCGCATTCAGCTCTGTTCCATACATACTGCGCGCCTTCCAGAGGCGCTCCATGTCCCAGGACTCTTTAGCTCGTATTGCCTCCATCTCTGCGGCGGATGGGAGCTCTGATGTAGGTCTCACAGTAATCGAGGGATTTCTTCGAAGTGGGGCGGGGGGCTCTGGGGGTGTAGGAACAAGAATAACAGGAACGGGAGCAGGTGTAGCGACAGACATTTGAATCGGGATAGGTTGTGGTCGGGACGAAGAGGGAATATCTGGAGACCTCCGCTCTAGATGCTCTTCACGTTGACGACTGCTTTTGTAATCGTCATGAGTACGAGAGCGGTCTCCGTTATGACGAGTGGTGGTTTGACCGCTGGAGCGTTTGGGGGATTCTTCGTGGACGTAAACAATTTGCTTGGATGATCGATAGGATGAATGCTCGACGTGTTCAGGATCGACTTTAAACTTTGAGTCCCGGCGACGACTACTATCGTAATCCTTCGCCCTATGGTCGTATTCTTTGGCTTGGTGTTCAGTATCCTTCGTTGATCGGTAGCTTGGATCTCGAGGCTGGGGCTCGTAGCCTCTGGATCGGTGTTCGTAATCTAGGTCGTGATCCCTGGAAGGGCGGTCATAATCAATAGACCTGTGTTCGCGTTCGCGTCGTCGCTCTCTTGCGCGTTCCTTCTCGCGTTCCTTCTCTCTCTCCCTCACTCTCTCTTTTTCCCTCTCTCGTTCCTTTTCTTTCTCTCGTGCCTGTCTTCTCTCCCGCTCCTCCTCTCTTTCTCGTGCCCGTCTTCTTTCCCTCTCCTCTTCCCTTTCCCGCTGGCGCCTTCTCTCCCGCTCCTCCTCCTTCTCCAGTTCACGCTTCCTCTCCCGCTCCTCTTGTTTTTCCCGTTCCCGTCGTCTTGCCCGCTCTTCTTCTCTTTCCCGTTCCCGTCGCCGTTCCCTCTCTCTTTCATTCTCCCGTTCACGCCTCTCACGGTCTTGTCCCCGTTCTCTCTCCTTGGAGCGGCGTTCTTGGTCTCTGGAACGAGAGGACTTGTCCTTCTTCACATCGATCGATTCTACAACTTCCCACTGCTGTCCAGCAGCAGAGATTGTCTGCCCCGAAGCATAGACATTTCCAGAAGAGCTCCTTACTAGCTTGAACATCTCCGTCTGGCGAGTAGGTGTTGTAGTGGTCGGGCTAACTTCCTGTTCGCGCTTTTCCTCGTATAGGCTCTTCGGTGGCAGGGTGGGAGGAGTCTGGTCAACTGAACCATTGAGTGACAACCGGTGGTCGTACGGTGTTGGAGGGTTAACTATCATGGAAGAGGTCGAAAGTGGAGAATCTTCGTAGGAGGGCCCAAGATACTGTACACCATTGGCACCTTGAGCTGGAAAAGGGACTGCATACTGATTACTAGGGAATGGAACTTGAACAGGCGCCGGTGTTAGTGCTGATTCGGATCGAGTATGAGAGCGGTCCTTGACGGTATGTTGACGAGAGGTAGACGTTGAAGCCTCGGGCGTCCGCTCGCGGGTGTGAGTAGGGGCCGGCGCTCGCACTGTAGGAGTACGTTCGGGGGCAGAGGAGACACCAACAGTTGCCGCGTTCGAAGATGAAGAATCCTGTCGCTTGTGCTTTTGCTGCGAGCTTGTCCCCTTCAAAATTTCATTGTGACCACGGGCTTGAACTGGAGGTGATCGAGTTCTAACGGGATCATCAGACGACGACGACGACACTTCCTTGCTGGGAGAAGGAGTCGACTTCTTCTGAGAGGCTGACCGCTTGGAATTTTCAAGAACCGTTGAGGTCTGTATTGGGGACAAAATCCGGCTGGGGACATCAGAGGTGTGGTTGCTTGGAGTGGACCCTCTGGGTTTGGAAGGACCCGCCTGTGGTTGAGAAGAATCCCGCCTTTCAAGCGACGGTCGTTTTTCATCAACAGGAGAGTGTGTCAGAGTGCGGTCAGGGAGTGGACTCTTGGGATTGGGAGTTGGCGGGGGCAAGGACTTGTCGACGTTCCAAGGAGTCTCCAGATGGAAGTCCGACAATGCCAGTTGGGAGAATTCGGGGGTAGCCAGTTGAGGCGGAGGTAACGGCTTGTCGACACGTAAACGTGCCTCAGTCACCGAAAGTGGTGGAGGAAGGACTGGTTGGACCCCTGGAGGGTGACTCTGAACAGGCGGCGCTGGCAAGGGCTGTTCTTTGGGCGGAGGGCGCTCATTATCCCCCTCTGGAGGTACGGGCTCGGTCAACTCTATCGATTTCTCCGGTGGCGGTGGTGCTTCCTCTAAATCAACCTTGCCGTCATCTGGTAGGTCAGGGTTAGCAACAGTCAGTCTACCCATAGAGTAAGGAACTTCTATGGAAGCCACGGAGGTACGGTCTGCTCGTGGTGCTGACTCCACAGGCTGGGGTTCGAGTACTTGATCCACAGGCGGTGGAGGAACGCGCTTCACAGAGTCGCGATGAGGCTTTTCTGGAGATACCCTTCCGCGATCCAAACCAGAGTCGAGCACATTAGTATACGCAGAAGGATCTTGCCCTGGGGAATAGTGCCAGGAGTCGATTGCACTGCTAGATGCCTCATTGTCCGAAGATCTCTTCAAGATGCTGAACTTTTTGACAAGTCGATTCAACATGCTTCCTCGCTTCTCTTTCTTCGATGTCACTGGTTGCGACATCATGTATTGGGTCTGCGGAGGGGCAACAGACATGCGTTTTGGCAAAACGTTCGACTGTGAAGAATCGGTGTCTGGAGAGGAGGTGGGTGTAGGTCGCTCAAGCGGCGTCGGCGGCGCGGAGGTCGCTTTCCTGTCAACTTCTGGAGGCTGAGATGGGAATATACTCTCAACGGCAGGTGTCCGGCGTTTGCTGAGCTTTCTGGGAATGTGAATCTCGCGCTGAGAAACAGGTAGATGGACAGCAGAGGACGATTGAGATAACGGGGAAGGTATGACTGATTGGTGACGGTTTTGAGCTGCCGTCATGCTTGCACGTCTTGGTCTGGGTACCTATGCATAAATGAAGTTAATTGCAGTGAGCGGAATAGCTTTTAAAAGAACATACTTCGCGGTCAGCAGAGGCAGCTGGTGTTTGGAAGCAATCATAAGGGGATTGGTGATGCCAGGTGCTACCCCAGGGGTCCGACACATCGAGGAGATCGACATTATCTGGTGTTGTCTGCGATGTTTTACGGGACCTAGGCTTGCCACCGTCCATGACACGCGTCTGCGACGAGGCGGGTGTATGTGATGGAGAATGGGAAGGCGTACCGCTGGGTCCGGCGTCATCGTCGTGGCGTTCTGGTGAAGAGGAGGTGCCAATGGGAGGAAAGGACGGCGAGAAGAACGTTGGGGGTCGCATCGACGGTTTTATTTGAGAGGGCGGAATAAGATGGTGGTTCTTGTACCATCGTGGTCCGAGAGGATTGTGAAGCTTATAGGAAACCTTGAACGCGGGAGCTGGGACCGCCGACCACGCGTCGTTGCCCGTCCAAGGCGGCGACTCTCCCGTGTCAACTATGACAGAGCGCGATGTGGTGAGCTGCGGGCCAGAATTATGTTGTTCGCCGCCTCTTTCCACCCAACCACCGTCCCCGTGATAGCCCCCAGCCTGCAAGTCTCCAGTAGATGAATTCGTATGCAACTCGACTGGTGGGTGGATTGAAGGGGCAGTAGGTGAACGTTTCAATGATTTGCGAGACCATATCGACGTGCTAGAGTTCGACTTTCGCTTTGACATTTTGTGTTCGAGCGTCTCTCTGCGCTCCATATCATCGTAGAAGGCCTGGAGGTCCTCTGGATGCGGGGATTCGGGGCCGTGGGCCTGAGTGCGGGGAGAAGGCGGTGAGTTAGGCGTAATCGGAACGGTTAATGAAAGTGAAAGAAAGAAGAGGCACCTCTGCATAGGACTGGGCGACCTGAACTGGGATGCGAGTATAGGCCATGCCCCCTTGAACGGGGGAGGGTATCGTTGACGAAGGACGTAAAGTCGAACTAAGGGCAGTAAAGTGCCAAGCCGGAAATCTGGTGGCACGTGCATTCCTGCAGGTCCGGCGAAGAACACCGCCGAACGCTGCAGCCCACCAGAGCCCACCACCAGCTCCGATCCACCTCGGACGACGACAACGACGAGGACAAAGCCGTATTGTTCTCATTAAGCGAACTCCTCGTTATGCTTCAATTTGGAAGCACCCTTTACCCCACACGCCGCGTGTCGTTGAATTCACCCCACATAGCATGAAGAACACGTCCCAGACCCTGTACAGCTTCTAGATGCGACCATCCCTATATCTGCAAGATTGTCATAAAAGAAGCCCGCGCAGAACGTCGAGTCTGCTAGGGCCTTGAAATTCTTCGGTGTCGTCGTGTCGAATTGGGTTGAGGCTGCGTGATCGAGCCAATTGCCCAATCGGGGCTTGTTTCAAGATTTTCATCTTATCATGTCCGTTCGAGTGTTGCTTCTGGGCGGTGGAGGCAGGGAGCACGCTCTTGCATGGAAGCTGGCCCAGTCTACCCTCCTTGAACACACTTATGTCTGTCCAGGCAATGCAGGAACCAGCCAGGAGCCCAAAACCACAAACATCACAGATATCCCCCCCGATGACTTCCCCAGGCTGGTTCAGTTTGCAGTCGAGAACCAGGTATGTCCAGCATTCACAAAAGCAATGATTCTTTGCACACATGTCCAACAGGTGAATCTTGTCCTTCCTGGTCAGGAACAACCTTTGGTCGATGGCATTGAAGGTTTCTTCCGCAAAGGTGCGTTGCCTCAATTCTAATCCAATCATCGTCTTTCACTGAAGCTTTGGCAGTTGGTATCCCTGTTTTCGGTCCCAGTGCACTCGCGGCTAGAATGGAAGGCTCGAAAGCCTTTTCAAAGGACTTCATGGCTCGACACAATATCCCAACCGCCCAATACAAAACTTTCCAATCCTCACAAGTCGACCAAGCAATCGAATATGTCAAGACTTGCGGACACCGGGTAGTGCTTAAAGCAAGCGGACTGGCTGCTGGAAAAGGTGTTCTCATACCTGAGACTACTGAGGAGGCCGTCACAGGGTTGATCGAGATAATGGTGGCCAATGCTTTTGGAGACGCAGGTCTGTCAGCAGTTATCTTTTCATTGTTTATCAACCTCATGCGCCTTCTCCAGGAAACGAAGTTGTCGTCGAAGAGCTCCTGACTGGTCCCGAAATATCTGTATTGGCGATATCAGATGGATACTCTATCTTTACCCTCCCTGCTGCCCAGGATCACAAGCGAATTGGTGAAGGGGACACTGGGCCTAACACAGGAGGAATGGGGGCATATGCGCCAGCGCCGGTGGCGACGCCTGAAATATTGCACAGGATCATGAAGGAGGCGCTACGGCCGACAATTGACGGGATGAGAAAAGAAGGTGCGTCGGTCGAACGAAAGCTTTTTGGACACTGCTCTCATTTCTCTCAAGGCTTCCCTTTCCTCGGAATGCTCTTCACTGGATTCATCCTCACACCTTCGGGTCCAAAGGTTCTTGAATACAACGTCCGTTTCGGAGACCCGGAGACAGAGGCTCTCATGCTTCTTCTGCACGAAGATGTGGACCTAGCCGCCCTGTTGCTTGTCAGTCGTCGCTCCATCCCTCCTACAGTTCCTTGCTAACGTGTGGATAGGCCTGCGCTGAATACCGCCTAGATTCAGTACCCATAAAATTCCAGGACGGTATCGCTGTCACAGTTATACTCGCCTCGGAAGGCTATCCCAGAAGCTACCCGAAAGGCAAGAAAATTACAATCGGCCAGGTGCCTTCAAGTAAGCTGTGTATTCTAGGTGACGATCCGGTTTCTTATCAAGCCTTTAGACGTCGTGGTCTTCCACGCCGGTACAAAAAACGCGGGAGAGGACATTGTTACTGCCGGCGGGCGTGTCCTAGCTGTCACCGCATCTGCCCCTACTCTAGAGGAGGCATTAAAAGCGGCGTATACTGGTGTTGACCAGATCGACTTCGAAGGCAAAACATTTAGACGGGACATCGCTCACAGGTCTGTCGATCTTGCACCATGCATCCACGTTCAATACAATAACGACTCCCACAGAGCACTGGCCGCGAAGTCAGAAAAATCGGGTGGCCTGACTTACGCTCAAGCCGGCGTTTCTGTGGATGTGGGTAATGCACTGGTAGAGGCTATCAAGCCTCTCGTTCGCGCCACACGGCGGCCAGGTGCAGATGGAGAGATCGGTGGATTTGGTGGTGTCTTCGACTTGAAGGCTACCGGTTTCAAAGACCCGGTGCTGGTCAGTGGGACTGATGGTGTTGGCACGAAACTGAGACTAGCTGTTGACGCGGGCATTCACGACCTTGTCGGTAAATGGGCAGGTCCTTCTATCTATTCTCCTGGCTTAATCTCTTCTCAGGCATCGATCTCGTCGCCATGTCGGTGAACGACCTCCTCGTGCAAGGTGCTGAGCCCCTTTACTTTTTGGATTACTATGGATGTGGGAAGCTCGACGTGTCAGTTGCGACCCAAGTTGTCAAAGGTATCGCCGAAGGCTGCAAGCAGGCCGGATGTGCCTTGATCGGCGGCGAGACTGCTGAGATGCCGGGCATGTATGCTGCAGGGGACTACGACCTCGCAGGGTTCGCTGTTGGGGCTGTGGAACGGGACCAGATCCTTCCTCTCCCAAACATAGTAGCTGGCGATGTCGTCCTTGGTGTTTCTTCATCTGGCTTGCACTCGAACGGCTTTTCCCTGGTTCGCAAGATCATTGCACGTTCCGGCCTGTCTTACTCCTCACCTTGTCCTTGGAAGCCAGAAGCGACTCTCGGTCGTGTCCTCCTGGAGCCGACACGGATATACACCTCCCAGATCCTACCGTTAGCCAAACGCCATCTGTTGAAGGGGATGTCGCATATAACCGGTGGTGGTTTCATCGAAAACATCCCAAGGGTGCTACCAAAAGGCTTGGGCTGCTACATCGACGCGTCAACCTGGGAGTTACCACCTGTGTTCCGTTTCCTGTTGAAGAACGGGAACGTCGACCCTCTGGAAATGGCCAGGACTTTCAACAACGGCATCGGAATGGTGCTCATAGTTGCAGCTGATCAAGTGGACGAGGTCATTCAAGCTTTGCAGAGCGGGGTCTATCGCATTGGAGAAGTAACAACAACACCAGGAGTGGAGATGAGGAATGTATTGACATGGGCGACGTGATTAGCACATGGATTTTGCTATGGGATATGAAAACAGGTCGATGAATAGATGGTGGATTTATGATTTTTGTATGTATGTTGGATCAGAGTCAATGTGGAAAGCAATGATATGGAAGCAACTGACATAGCCCTCGAAAGATGTCTCTAGGGTAAAAAGAAAGCGCGATGGTGGGAGCATGGGTGTGATTTTTATGCCAGATGATTGTGAAAAGATAGCAAACACTGTAGATGCAAAGATACAATCGGAGATGGAGGATATAGAGTAAGGAACAGAAACAAGAACGAAGAATAGATAAAACATAGCAGTAAGCCAAAACAACCCAGAGGAAGGTGGACAGAGATAGAAGAATAATGCAAAAGAATGAGTCCATCAACACGTCAAGGATAAGTATGAGCAAATCGCCTAGACGGTCTGACGGTTTTACGCAGAGACTGAAACCTCCTTGGGGGTATCCGCGGTTCCTGCGGTGGCCGCGGCTGCTGCAAAAGACATGACGGGAGGCTTGCTGACACCGTTCATAACCGGCAGCTCCTGCACAGGCGCAGGCGCAGGGGTCTCTGGGGCTGAGCCGTTCGCCTCTGCCTTGGCCTCCTACACAAGCACGGTCAGCATCGGGAAGCACCGGAATTTTTTACAATCTTGCTTACCTTCGTGGCATTCCCTCGGGCAGGGTCGGGAGTAGTCCCTCGTGTGCTCGACTCCTTGCTGGCATCCTTACGGAAAGGAGGCGGCGCCTGCAAGATTTGAGCGGCAGTCCGTCCGGTATAGCCGTTGCCATTCACTTTGGGTGGTGTGACGCTGCCTGCAAGAACGGGGAAGTCGTCCGCGCTTGGGACGCGCTGCTGAGGCTTCGCGGGGAAGGGCTTCTTGTGGTGGCCATTGGGACCGACATGTGGATGTTTAGGGCCCTGGTGGAACTTTGGTCGCCCGCTAGCATCACTCGACTGTGATCGGCTCGAACCATCGACGCCGTTCTTTTGACGCGGGGCATCCTATCATGAAGGGTGAGCTTCGAGGCAGAAAAGGAAGTGATTGGTAGTTACATCACGCATCGTCAAATTGTTCAATTTGGCTTCGAGATTTGTGATTCCATTCGCGCCGTTTACGTGTCCATGAGGCGGGCCACGGGGGCGAGGAGGTCCCCTTGCAACGGGGAACTGCGTATGGGTGGGCGTACCAGCATTCTCAGGCAGAACATGAGGGAAACGGCATTCATCGCTGGAAATACAAGAAATAAGGAGAGAATTCGACGCGGGGTAGATAGAGCTCGTACCCATTTTTACATCTCCCAGCTGGGAAGAAGAGACAAGGTGGTCGACGAGCTCCAAAGGAAGGCCGGCGTCCAGAGCCACGGCGGGGGTTGTTGAGACCGTCACGAGGATTAGGGTGGTTGTTGAAATCTGGTAGCCCGTTTTCGAGTGGCGCCGGGATACCATTCAGGTGAGTAGGGTCGTAAATGACGTTAGGTGGTCCAGGAGGAGGGTACGCGTCCTGGTGTATAGGGTAATGTGGTACAGGCGAAGTAGATGGGTTGTATAAATTAGGAGACTGAGGACCGGGATGAGAATGCGGTTGTTGAGAGTGGGGAGGCGGAACAGGCATCGGAACAGGAACTTGACCAGGGTGTGAATATACAGGAGGAGACATAGGACCGTAAGGAACTGGAGGCGCGCCGTTAGGGCTGAAAGGGCCTAGTGGTGGCGAGACAACTTCTGACGGAGAGCGTGCATGCATTACAGGTGCGCCAGGTGGCGGCGACATAGGTGTCATGGGACCATTAGGAGGGGGTGGGGGCTGCTGGAATGACGGTGGAGGTGGCGGATAGTATTGTTGGACGTATGGATTTGCCATGGGGTCGTAAGGTGGATATTGTGCCGGAGGCATCGGGCCCTGGAAGAAGGGTGGCTGTGGGTGCGCAAACAGGCACTGTGCGCCATAACGGCAAGCAGGGAAATATCTGCAAGGTATCATGCGAGCGACGTCGGGAGGTGGAAGATGGCCCAGGCCATTAGGGGAGGCATCCGCCTGGAACTGAGGCGGAGCGGGGGGATAGTATGCACCAGCTTCGTTGACGGTGGACAGAGACGGATTAATGGTGGGGTAATAAGTATATGCATCGGGGGCATGCGCATAGTGGCGCTTTTCTTGGTCGTCTTGCCCGTCGTATGCGGGCTGCTGTGAGGCGTTTGCACCAAGTACAACTTTGTTTTGGGCGATACGGAGGAGGTCGAGGATGACGGTGTCTGACGTGTAAACCTCAGGCCGCCCGTGGCTCGAAGCATTGGATGGATCTGCACCTGTAATAGGGTTCGGTATTGAGTGACACTAACTGCGCGTGGCAGAGAGGAAATGACCTTTCTCCAATAGTATTTTGACGATTTCGACATGGCCGTTCCTCACCGCCTCGATGAGAGGAGTGACGCCGGTGTGATCTGGTCCACAAAAATAAAGCGCGTCAATCGAGGTGTTCCAGACCCCGCTGGCACCAGGAAATGAGGGGGCGGTGAGTGCGCACCTTTGAGCTCGACATCGACAGCGGACGGCTCGTTCAACAGTTCCAGCACCCTGGTGCGATCGCCCTCAGAGCAGGCCTTCCAGAGAGGAGAAACCATTGGCGAGAAGTTCGGTTTGGGAGAAAAAGAGAAGAGTTGGTTGGTAGTGGGAAAAGGCAAGAGGAGGTCGGGGAGGGAAATCAGTTTTCTGCAAACCGGAGCGTCCGGAGTGGCAGCAAAAAAAAAATCAGGGAGCAAGCGTGGGCAGTTCCGAGATCGATCTTGTGACGTGACCACTTCCTTTTCAATCATATGTCCGCGTTCACCATTACCCTCAGCGTGTAAACTACCTCTACAAAGGTCTATACTACGCGCTCAAGCTATCACAAGTGCGGGTGCATCGTCTCCGACAGCCCCGTCGTGTCTAGTCCAAGCTTCGTGAGCAATCGCCGCGCAGGGCCTCCAGCCGTCGGCGGCAGCTCCAGCTCCTTTGATGGAGGTAACTCCATCAGCTCCCTGACAGCCCCGCGCGTGTCCTTGCCTGCCAATTTGTTAGACCACATTCGCGGAAATGGTGCCGGCACTCACCGTTGAACAGCACATCGTAAACCTTCACAAGCGCCGCATTAGTCACTTCGCCTCCTTGATGTTTCGGCCACTCACAGAGTTCGCAATCGGCGCGTTGATGCCCAGCTCCTCTATGATCTTCTTGACTCCCTTGGTCGTAGGAACGCCTTCTGCAACACTTCCAAGCGTCTTCATAATAACATCAAGCTTTTCTCCCTGTCCGAGGCGATACCCGACGGTATAATTCCGACTGTTTGACGAGCTGCATGTCAGGAACAGATCGCCAACACCTGCCAGCCCAAGGAACGTTAGCGGCGAAGCACCGTACGCCGTCCCAATGCAAGTCATCTCGGACAGTCCCCTCGTAATAATCACTGCGTGCGTTGTTAATAGGCTGAAGACGTAAATGGAGGAGACTACCAACTGGCTCGGGTGTTGTTTTCGTATCCCAGTCCGTCAGCCATCCCTGAGGCAATCGCATAAACATTCTTCAGTGCACCAGACAATTCGATTCCGATGGGATCGACGCCCGTGTAGCTAGGGAAAAGATGAGAATTTATTGTCATAGATCGAAGGAGATGAACGCTGACCAGCGGAAATGGGGCTGGTGGAAGAGAGCCGCAGCTTTAGTCGCCTCGAGCTCTGTGAGCGATGCGACCGATACAGAGGTTGGCTGCCTCTGTACGACTAGGATGATGCACCACGGTCATTAGAAGTTTAATCTCTGGAAATAGGGTGCGTACTTTCTTTGGCAAAGGATGGTCCGGACTGGTCAAGAGTCAGTCGGTCAGATGAAAGGATGGTGACGGAACCTCAGCTGACGATGAATGTGGCTGCTTTTGCGATATCCGGTCCACAGGTATCGGCGATGATCTCGAGCGTCAATGCATTCGTTCCGACCTCGATACCCTTGTTGACGAAGATGAGTAGCGGGAGGTTTTCAATATCCAAAGAAGGCTTCAGCGTCTGAAGCGTCGATCTATTCACCCCGGGATGACATCTCCTCCGAAGTTGAGAAAACAGGAAGCTTGCCTGAGGAATTGTGTGGGAATGGCGAAAAGAAGAACGTCCACATTGTTTATGAATGCCTTGTTGGGCAACTCTGGGCCGACGGCAGTGATGGTCGAGGGAAATACATGGTCTTGGAGATAAATGGGATTCCGGTGGCTGAGATTGAAATGCTTCACGATGCGCTCTTCGCGAGCCCACATGTACACTTCGTGCTGGGAGTCCCCAAGGTGGGACGCGAGGCAGGAGCCAAAGTTACCTGCTCCGAAGACGAGGACCTTGGAGTTGCCATTAGGTTGGGGCTTAGAGTAGACCATGGGTGCGAATGTAAAGAGACGACGACGGGGGATTTTAAAGAGGGAGCAGAGAGAGAAGAGATGGTGCATGCACGGAGCGAAGGAGCTGCATGATATCAGGGACCCTAAATAAGTAGCTTCGTTCAGGGTCGATCCACCAGAAAAGACGCGCGTAATCACGTGCGCCACGTTACAACTCCCTTTGTCACAGAGTTCAGCGCCAGCCCGTCAGTCACTAGTCACTACTTGCCCCAATTTACTTCCATCCCACCTCTGCACATGTCCATCCAGGATCGCACCAACGAATTCAAGGCGTGCGTCGACTCAATACGCAACAGGTCGGCGCTCGGAAACCGTGGCCTCGACGCAAAGCAGCGCCTTATCCAGAACAATGCGAAGTCGGCAGCCAAGGGCGAGTTTTCGCGAATGGCCTCGTCTATTGGCAAGGAGATCAGCAGCACGACTATCAAGCTCAACAAGCTGGGGCAGCGTGCGTTGTGATATTTTCTGCACGAGTTCTAGCCCTGACTTTGGAAACAGTTGCGAAGCGGAAAACCCTGTTCGACGACCGGCCTGTAGAGATTAGCGTACGTCCTCGAGGCCGCCAAGCTCTATAGTGTCGTTGACGAAGACAACAGGAACTTACGTTCATAATCAAACAAGATATTGCGAACATTAACAAGCAGATCGCTGCCCTCCAGTCGTATGTCAAGCAACGTCATGCAACCTCCAGCTCTCCAGAAGCCAAGATGATCGAGGAGCACAACCACAACGTCGTAATGATGCTCCAGAGTAGACTCGCCACGACGAGCATGACTTTCAAAGACGTCCTTGAACTTCGAACCCAAGTTCGTCCCATTTCGTCCACTGACCCAGTATGGTATTGAGCCACGTCTGCAGAACATGAAGGAGTCAAAGACGAGAACAGAGCAATTTATGTACACAACACAAACCGCAGCAAACCAGGCACCTTCTTGTGTGTAACCTATTTTTGGCTCTAGACTGAAGCTCATTCCTCTATAGTATTGTATAATTCGCAACGAACGGACCCTATGGGTGATGGCAGTGCGACTCCACTTGATTCTAAGGGCAAGGGAAGAGCAGCCCAGAACGGCGATGTTCTAGCGCTGGACCTGAACTCGGCAGAGGAGGGCGGAGGCATCAGCAATGGGTTCATGCAAATGCAACTGGTTGAACAACAGGTGCGTGGTTTATCTTAATCGCACCAAGACTGCATCCTAACCCCATCTCAGGACTCGTATATCCAACAACGGTCGACAGCTATTGAATCCATCGAAACGACTATCGGAGAGCTTGGACAAATCTTCACGCAACTAGCCAATATGGTTGCAGAACAACGAGAAACTGTTCAACGCATTGACGCCGATACACACGACATTCTGGACAATGTCGGCGGTGCGCAACGCGAGCTGTCAAAGTACTACGCTAGCATTTCGAGTAATCGTTGGTTGATGCTCAAGGTTTTTGGGGTTCTCATCGTTTTCGTAAGTGTCTTCGCGCTGTCAAGTCGCCTTGCCTTGGCTCACAATTCTCCAGTTCCTTCTCTTCATCCTTTTTACATGATCATGCTCTCGACGAACTTGATTCAATTATTCGCACATATTTATGGGACTTATCACTACTATGGACACCACATTTAATTCAACTTGCGTATGCATATGAAGAACAGCTTAGAGAGCAACAAGTACAGTAGATATACCGGGTTAGCCGACTGGAATTGCATTGACGCCAGTTCCCCATGCTTTGGATTTCGATTTCTTCTTTCCGCGATGCTTCTGCCCGCCTCTGTGAGTTTCGCCGTCCTCAACATCGCCAACTGTCCACGTCTTCTTCGCTGAAAGTTTCTGTTCGAGCCCTGATGTCATTGAGAATCGTTGAGGTTTTTGAGGAAGATTAGGGAATGAATTGTCCTTCTCTGCTTCCTTCTCGACGCGTTCAATCTGGACAACAAATGTTGGAATGCAAATTGCCCGATAATCAATAAGTGACATACCCGTTGTCCGAGCAGAGCCTTGTTTCGTTCTCTGACTTTGGCCAACCGTACCTCGCTCTTACCACCTCCGCCTGCGGTCAATTCGACGTTAATCCTTCGACCGTCCAATTCAGACTGATGCAATTTGAGAGCTTGTTGCAGGGCGTTTCGATGCGTGAACTCTAGGAAGGCACACCCTTTCGACTTTGCTTTCTGTGTCGCGCCAGGAGCTGCCTTCGGCGTAAGAAGGCGTATTGTTGGAGGAGGATCTATTTGTTCCGGTGAAGAGTGTGTGTGACGGGGAAGAGAACATAGCTTACCACAAGCAGAAAAATGTTTTTCGATCGCTTCTCGCGGGGTGGTATACCTAAGATTTCCTTTGAAGGACATCAGAGGGAAGGCGACTTTGAGATACGAAGGACAACCTCACCGACGAACAGAAGGAATCTTTGCTTGTTAATATCCTTCTTTGCACCTCCTACATCCTCTTCACTCCCCTTTTTCCGCTTTGCTGGCTTCTGCGAAGATTTCTTCTTGCCCGCGTCGTCCTCGCCATCCTCGCCTCCTTCTCCCTCATCCCCATCCTCCCGTTTCCGCTTCCCCGCTTTCTTCAAAACGGGTTCAGAGACTCGAACATTCTCTGTCTCTGCTTTGCCTTTGCCTTTGCCGCCCACTTTGCCCTCTTTACGTTTGCTTTCATCCCTTTGCGCGTTCCCGCCTGCCTTGCCTGCCTTTTCGCGTTCAGCTCTTGCACCTTCAGCTTCATCGCCGTCACCAACAGCGAGATCCTGGTCCTCCATGGCAGGGACTGCATTAGCTTCCATTTCATCGAGTTCATCGTCGCCTCTGGGTCCTTGGGGTTGTCGTTTGCTGCCTGACTTGCGTTCGCGGAATGCAAAGCCCTTTTTCTGCTTCTTCGTCAGCTTTTGTGTGCTGCTCATCGTGGCTGCCTCGAGGTTATGTATTTTTCTGCTGCGTGTATCTGCAACGTGTCTCGGCGATACGAGTGCTAGCAGCTGTGCACAAAGGGTGAAAGGCAAGGCAGCAGTGCGCAATCAAAAATATCTGTTTCACCGGCAAGGCGGCCCGGGATAACTTGGCGGCGCGGCGTCTCTCCCTCAACGGCCTTCGTCTTGACTTTGTTTGACTCTCATTTCTGTCGCGTTCCTGTATTTTTCTAGATTTTAATTCCAGAAGCGCGCGCACCAATGCTCTATTCTATCAATGGCAGAAGAGGCCGATGGTAGCGACTCACGAGGAACAACGTAAGAGGCTTGCCGCTGTCTGCACCTCTGTTTCACATTCAGCGTCTCAGCAAATTTTCTGTCGACCCCATCCGAAAAACTCTCGGTTTTTCTTCTCACGATGCCTTGCCCGTTTTTCTTGACTTCAACCTCTACGGGCCCAGGGGGGTGCTGCTCGACATTTGATGAAATATCCAACCCTTCAGCCCGTTGCAACTACACCTACCTGCTAATTCGACTCTACAGGAAGAAAGCACACCGGATACAGCAGTTTTCTTTCCAAGCGACATCGATCACTGGCCCTCTCCATTAAATTCTGCCTCCAGCGAGCCTCCTCTTTCCTCTACTTATCAACTTCGCATGGAAGGCACGACGCTACTCAGTTAAATTTGCTTCAGCTATTGATGGCTTTCAAATAGCTACTCGCATCGTGGAGGAACTACTTGAAGAAGAGCACGTTCGCTATGTTGCTGCTGACTTCCTGAGCATTTTCTCCGTCCAGTTTCTATTGGGTGTATCCATTTGTCCTAGTCTATTGGACCCCCGATCAGTAGTACCTTGTCTGCACCCTCTCTCGCAGTCTCTCTTTTATGTATCCTCGAATTTTAGAATCCTGTGTCGCCTCATAATACCTTTGGTGAGCGAACTGGAATCATGGCATGAGACCAGTTTGAAACAATAATATTCAAGCGCTGCCGCTAAACGGTCGGTGCTGTCGCGACCCATCTATCAATTTGTTGGGGGCGTAGGTGTGGAGTGGAAGGGGGCAGCCTTGCCAGTACAAGATACTTCCCCAGGCACGGAGGATGAGGGTGAGGCAAGCACCTCATGCAGTATCAGGGAAAACATAAAAAGAATCATTGTATAGTACAGTATATAGTACTCTTAAGTTATTTAAACCAAAACGTAAGGAGGATAATGTACACGGTTGCGTCGAGCAGATGCCTTCATTTCGGCAGCGATGACGGTTGGAGCTCATTCGAAGTATCAGGAATCGTTGAGTCCGGACTGTACTCTGATATTGAGCATGGCAACAATTGACTTCGAAGAAGTTGACCGCAGCCTTACCCTAGCGTTAGCCCGTTCACAGCCTCTCCAGCGCCTTCGATCTCTTCTTCTTCGCCAATCCGCCGGCGACCAATAGGGCGTAAAATAGGGCTCGCCATGCTGAGCGTAGCTCTCAGTGTAGGGCTGGAGGTGATGCTAAGGCCACGAGGGAAAGCTGGGTAGGAGCTGGTGATGGTCGGTGATGATGTCGCGGAACTGACAGTCGATGCTGGTATCGTGATAGGAATGGCAATCGGTAGTCTGGAGCCACTGCTTCTCGTTATCGGGGAACTTGTCGACGAATGAGATTCTCGGAGATAATGCAATGAAGGAGAAACAGCCCGGCGTTTGGAACTGCTCGGATATGGATCGAAACGGTCGTCGACTGAGTTCTCCTCAGTGCGTTGTCTCCTAGAATAAATTTGGATGCTTACGTTTGCGTTTGTTGGACCGCACGGCACTCGTGGTTGGAGGCGGCGTGTACCGCCAGTGAGCAATAGGGTTTTGTGAAAAAGACGGGAGTAGCGGTGATCCCAAAGGCTAGAGAGGAAACCAACGTAAGTTTCAATCATAGAACAGCCATTGCATGTCCATACCGCGTCAATATCCATGGAACCTCCACCTCCAAAACTGGATGATGTTTCTGAGATGCTCATGCCTGTATCGTCGCCATTGACGCTCCCCGCCAAGCTGGCACCCGGTGTGCACGGCTTTTGGATATTAATGGGTTGCGTGGCTGTAGGTGGTGCAGTGAATGCAAATGGTGTGTCTTCTGCTTCTCCCTCATCATCGCTTGGTGTTTCCTCTCTCGTAACTTCTTCGTGAACTGCTTCTTCCGGGTAGCGTCCACGATCCATCAACGGTCGCGGTGTGTGAGGTAATTCAGAAACAGATGCTACCAGTCTCTGGAAAGCAGCTTCAGATTTGACTTCGGCTTCCTCAGGGCGGGATTCGGCCAGAAGATTGAGTATGCGAGGTTGCTTGAGCTATCACAAAAAGATCATTTAATTTATTAAAAAAAAGGTGGTGGAAGAACTCACTGGAAATGACAGCCTGCGGTTAAAAATAGTGGGCATATCAGATGCATCCATGCTAGCTGACGATTTCCGACGAGGGGGTGTGGATGGTTGCCGCGGTAATGCCACCTTCGTCAAGTCCTCTTCACTGTTAGCTGGGGCCTTCAACGGTGGTGTGTGCGTTTCTGAGCTGCTTGGAGAGTCTGTCATCATTCTATCCCTGTCACTCTCGGACTCCTCAGCGATGAAAGCACTCTGGCTCCGGCGGCGATGGTGAAAAGAGAAGGACGACGCCAATGGGCTGTGCAGCCTTGTTTCCGCGAGGAGGCTTGGCTTCTGTAGGAGGCTTGGACGTCGAAAACGGTGGAAGAGGAAAGCAGGATCATCGAGAGTTAACGAGGACGTCGATGCTCCAGGGCTTGAAGACGATGAGGAAGGGAGAGCAAAGTCTGAAGACGAGGTTGGGAGAGGTGCACGGGAGGCGGCCTTGGGCATGTTGGGAAAATTCTCGCTCAAGTGTGGAAGCCAGCGTTGAAATCGCGTTGAAAGGGTGCTGAAGGTGAAGAGAAGAGGTCACAACGAGCAAGCCTCAGGTCATCCGGGTGCAGGGTCAATGGAAAGTAGTAGTTGCCTTATCAGGTATGCCCCTGAATGTCAACTTGTCCAGATGGCGTTGGTCGTGCCACTCAATGCTCCTCAACTGATTTCGCTGTTTGTACTGCTAAAACTTAATCTGTTTGTATTTACCAACAGTGGGGCAGTAGACAAATATCTGGATGCTAAATCTTGGATGCAAGTCCACCGAGAAGCCATCCTCCCACTATGAAGGTGGACACGACGAGTTGAGCTAATTGGATCAGTGTCAAAATCATAGGAATGCTCAGTGAAATCGTTTTCACCTACAAAGAGTCGCAGCGGTGGAGATATGATGCGTGAAACCCAGGCGCTGTAAAGAAAAATAAGGAGATATAGACGAAGCAGAGACGAAGCGTACTTTCAAAGCACATACCTTGCCGGGATCACCAGTGATGTATCCGCGAGTATAGAAAATCCGAGTCACAGTCCAGAGGGCACAAGTTGTCGCGGCAAAGATGGGGTACTTGACGCTCGAGAGAAGAGTCCTGAGTTAGAAAAAATCAGCTGAGGGAAGGTATAATTCATTATGGAGAAAACCTACAACACGTAGATGATGGGAATGTTTTCAAGAGTATTCTGGTGAGCACCTGGAGATAGGATTGAATGTGCATTGCATCTTAAAATGAAAAGAGAAATCACGTTGAGCGCAATTAAACTTGTTGGCATCGCTGGATGCTGCAGCCTCTGCTTTCTCGGCGTACACTGGGAAAAGAGTTCTCCTCAGATGCGCTAGTTAGCGAGATCGAGTCCACGTACGCCGAGGGTACTTTATTCCAGCACGCCTACGGAATCTGTTGACCATAGCGCGCTGACAAAGCAACAGATAGACGGTCGACAACAAGGCTGCGCCGACATATTTAAAGCTGAAATTATCCAAGACGTGAGTGAGATAGGACAAAACGACGGGACGCGCACTCATTGGGAAGAATAACTGTTGAAGACATTGTAGTTGAGTTGAGGAATGGCGATGATGAGCTCATTTGCTGTCGCTTTTATAGGAACCGTGGGAGGGACTGCGTGCTCTCGTTGAGTGGTCGCGGCTAGATGTTGTGGATCTCGGCCAGTTTGAATGCTCGGCCAAAGACGTGGCCACGTACAACCTACGTGTACCTGCGGCTCGAACCTTCGGGCTTCCTGCATATCCAAGATTATTCTAACCAACTTCATCTGAACGATTTACGCTCATGACTCGGAGAATAGCTGAATCAAAGTCATTTGGGTTCTGAGTCTAACTGGCCGCTGGCGCACAGTTCCCGATCCCTAAGGGAATCCCTATTCTGATCATCTCATAGTCACGTGGATCTAATCTTTTTTTTTGGCTTAACTGATTGAACTGCCGCCGCTGCTGCCGCGAAAGCCCTTCATCTTTTCAGTCCCTCAAGATGGCAAAACGCCCAGCTAACGAGACAGATGTCAATGGACAGCCATTTCAAAAGGCCCCAGCAAGTGGCAAGAAGCGCGAAACCGTGGTCCAGGATGACATGGGAGAGTTTGAAGATGCTTGGGAGGACGAATTAGAAAGCGACGAGGAAGTTGTGGACGCGAATGACGAGAAAGACGAAGATGGTACGTGACCCTTTTCGCGCGTTTCGAAATGCTAATCCGATTTAACGCCACCGGTCTCAGGAATGGACGTGGATGAAGTCCTGCCAGCTATTGAAGAATCAGACGAACTTCCCCAGGCTCCTAGAGTTTTCATTCCAGGAAGGCATACGCTAGAGAAGGACGAAATACTCGAACCAGATGAATCTGTCTATATCATGCTTCACAAAATGGGTGTTGCCTGGCCTTGTCTGTCCTTCGATATCTTACGGGATAATCTGGGCGACGAACGCCAAAGATTGCCTGCAACCGCGTACGTCGTAGCCGGAACCCAGGCCGATGTCGCAAAAAATAACGAAGTCGTGGTCTACAAAGTGAGCTCTCTTCACAGAACGCAGAAGGACGGCAGTAAGTGAGTTTTGTGCTTCGCTCTTCGCCTCGTTTGCGTTAATCTCTTATCAAATTTAGACGAGTCGGATTCGGACAACGACGATGACGACAACGACGATGATTTGGACGAAGATGCTGTCATTGAATCACGGTCAATACCTCACGTAGGCGGCGTAAACCGCGTCCGAGCGCAACCCTTGTCATCTTCCTCTCCATATCCTCCGATTTCTCAGCCCTATCATGTTGCGACTTGGGCAGAAACAGGCAAAGTCCATATCTGGGACGTCAGACCACTGATAGAGTCGCTGGACGTTCCTGGTTATATTTCTGATAAATCACGATCTCATACACCCGTCTTCACAATCAACTCTCACGGACGAGCGGAAGGTTTCGCCATGGACTGGGCATCGTCCGGTCCTTCATCTCTGCGACTGTTAACCGGCGACGTTCATTCCAAAATATACCTGACAACATCCACACCATCGGGCTTCAACGCGTTGTCTCCACCATTCACATCGCATACATCCAGCGTCGAAGATATTCAATGGAGCCCATCTGAGCCCACAGTCTTTGCTTCTTGCTCGGCAGACTGCAGTATACAGATCTGGGATGTGCGGACGAAAGGTCGAAAAAGCGTCGCTGGGATTGTCGCGGCGCACGAAAGCGATGTCAACGTGATCAGTTGGAATAAGTCAACATCTTATTTGCTTATCAGTGGGGGAGATGAGGGTGGAATCAAAACTTGGGACCTTCGGAGTGTCAAAAAGGCTGGGTACGTGATAATCTTTGCTCGTCATTCTTGATACCTTCAGCTCAATTCGTTTCTATCAGCTCGAATACACCAGACCCAAGTCCAGTTGCTTCATTTACATGGCACAAAGCACCCATTACCTCGATTGAATGGCACCCAACAGAAGATTCTATATTCGCAGCTAGCGGTGCAGACGACCAAGTCACTTTGTGGGATCTGGCAGTCGAGCAGGACGACGACGAGACGGGGATGGATGACACACCAAGTGGCGAAGAAAGTGTACCCCCACAGCTACTCTTCGTGCACCAAGGGCAAAAGGACATCAAGGAGATACATTGGCACCCCCAGATTCCTGGCACAGTGATATCCACTGCGCTAGATGGATTCAACGTTTTCAAGACCATTTCTGTGTAGACGATGCACCTTTGATATTTGTACAGCTTCGGAGAAACCAATCTATGCGAAAGGGGATCTTTATCTTTCTTTGTGAAATGAATCCGGGGCGATGTTCTGATGCAGACTTTCGGTCAAAGCAAGGTAGATATTTCGCAGCTCGTGCAAGTGCTGAAATGCGATGAAATGTTGGTATTCATCGTGTTCTTGCAAGGCAGACTTGATGCAGTGAGGAACGGGTTGTCTTGAATCACGAGCAGTCATACCAGGTAATCATCGTTCTTGGTATATTTGACCAATTTCGAGCATATCTTAGCACGGACAAGGTAGTCCTTCTGGGCTGTTGAGCGTATGTTGAATGCCGCTTCCTGAGCGCGATGCAGTTCAGACAAGAGATCTGGAAGCTAGTCAATAAGAGAGGAAGCAAGGGCGACTCTCTCACCATCTTAGAAAGATAAGACCAATGCAGCCAGTAGTAAGGATGGTGTGTCACGTTCGCGGCCAAAATGAAAACTTCACCAAATTCCTGATCCTCGCTGCACAGGCTCATGAGTTGAGTTCCTACGACTAGGGCAGTAAATTAGGAACCACCTTTCAGTCCTTATACACGTTGAAAGGTGAGAACTCTCATCATTGTTTAAGAAAGAGAGAATTTCACCTAGAGATGACCACAAGCAGCCAAGTTTTGACTTGATCCTAACATCCAATCAGAACAGTCAACGATTTAGCAAAGGTGTCTTTGAAAAATCGACAGTTCCAAACAGACCAACAGTTGTATTAGCATTTCAGATTCTGTCTTGATGATTGTATGCGCCGCTTTCAAAGGTGGTTCAGTACGAGCCACAAGATACTGATCCTGAGATCCTGAGGCATGAGTCCTAGCTGGTTCCCCCATAACGTCAAAGGTGTCGTCAGAGAGCTTCCTTTTCTTCAACTGCGGTTCCGGGTATGAGTACACAGGCAAGGCGGAGTAGATATCCAGCGTGCGGTTGAAACGACAGAATGGTGACATCGGTGAAGACGCGTCTTGAATCATCTGATGAAGTTCTCTGGGTAGCGGCGTTCAGAGCTGCGTCAAATCCAGTAGAAAGCCGCAAAGAGTTACAGTATCTAGGCAAGAGTCAGAACAAGAGTTGAGGATATGCTTCCACGAGAGCTTGCTTTTGACGGAAACACGCGAAAAACCGCGTCTGAGCCACCAGATAAGATGCCTTGACGAAAGTCCTGGAGCAAGCCATTCCAATTGAGCAGCGGCTTTCAGCCAGAACAATCAGAGAAGTCCAGATAACCTTGAGTTTTCTCTTAATCTCAGAGTCCATTGGGACGAAACCAGACGCGATTGTGGAGGAAGAAGAGAGACTTCAAATCCGTTTCCGAATCGAACGTACGTTGCGCGTTGTTTGACCTTATTAGTCATCATGCATCAGCGTCCACTTCATCACTTCAAGTTCACGCGGTACTGCAACCTACCGCGACTCATACCCCTGGCTGCTTCACTGTCTTCCGTCCTCTGCAAATATAGAAGATCCGGTCGCTGAATCAACTGCAATGGCCGCACAAGAAGAAAACGACGTGATCTCAGCCTTGACTGGGTTCTCCATTAACCATGTCCTTGGCGACCTCTCTCTACCTGGCGGTAATGCTCTGTCGAACAGACTAGGCATTTCCGGACTCCCTTCGCTGAACCAGGATCAAATCTACAACGACAAGTGGGACGATGACGCCGTCGGCCCTGAACAAGGTCAAGACTGGGAGGACGAGATTGATCGAGAGATGCAGGAGGAAGGCGAATCAGACGGTCCACCCGTCAAGCAAGAGGCTCGTTCCCCAGATGCTTTGAAGAGGAAGGAGAAGAAGACACGAATCGTCAAACGACTGGTGGAGCGCCCCAAGAGCGTGTACGAACGGTTCCCTGCATTCGAAAAGGACAAAATACTAGACTTCAGCGAGCTGTTCAAGGGTTATGCTGTCAGGAAATCTCGTTTATCGAAGAGACCCTACCAGGGCATGTCTCACTTCTCGTCTGTCTACTGACAGGTTGCTCACATAACTCCAGTGGAAACCGTGTATCCTCGCAAGAGAGAGAATCCCAAGGGTTTCTTGGACGCTGTTGTTGGGGATGCGAGGAGACAAGTGGAGAGCAAACGGGTGGAAGAGGAAGTGGCCTCAGGAAATGTCGAAGCAGATCTAAGGAAGGCACTGGAGGTGTGTACGAACTTGAATGTGGTCCACAATCACCATGAACTAACAGTCCTTGTAGGAGCGCGACCAAACGAATGTCCCGGTAACCTTGCCCTTAGACGACCGCACTTTCGATCTCGTGCTGTTATCAAACTGGGAAGACCAAATAGTCTACGAACCAGACCCCAATCCACCGGCTTCCTTGCCACCTTTAGCTGCACCAGAAGGCAATCTGACGACTCCGATCAACAAGGCACTTGAATCTGGTGCATGGACTCAAAGTATAATTTGGAGCCCAAAGTCTGTATTCCGTGATTTCACTCAGCTCGAGTTCAATCATGAAGACGACATTGTCCCTGAAGAGAGACAAGGTATTTGTCACATTGATTTCTTCCTCATCACCGCAATATCAACATATTTACAGTGGAGACGGCCCGCCCTCGGAAGCGTCTCAGAACGGACGCAGCTGTCAAAGATAAATTCAATCTCTCCAACGATCACTTCTACGAAGTCGCCAAAGACGGAGGGAAGCGCGTCCGTCAAACATTTGGGCAGCTCGTCGTCGAACATGCGTACCCAGCGCAGAAATTGCAACTACCATTTGTAAGCCACAACACATATCTTTTCTCTATCTCTTAACATCTAACGTCAATCTCAGTACAAGACACGGCTGTCAAAGCAAGAAGCTCGATCTTTTCATCGACCTGCTTTACAGTTCCCAGCCAACGTCGAGTTACGGTTTGGTAAAGTCCGGACAGCCAAGAAAAAGAAGGATAAAGCAGGCCGAAAGCTTGGGAGAGGAGGCAACGTGGGCGAAAGTCTGCACAAGACAAGTGATCTCAGTCTTCGCGACACGTCTAACTTTGTCCTCTGGGAGTATTCCGTGAGCCTCACTCTCAGTACCGCTGATTTCCAAATATTCACTGATAAGCAGGAAGAACATCCTCCTATCATTCCTAATTTTGGTATGGGGAGTGTTTTGGTCAACTATTATCGTAAAAAGGACGAGAAAGATGAGCATGTGCCGAAGGCAAGTTCTCGAGTTTATACTTTTGGTTTCTTTTTCTCAGTTAGATAACAGGGCGACCTTGGATTTCCTTTCGTTCTGGAGCCTCAGGACGAATCACCGTTCATGAAATTTGGCTATGTGTACCCTGGACAGACAATCCCAGCACTGTATAATAACCTTATAAGAGCACCTCTTTTCCGCCATAAACCTAAACCCACAGACTTCCTGGTTGTCAGGTCTGTAGAAAATTGTTGCTTTGTCTGTGGCCCGCTCATTTTCCCCGCAGGAGTACCATCAAAGGAGAGACGAAATACTTCCTCCGCGAAATCAAGAATATCTTTGTCATTGGCCAAACCTATCCTGTAACAGAAGTCCCAGGACCTCACTCTCGAAAGATTACGAACACCATCAAATTCCGACTTCAAATAATCGCATTCAAGCTGCTGAGGAAAAGCCTGGAGGAACGCCTGAAGATATCTCGGCTGATGAAATATTTCCCGGACCAGAACGAGCTGCAAATGAGGCAAAGACTGAAAGTACGTATTTAGGTCTTAGCTGCGTTCCGTCGATCCCTTACACGCGGATCAGGAATTCATGGAGTACCACCGCCGTGGGCCTCATCAAGGATTCTGGAGACTAAAGCCAAATTGGGTCATTCCTTCAGATGCTGAAATGCTGAAGATGGTCGGTCCTGAGCAGGTCGTGCTGACGGAGAGCATGCAGGTTGGACAGCGACATCTGCAAGACGCCGGTTATAGTCAGGCTGCGGATAACGCTGAGGGAGACGAAGCCCATCTGTCGATTGAGCAGCAACTAGCACCTTGGATCACGACAAAGAACTTTTTGTTCGCCACCCAGGCAAAGGCCATGCTTCGTCTTCACGGTGAAGGAGATCCATCTGGCCGTGGAGAGGCTTTCAGTTTTATTAGAATATCGATGAAGGATATTTTCGTGAAGGCTGGTGAGGACTATGAGCAGAAAATGGGTGAGTATAGTTTTTCCGACTCAGGTACATGATGGAAGTGCTCATGCGTCTGTTATAGCTGAGGCTGAGAATAGGCCAAAATCGGCCCATAGGTATAATGTCGCAGAGCAGCAGCTCATCTACAAATCGGAAATCGAGCGCATTTGGAAGGCCCAGTTCGACGCTCTCAGCCGGAAGGACGAACCAGCCCTGTCAGATGACGAAGATAAGAAGGATAATGTCAAGAAGCCCCAGCCCGCAATTCCCGTTGCTGGGTCCTCGTCTCGCCCGTCTCCGGCATTCAGTCGGGCGTCCTCGTTGGAACGCGACCGGGAGGGTAGTATGGGACCTGATGGGAGCAGGAGTGTTTTGCGGATCAAACGACTTGTGGGTGCTGGCTTACCTTATCCTCCGACTTCGACAGTAAGCTATATTTTATTTCAGATCGAAGGCGTATGGCGAACAGAAATAATCCGAGACCCGGCCGTTATCAGGGCGTACGTGCGAGGCCGCCAGGCCCTCGAGGAAGAAGCTACTCTTGCCGACTCGCTGGCTCCCACCGGCGACGCCGACAAAGATAAACGGGCGAAGAAGAGGTACTGCCTCTTAGCCTTAAAAAGGTTCAGTCAATGTTTACTTATGCTCGTGACAGGCTGGAAGAGGAGATCGCTCGTATGAAGAAGAACCAGGAGAGGCGGCTGCACAGGAAGAACGCTAAGATTGTCAAGGAGGGTGGCACGCCCATGCAGCTTAATCGACCGGTCAAACCGGATACCACGGTGAGTACATAGGCCGTTCAATACGCTTTCTGATAAAGACTGAATGAACTGCGTACGCCAGAGACGATGCGGGCACTGCGGACAGATGGGCCATATGAGTAGGAGGACACTTTCGCATAAGGATTTAAAATACTGGCTCACATGATGACTGCAGAGACCAATCGCAAGTGTCCTCGATGGGCGGAGTTCAACAGTGGCTCAGCGCCTCTCCCGCTGACACCGGCAGGCTCACATCCGAGCCCACAAGTGCCTTCTACGAATCTGCCGAACCTTGGCTTCAACCGAGGTCCAGGTGGCAGCACTGCATTCGGACACCCCGCAGCAGTTCCTTCGCCTTTAGCGACGAGTCCTCCCATGTCTGCCATGGATGATGATATCATACCTTCTACTCCGTCGGGTTCGGCGCCCAAAATTAAATTGATGCTGAAACGGACATGATTGGACCTCTGTGCCTCGCTTGCTTGCTGTCTCATCGTGTACTTTATTCAATTCAATCGTCGTTAGCATTCATAGCATGGGTATGACGCCTGCAACAAGTCAAGCATTGTTCGTGAGGTTGTACAACAGACAAAAAAAGATACAGTAGCATACGAGCGGGGATGATTAATATACGGGAATTCGATTCATGTCAACGAAGCGTAAAGAAGAAAGCAAATAATACGAAAGTAGGCGCGAGCTCAATCCATCTCCACGTCCGAACCACTCGACGAGAACCGGTGCTTGAAATCCTTGTTGATATTCACAAGCAAGTCCAAGATGAGGTCGGCATGGCGCTTGCGCTCCTCGTTCGAGATGACTTTGCTACGCTCCAGGTCAATGCGGCTGATCTCCCTGCTGAGGTGGTCCTCCGAGGTCGCGAATGAATGGATGCTCGGGAGGACATTGGACTGCATGGTGGGCGACGAGTGCGTCGAACTCGGCGTCGACTCACGCACAGGCGAACCCGGCGGCGACGGCGACTGGTACATCCTGCTGAGGGGTGGCAGCTTGTACTGGATGTCGCCCGACGTGAGCAGCGGGTACAGCGAGCCGGGCTTACTACTGCTCGAGCTCGCCGTCGCCGAGTGGCGGTGCAGCGCGAGCGGCAGCTTGGGTTCGACGGGGTGCGGACGGTCAGGTAATGAGCCGGGCAGCGACTTGAGCGGGATCATCGGCCGCATGGCCTTGCTCATGTACTCTGGCGGGGCGAGATGTGCAACAGCGGGTGCGCCGCGGGAGCCGCGGATGTAGTCGAACGTGTCAGGCATGGTGATGGGCACCTGCGGCGGCGTGGTCGTCACGGGCGTCGACACCGTCGAGTGCGGGGAGCTGCTCTCGAGCGGCGGGGTCGGGTGATGATAGTGCTGGTTCGAGAACGAGCCGCCCGACCCTGAGGCGCCGTACTTGCTCGACCGGCGGCCGCTGCCCTGGACGTAGTCGTTTGGGGACGGGTAATTCATCGAGGGCTCGTTCATGGGCGAGTACATGGCGCCGTACTGCCCTGGGGGGACGGGCGGATGGCTAGAACGGGAAGAGGAGTGGTATGGGCCGTTGCCGCCATACTGCGGACCATTGCCATTGTAGGGAGAATCGGAGAAGCTGGAAGTGGAGGTGGGCATGCCCGGCATACCCGAGAGACCGAGCTGGCTCAGGTTGGCGGGGTCAAAATAATTTTCAGGAGAGAAGTTGGAGGAAGAATGAGAGGACGTTCCCGAAGGACGAACGCTTCCGGAGACGTCGCGGCCGAGTGTAATGAGGAATTCGTTCACGGCCGCGAGTTCCTCAGGAGTGCGAATGTCTAGGGAGACTGAACGGGGGTTAAAGGAAGAATTGGAGCCTCCGTTCTGTGTGTAAGCGATATTGTTCAGACGCTCCGCCATACCTGATGACAGACATTAGAGGGATCTGAAAAAAAGCTAGATTGGATGGCCACTAACGAGGGTCATAGGAAGGGTTGACACGACGTTTTTTCATGTCAGTGAAAAAGTCGTCTACATTATAACTGTCATGTGCGCGCTTGGAACCCGTGGAGACTGAGGGAGGGTCATTCCTCATGACCTCCCAAGCAGGCAGCGGCTGGCTGGACATGAACATGTCATGAGAGGGGTGATGGGAATGGGGGTGAGCGGAGGGATGTCCTAACTCTGGAGAAGGCGTGGGCAAAAGGGAGAAATGGATGCCTGTCAGTAGGCACTTTTGAGTTGGGGCGCTTGAAACGCAAGGAGAATCAACGCACCGTCTGAAGGGGATTGTGAATGTGCCTTGGGCCTACTGGCGGGCGGGCGAAGACCGAGGCTGCCAGTGGAGGCAGGGGCCTTTGCAGCGAGCTTGGCGTCTCGAGCTGCAGAATCGCCTCGGACCCGCTGTACATAAACGGGGTCGACGACGGTGATGGCCTTGGAGTGCTTGTGCTGCTGATGGTGCTCCTCTGTGTGGATCTTCTCGTGTTTCTTCAAGTCCTGTGGACGCTTGAAGGACTTCTTGCATATCTGATTGTAGGAGATAAACACCAAAGGACGAGACCAGTGACAAATGGCGACTTACCTCGCAGACATGGGGCTTGAGAGGGGTGTGGACTGGGGGAAAAGGTGAATACGACGAAGGGGCAAAACGGACTGGCTGCGCTCACCTCTGAGATGGCTGGTGATGTGATCGCGTTTCGCACAGGTGGTACCACAGTCCTTCCACTTGCAGGTGAGACAGAGGTTGTTGGTCGACTTGCGGCCGATGTGGTCGTTGCAGAGGTGGTTGTAGAGAGTCTCTGGGTCGACAAACGACAGAGTGCAGTCCTGCCAGAGGCACTTGTGGACGGGGAGAGGCTCCTGTGGCTGGGCCTGCTGCTCCTGGGCGGGGGTTTGCTGCTGGTCTGTGCGGTCGTCGTCGGGCGGAGCGGCGGCGGGGGACTGGGATGGGGACGGCGGGAGGGAGGGAGACATGGTGGGCCAGATGATTGGGGCAGCGGCGTGCATGATTGTTTTAAATCGGAATCGACGCCAAGCGGTGTGCGATCGATGTCGGCCAAGGGAAAGCCAAGGCGGCCTTGGCGGGCCCTGCCGTGCAACGGAGTCTGGGGTCTCTCGGCATTGCCAAGCCCTCCGGCCGCTCCGGTCTGCCTCCGGGCGCCTTGGCCGCTTGGCCGCCGTGGATTCTCCTCGCATCGAGATCCCTTGGCCGCCTGGGCGCCGCTTGGCAACTGACTAAGAGCATACGATTGCTAGTCCTAAGCACAAGTTCACAGCGAATTCTCGCCCTCCTCAGCGTCGTTCACCCGCAAAACCTTCACCCACTCCCGGTAGTTGAAGTTCCCCTGCCTGTCCGTAAACGGCCCCTTCAGTAGTCTATCAATCTGCGCAGAGTTAGCATACTTCATTTGCCCATTTAAACACCAAGGCCTACCTCCTGCTCATTCATTCGCTCTCCAACCTCGCCCAGCCATTTCCTCATCTCCTCCACCTTCACCGTACCCGAGTCGTTCTCATCAAATGATACAAATGCCTCCAACAGCTCTGCCTCAGTGTCAAACTCGAACAGCCGCTCGCTCATCATCGTGAGGAACATCGTAAAGTTGATTCCCCGGTCCCCCGAGCTCTCCTCGTATGACGACAGTCGATTATGTCCCCCGGGCCTCGCGCTAAGCAGCTCCTCCATCATCCGCTTCGACGGCGAGATCCCTGCCAGAACCGAACACGGTCACGGATTGTTGCAAAACCAAGTTGAACCAACCCACCCAAACTCGTAAAGATCTCCTTCAAATCGCTCTCGTTCACCCATCCGTCCTTATCGTGATCGATGAGCTGGAACGCTTCCTTGAACTGCTGGATCTGCGGCGCCTGGAACAACGAGAACACCCCAGACGGCTCCCTGCGTGCACGCGACTTCTGCGCCTTGGTAAGCTTGGTCGGCGTCGCGTTCGGAGAAAGGTAGTCGGGATATCGCGACATATCCTCTGCAATTTCCTCGGTCTTTCAAAGTCTGACGAAGGTGTAAGGTGGGTAAGATGCGTCTTCGGATGTCGAAAGCGCAGTACAGAAGCTTTTCGACGCCACTCCGTCCAAGCCGTCCAAGTTTGTCTCCGTCGATGTTTCAATCAGAGTCCTGTGCCCACAAACCCAACGGCTTCGATGGTGGCTGTGCCCCGCCTTTATTGGTTGATTTGCTCTTTGTGTTCACTCCGCAGGTCCGAGCTCGTCATCATCATCACCGACGCGACGCGACACGGCGCCGTCGCCAACGTGCGTTCTTTCTTTGAAATTGATGCCTTAGCATAATCAAGCGCCCGTTGTTCCCGTTGTCTCATTACCCGCATCGCGTCTCGGGGTCCTTTGTCTGATGTCAGTCTTCGCAATGGCCACCTGATGCTGACGGAACGCAGACGCTCTTATCTGTCGTCAATACATTGCAAAGGACGGGCAAAATCGGACTTGATCCAAATCATAGACTCCCGTTCACGTACTTAACCTCTCTTGAAGCCGCGGCGTTCACACGACATAGCAAGCAGACACCCATAAAAAGGTCGAATTCTCGATGTCCGTCGAGCCCGGATAGATCCACTAGAAGCCAGAGCTCGACGCAAAAATAGTCAAAAGGAGGATAGGTCAATGCATATGTACATACGCCGAGACTTCATACATAGAAATGCGGAAAATACTAGATCATAGCACTACGAACAACAGACAGCGACACCTGTTCATTTGGTGCTCCTCTGCGAGTACTGCTTCCACACGATCGCCAGCGCCCAGCTCCGCGGGAGCCACTTCAAGATCGAAAACAAGAACGCCATGCCCCCCAGCGTCATGTACTGCGGCGGGCCGCCCTTCCTCAACGCGTTCGCCACGACCTTGCGTGCAAACACGTCGCTCGGCATGCTGTTCCTCTCCTGGCTCGCATTGATGCGCTTGTGGATCATCGCTAGGAAGTCGGTGTACAGGCTCCCCGGGGCGAGGGCGAACCTGCTCGTCCCGTTCGCTGCGATATTCGACTGGACGGCGCCGGGGGCGACGTGCAGCACGAATATGCCGAGAGGTTTGAGCTCCATGGAGAGCACCTCGCTGATGGAGTGCACTGCGGCTTTGGAGGCGCAGTACAGGCCGTTCCAGGGGGTCGAGCTGGTGGTATGCATCACGCGTGTTAATTGTGGTTAATGGGGTTAATAGAGTGTTGGACCTACACTTCGCCTACGACGGAACCTATGTTGACGATGGTCCCGTAGTGCCTGCTGGCCATGATAGGCACAACGGCCTTGCACACACGCAGAATGGAGAAGGCGTTGGTGTCAAAGACCTGTTTGACGAAATCCAAAGGCTGTTCGGCCAAAGGACCTGAGCACCGATTCAAGCAAAGAGTATATGGAGTTAGAAGAGATACTCCGTATATCGGAATAACTGAAACTGACCTGCACCGATGATGCCAGCATTATTGACCACCACGTCGATCTTTCCTTCTTTCTCAACGATATAGTCAAGGCCCTTCTTCACATCCTCGTCGCTCGTGACGTCCAGAGCGAGCCTTTCGATGCTCTCGTTCCCGAAGACCTCTATCGTCTCTATCCTCCGCGAGGTAGCATAGACCTTACACCCCTGCCGCGCGAATTCCTCGCAGCTACGTCATCCAAAGGAATGGAGCACGTCAGTATCAAGAGGCCTGACGAGCGCTACCATGTAGTAGACCCAGGAACACGTACAGGGCATACCCAATTCCTCCCGTTGAGCACCCGGTAACGAGCACGACCTGAGGCATTGTTGGTTGGTTATCTGTTGTTCAGGACGAGAGAGGATGGTTGGTGGTAACAAGGTGTCGAAGAGACGGCAGAATTGTCGTCGTGGGCCTTTGTCTCGGGTTGATATCATGATACTGTTTGGATGTATCATGCATTGACCTGTCAAGATTCAGTTTATCACCTCGCCTTGGACGTCGTCCTGTGCAACAAAGGTCTTCCCTAATTTTTTTCTGCCGTTCGAGCAGCAAGGGTGTCCTGGAGATGTTCTAGTCCACTGCCCGCATGCAGTCCCAAAAACCGAAAAACTGGTAAATCCACTGGATAAACACTTGCCTTCTTGGCCTTGGCACCACTCAACGTGCGCAGAAATCAAGTCCGGCCGGGAGCACTAGGACGCCGAGCCAGCTCCGGAAGGGACGGAACGGGGCCGAAAGCGCCCAGAGCACTGGTGTGGTATTTTTATGTTTTTGCGCCAAGCACTCTAGAATCAGGCGCGCACGTAAGGAGGGCTCAATGATGGTGGGCTTGGCGTGTTTGCGGCCCATTCCGACAAGCCAAGGAGCCAAACATCCCGCGATTCCTCGGCGTGCCGCGTCCACCTTGTCTTTGCAAACGCCAAGCCACTTGGAGCGGAGCAAAGTCGAAGTCTGTTTGTTGGGCTTGGACTTGTGGACACTTGTCCGGATCCTCTGCTTGTTGTACTGACGCCTCAGCTCCTAGTCACTCGTTTATCCCTTTTCTTTCAAAACTTACGCCTTCGAAAATGGTGCACCTCACCTACGCTCTTTCGCTCGTCCTGCTGCTCCCCTCCGCTTTCGCCGCAGAGTACCTCGTTGGAGTAGGAAAAGATGAGACAACTGGGTGCGTGCGCTATGCGGACATAAATTACAACGGAGGCAGAACTAATCTTCATCCAGGAGGAAGGGAATGGGCTTTGACCCCTCCGTTATCCACCCCGCGGCTGGCGATGTAATTGCGTTCGAGTTCCGAAGTGGCCAGCACAGCGTCGTCCGTGAGTCTATTCAACAAGTCGAATTTGCCGCACTCACCCACCCCCATCGCCGCACACTTGCCGCAACCCCGTCACTGACCCCACATTCCTCATGTCCTAAAAACCCCTTCGCCTGTCGCCTCCGACTTTCTGTGTCGTTTCGCCACCTGAATCGGCATTCACAGAGTCCACCTTCGAGAACCCGTGCACTGGAAATGGTGGCTTTAACACCGGCGTCTTCACGGTGCGTAGAAGCCCCCTTCCTCCATCTCATGACCAAGGCGTATTTACGAGCATCTGAATACTACTACGCCCGGTTTCTCTAGGTTGACGACTCCATCCCTGTCGACGCACCGGGCCTCCCCACGGTCAGGCTGACCGTCAACGACACGAACCCTATCTGGTGCGCAACCTTCAATAGGCCAACTCGTGAACTGAGGCAGGCCGGATTGACCAATAACATGTGGATCCATCAGGTTCTTTGATGAGGCAGGTGGCCTGTGCAAGCAAGGCGCTGTCTTGGCCGTGAACCCTACCCTCGAGCTGTCTGCTGCTGCCTTCAAGGTCAACGCTGCCAACGCACCTGACGCCCCTGCGACCACCGCGGGCACCAGCACGACAGACGGTGGAGACTCCGATACCGCGAGCTCTACGGCTACGGGTACTGCAGCCTCCGCCACCAACTCTACAAGTGCTGCTATTCAGAACGGAAGCTCCGTGTTTGGTGCCCTCCTCGTGGCTCTGATCGCCTTGTTCTGGTAGAACCCCTCATCATCATAAAGTATCCATTGAGATGCCCCATCTGAGCCTTTAGGACTCTGCCGTTTTGCTTGGAGCCTTGGACTTCGTAAAGGACTTTATGTTCGCGTAATATACCCGTTTATAGTGTCACTGCAGTACTGCGTGTACACTCCCAAGACTCTTGGAACATCCTTCGCAGGGAGCGCTGAGGAAACGAAGCCAATTGTAGCGCCAGCATTCCTCAACTGAGCTTTCAGTCTCTCGGTCTAGACTTTCGATGGTCGTCTGTTGACCATGCTGAGAGGGTGCAATATTCCGAGCCTTGACGTCGTGGAAGACTGGAAATGCATATGCTGGGGTGCTCTTGGGGGAGCAGTTTCTCCTGACCTTCGTATTCAAATATGAGAAGAGCCCAGAGTGCAACTGTCAATCGAGAGAAGAAATCGAGGTGCTCTGCCATTGCGCTGATTAGGGGAAATGAAGACTACAAGCGATGTTGACAGGTGTCAAGTAAGAAGAGAAAGAGAAAACTCGCAAGCATCCCAGTTCTCGGAGCTGAGAGGTGAACGTTTGAACAAGAGAAGAGACAGAAAATGACCCAGGCCCTTAAACGGTGCCAGGGCCAGGGTAAAACTCGTAGAACTGGTATAATCAATCGTGATGATGATAATGATGATAGATTGCCTAGGAGGCGAAATCGCAGATAGGGCCTAGAAGACGTGATGCATGCGAGCAAGAGAGTACATGAAAGAGGATACGAGAGAGCAGAAGTGGTTGAAAAAATGAAACGGCCAGCGAGGGCGCCGAGTCAAGCACCTGCCACGCGGTCTTCAAGCGGATGGACAGATCATGCCAGCACCCCCACCGACCGCCTCGAATAAAAATAGGTCGTACTCAGTCTTAACGTATTCAAGCTTGGCGGCTCAGGCGCGATCGACGCTGGATACGGCCTCCTCTAACGGCGGGTGTCGTGGACGACGCGGCGCTCGCAGACGAGGACGTCGTGGTCGTAGCCTTCGTGTTGCCCCTGCCCCCTCCTTGCTGGTTGTTGTTGCCGGTGTTTCCACGGCCAGCGGCAGTCGTGGTCGCAGCGGCGCTGGAGGGGACGGTGGTCGAAGCTCGGCGGCGAGTCACGGACGCGGAGGTGGATGCTGGGGGGCTGGTAACGGACGCAGAGGCAGAGGCTGCGCGGCTAGTCACGGACACAGAGGCGGAGGCGGAGGCGGGGGCAGACGAAGTGGGCTGGGCGGAATCGGTTGAGGAGGCTGAGACGGACGCAGAGGCGGAGGAGGGCGCGGCGGGGTCAGCTTCTGGGTTGGCACCAACGAGGTTGTTGCCGTTGTTGTTGTTGTTGCCACCGACAGCGCGACCATCGGCAGTCACAGTGAACTGGGAGAGGAATTACTCGTTAATACCAAGCAAAAGACCGGCACATGACAAGAAAATCTTACGTAGATGGCATCATCCAGAGAACCGTGTTGAGCGACTGGGACGATAACAGGCTGGTGGTTCGACGAGGAGTTGATCGAGGAGAGCTTGTAGACTCCGGGAGCGAGACCACCAGTAACTTCAGCAGTGAGCTTGCCACCGACGGCAGCGGCGTTCAGACCTTTGAAGAACACGAATTCCTTCGGGTTGGTAGGAGTCGTCTGGTCGAGCGAGGTAAGCTTCTCAATGACAACGTGCGAGTGTCCCTGGATGATTCCAGCGCCGTTCAGCTGTTGAGGAGCGGCGAAGTAGTTCGCTTGCGCATTGACGAAAAACCCAGTCTGCAAGTTCCTGATCGCCATCTCGACATTGAACGTCTGGCCAGCCCTGATCGTGCCGAAGTTCGGTGGGAACGTGAACTTGGACGAGGGCATCCTGTCGACGTTGGGGATGACACCGATCGGGGTGGGGTTGCATGAGCCGGTAGTGATCTGCTTGCCGTCGGTGATAGGCAGGTTGGGCACGGTCAAGCAGAAGTTGATGAAATTGTTCGTCGAGGTCAGCGAAGAGACTTGACCAGCAGCAGGGACGTCCTGGCCATCGTTGGCGAAGCCTGGAGCAATCACGCGGGGGTCGAGAGCTGATAAAACATCCATGTTAGTACGATGCACTATACAGTGACGGGCTGGGACGCACTCAAGGAGGCCTGGAGATTGCCATTGTTGCCCCCGTTGTTGCCGTTCCCGCCGTTGTTCCCTCCGTTGTTGCCAGTGTTCCCTCCGTTGTTGCCAGTGTTCCCGCCGTTGTTGTTGTTCCCGCCGTTGTTGTTACCGTTATTGCCGTTGTTCCCTCCGTTGTTGTTGCCGTTCGTAGGAGCAGCGCGGGCGGTGGTCGACGTTCGTGTGGCATTAGCGCCGCCATTGTTGTTACCGTTATTGCCGTTATTCCCTCCGTTGTTGTTGTTGCCCTTCGTAGGAGTAGCGCGGGCGGTTGTCGACGTTCGTGTGGCATTGGCACCGCCGTTGTTGTTGTTATTTCCACCACGAGGAGTAGCTGTGGGCTTCGCGCCTGCGTAGGGGAAACTCAGGAATGCTTCAAAGGGTGGCTAGCCTCGATCTATGCTTACTATTGCCACCGTTGTTCCCATTGTTGCCAGCATTCCCGTTGTTTCCGTTATTCCCAGCATTGCCAGTGGGAGCAGCGCGCGCGGTGACGGTAACGGTGCGGACGACAGTACTAATAGCCTGTGAGAGGGAGATAAAATTAGAAGATAAGATCGACACCCCAAACAAGGACAATGTTGTGTTGGCGGACTGACCGAACATTGCGCCTGTTGCGCCTGGTTGTTTCTGCTCCTGCCGTTGGGGAATTGTTGGGCGGCGACGTTGGACGTGAGGGAGAGGGTCAAGAAAACGAAGAAAAGGAGCTTGGAGAACATGATTGATTAAAGCTTGAAGAAAATAAGAAAAAGCCGGGTTGATGAAGGGAAGGAGTGTGGTGCGTTGAGGGCTTGAGACTATCAAAGTGCTTCAGACGCAGCAAAAGAAGGAAAACGACACCAGTGTCGGGCGATCGTAGTCGTCTTCGCGCACAGCGACTGCCTCTGGCAAGAGCGGAGAAGAGAAAGGGACGAAGGTGGGGGAAAGGAAAGCTCCGCGCCAATTTCATGCGTGCCTTATATCCCCCATCTGCCACTTCCCTTTCCGGCCCATCAACCACAAGCAATCTCACGGCAAACCAATGGCAGTCCTCCATCAATGCCACATCCCCGCACACCTCGAATATCCCCTCCCTCGACAATCTTTGTCCTACCTGTCCTTCCACCTCCCTCCCCGACCTCTTTTACCAGCGCTCCGCTCGAGAAAATCCTTTGGAGCTCTCAATTGTCGATAGTTAATCGGCCCCGGGATCCACTTGGACCTGAACATCGGTCGTTAAGCAACCTGATAACATCCATGCACGCTCTACTTATTTTTATCCTCCTCTCGCAGGGCCACACGAGACAAAGGAGTCGTCTTCCGTTCTGCAATCCTGCGGTGCATGCGCACCTCAATTGCCTGCCTCCTCTTGAATATTGTCGAAGACTCTGTATTATGTTGGCGCAGTCTTTCTGTTGCTACCATGAATAATCATCAGCCCATCACAAGCCTTTCGAACGATCTGGGCAGATTTACAAGCCGGAAACGTGAACTTGAAGCGTTTGACGGTTGATCAAAGTGGGTTTTGCCGTTGCAGCACAGCTACAACGCCTATAAATTTTGTCATCCCAATCAAGAGGCTTCAAGAGGTGGGAAATGAACAGGGAAATGTCATTCTCCAAATGCCTCGCGGATCGAGGATCAATTATGCTGACCGGAATTGGCAGCCTCAGCAGGTCGAACGGCCTTCACGGACAGCGCCCGAGCTTTCGTCGGGTTGGCCTCTCCGTTCCCTTTGACGATGGCATGGTTAAAAAGCGAGCTTATTATTCATCCTCCTTACCTCCTGCATCAGTCATTTCGGCCACCCATAGTTGCCTCCGATGGCGACGAGATCATGTTGTCGTCGTCGACTTCACGGTTTCTCCGCCTAGCGGTTGATAGGCGTCCGCCTCAGACAACGGAATCTCTACAGGAGAGCATGCCCAGTGCCTGATCTGAGGCCAGGCCTTTCGTCATAGCGTTAGGTAACGGTATCCAAGAGCAAGCGGGTCAAGAGCGCGCTTGCGCATGTGGTGCGCCGCATAATTGTACGCGACGCTGATCCGCGGACTGGCCGAACTTGGCATCGGCGCCTACAGCACATCACGTGGGATTGCTGGTCTACGCCATGAAGAATAAACAACTTCCTGTTTAGGCTGAAGTGAACTTCCAAGCGTGCTCGACTGCGGCTCGTCATTCTGGACTGTGACCAACCGCTGGTCTGATACTCACTGACATCCTGGCCTACTCACCACTATTCATTCTTTAACTTGGATTCACTGACTTGACACGGAAGGATCTCATGCTCTTCAAAATTGCAACTAATTATGCTGCCGCTCTTGCCCTTGTTTCGACTGCACTGACCGCCAATGCTCATGATGGGTCGGCGCTGGCGTCGACGTCCCTCACTCGACGAGCAACAGTCTGCAACGGTCACGCTGAGCTCTGCGATCGAAGCTTTGGAAATGTTACTTTCGTTGGGACACACAACTCGTACGCGATTGGGGTCAACGACTGTAAGTCACTTGATTAACAATGCTAATTAACCCCTAGCTCTGACTATTGGTCTTCGAAGTCTTTGCTAATCAGGACCAGTCTGGTAATCTACTCTTTCAGCAACAGTTTTCAGAATGGCGATTGAAAGTGCTTTAGTAACACAGCAGTTGAATGACGGCGTGCGCATGCTTCAAATGCAAGCCCACAACGAAAACGGGGTTATCAGACTTTGTCATTCACGCTGCGTATGTCCTCGCTTTCTCCATCCAGCTATCAATAGCTTCAATTAATATCTGTTTGTAGGGCTTTTTGGACGGTGGATCTCTTGAAGACTACCTGAATATCGGTCGGTGACCCCCTTTCCCGACAAGTGTCTCTCATTGACCCTGGTTTTAGTGAAAACCTGGCTGGATGCCAACCCAAATGAAGGTGCGTGTTTCGTCTCTTGAATTCGCTTCGATTTTTTAAACCCCTCAAAGTTCTTTCGCTCCTCGTCGTCAACATTGACAACGTACCGGCCTCAAACTACGACGCGGTTTTCAAGTCCGTTGGCCTCGATTCCGTATCCTACGCGCCACCGTCGTCTCCCATCGCAGCATCTGAATGGCCAACCCTCGGAACTTTGATCGACTCGGGTAAACGTCTGTTGACCTTCCTGGACAATGCTGCGGACTTGACAGCCGTGCCGTACCTCCTTGACGGTCAGAACATTCGCTCTACAAGCCTATTTTTAATCTGACGAGCCAACAGAATTTACGAACATCTGGGAAACACAGTTTAACGTGCTTGATATTGCCAACTTCGATTGTTCTGTCAACAGGACCAGGGGAGACACTTCCACCCAGATGTTCCTCATCAACCACTTCCTGGACAAGCTCGTCCTCGGACAGCCAGCCCCGTTCATCGAAAGGCTGAATCAGACCAATGCAGCAACTGGCGCCGGCTCGCTCGGGGCACATGTCGACACTTGCGTTGCCGATCATGGCCGCCCGCCCAACTTTTTGCTCGTTGATGTAAGTTGCTGACCATCCTCCGTGCTCCAAAATAAGTCTAAATCTTTCCACCATGACAGTTCTATGAATACGGCGGCGGATCCGTCTTCCAGGTCGCGGCATATATGAACGGCGTGCCTTACAACCCCGCAACACCAGTCGCGACACCAGCATCAACTTCCACCGCCACTAATACGGGGTCCGGCTCTACGGTGTCAGTTACTTCGTCCTCATTATCAGGAGGAACCTCGGTGACTTTCCAATTGTTCAACGATCGCTATCTGACTGCCTTCATAAAATCTACCCTTGCTATCTTGCTTGGATCTCTAATCGTACTTTAAAAGCGCATTTATGACCTCACGGACATGTAGGACCGGACATACAATCTCATCCATCTTTCTCTGCGAGAAATAAACATCACCGTCTTCGCTCAAGCCGCCATTTGTACACCCGCGGTCGGTATGTAGCCTCGTCTACCGTCCGAGATGATGACTTCCTCTTGCCCTTCCGAGCATCGATTTCGTCTTCGTCTTCCTCGTCGTCTTCCTCTCCTTCCACCTTTTCTACACCTTGTATCTTTTTCCGAGCCCCTTTGCCCATAAGCAGTCTCTGCATTTCAAATTCGCGGATAGCGTAGCGTAGCTGGCGATCTCGGTCGAGCCTTGCAGACAGTTCCTTCAGCAGTCGTTTCCGGTTGCTCAAGGCAGGTTGTCGGCTATTGTCCTCTTCGGCGTCATTATCTTCACTCTCCTGTTTTGAAGCCGATTTCGCCTGGGACCTTTTCTTCTTCGGTGTTGCACTTCTCCAGCCCAAGTCTTCGTCTGTTAGCGTTGCTTTTGGTGTTGAGACACTCTGCACCGTTTCCTTCTCTTTACCCTTTCTCGAAAGACGAGATGCTGGTTTCCTGTATAAACACCCGTTTTTGATTAGACAATTAAGGTGAGCTTACCTTCATCCGGACTTTCGGCGAAGATAATATGTTTTCGCTTCTTTCCGCGACTGGCTTTTGTTTCCTGCAAAATCTTTGCATCTCGCAGGATTTGTCTTTCCTTCTCATCTAGTTCTTCCTCGATATCTTCGTCGGCGACATCGGCGGACTCGGACTTCAGCAAGTCCGCGGTTGAAGTGAGGTGTTGCTTGATCTTATCTATTTTCTAGAAGAGCATAAGACGGTACAGAGAGACCCATAATGGGAGGTACACACTTTTTGACCAGATGATCGCATGGTTCGGACATAATTTTCATCCTGGGTCTTAAGGACTTTGACTATATCTGTTGGAAGGGCGACATTGCCTCTGCTTTGGATATGTACACCTCCCTATCTCATTCATGAGCGTAACTCTACGAATACTGGCCAAGTAGAAAGCACCTTTGTCCTCTGCCTCGTCATTGAGAAGTAGAACTCATCCTTATTCCGTTCGGTGACCTTTTGCCTGAGCCTGTTCAGGCGGTCCTGCTTGGAATGGTAATCGCGTGCACGCTTGACATAGTCAGCATGCTTTTCGAGGAGACCAAGCTTCGACCTGTGCGCGAGCTGGGAGCGCTCTTTATGGTTGCATCTGTGTATCGAATTCTTGAGGGAGGATGTCATGGTTGAGTGAAAGAGGAAGTCGGCGTGACAAGGCGGCGTGACATTGGGTGATTTGGCAAAATTGAGGCGAAAACGGGATGTATTTGGAACGACCAGCGCGAATTGTCGAGAAAAACGAATTGCGCAGAATCCCAAGATGAGCTTTCAGCATTTTCGCCTGGGAGAGCTCGCCATCCATCAGCCTTTGCAGCAGCAGCCTGTTGTCCAGCCGCAAGGTGCTCCCCGTCGTTCTCTCGCGTGTCTGCTCATCACTCACTGTAGCCCGCAGTCGGCACCTCCATCTCTAGCACGAAAGCGCCCTATGGATCAGGAGATAGCGACGATGGGTACACACTAGTCTTCGCCAACTTGGACGAGTTTCAGGCATGGCGCAACACAGAGGAGGAGCGCAACTGCGTTGAGTTTGTCAAGGTCTGTCTCACATCATGCATCGCGGTTGGTCTTATCGCTGATCAACCCTGGACCCTAGGGCGACACCCATGGCAGCAAGGCAGACCCGCCTCGCTTCAAGGATCATACGAAACTCGTTTGTGCCAGGCATTCTCGCAGTGGCAGGAAAAAGTACGTGAAGAAGCACCCAGAACGTGTTCGCAAGGTCCCCAGTCGCAAGGTGCGCGTTGTCGGCCATTTTCGTTGCAACGAACAAGTGCCCATTCTCCTCGATTGCAGCTTGAAGGAACGGGATGCTCGGCATCTATCAGCTACAAAACCTACTTCGACAGCGAGCAAGTGCGCGCCTGCTGTATGCCACATCTTCATCTGTTATTTTTGGCCCAGTTTGACCCTATTTCTCAGATATTTCACAACACTCGCATGAAATCGGTCCGGCTAACCTTCCTTTCACGCGTCGTGGTCGAAAGGCTGCCCTGCAACATGAGAAGGAACGTGGTCGCAACAAAACTGCTCCCCCTGAACAACCCGCTGCAGGTCCCAGCACCCAGGCCGCGGCGCATGCGCCTCCCGTGGCCAGCTCTTCCTTCTCGTCGGCCGTGTCAATGCTAGCGCCGCTTCCCGGCCAAACGTTCACCCCTGCAGCACCAGTTCAGCCTTACACTGGATTTCCTGCGGGTATCAACTACCAGCCGCAGCAAACCCACCCTCAAGAGCGCTGGGACAATATGGTCACACTCTTCCAAACAGTGCGCGATCATGCCCGAGCATTCGAGTATCCTCCCGCGAGTGTCGCTGCTCTCGAGACCGTTTTGATCCGCCTCTACTTGGAAAGCCCGATGGGATTGACGCCTCAGCAAAATATGGGAGCAATCGTCCAAGGTACTTTGGCGCTGGCGGCTCGAAATCAAGCCCAGGCGAATGCAAGTCAACCGAACATGAATGGGAACGACGCTGCAAGCAGCTCAAACGCCGAAGACACTTCATAGGATTCATGGTCGGTTTCTCTTTTCCTGTTCTTTCTGTACATAGTCGGGTTTTATTCCTGTTTTCCCGCTGCACAATTGTGTCGATTACGTTGTATTACATAATCGAAGTCCGTGTCTTCTCCGATCACAAATTGAGGACTCCACCCTTCTCTTGCGCCTCATCCCCCTTGCCTCGATATGTCAGCCCTGAGCTTCGCGAAACAAGCCTTCGGGAGAGACAAACCTCATGTTCGTAACAGATCCCCCTCCACATCCAACTTCGATAGTGACGGGTGGTGTTAGTCCTCAATCACCGACTGGGTCGATATCCTCACATCACCCAATATCCAGGAGGAAGCATACGATGGGTATTGGTTGTCCTGATCCCTAAAACCCTTTTTCTCATTGCCCGTATAGCATCCCGGAACTCGTCGATGCAATTAATCTCCAGGCAGCTTCCGGGTACAGTCCTCGTCCCGGCTAATTGCCTGTCGATCACTCACATATCTGGTACCCTGACAGTCCTACGGAAGCATCGCGTGCTCTCCGAAAGAAACTGAAGCATGGAAATGCCCACCAACAGTATCGGGCCATGGTGGTATGTTATCATTGTTTGCAGCTATCAGATGCGGGAGATCTCATCAGTTTCCTCCACGTCAATAGCTCCTCAAAGCTCTGGTGGAGAATTGCGGACAGAAGTTCCAAAGTATGTATGCCTTTCGTTGCACAGGGATGAACTGAGCCTGCATGCTGAAACGTCGCCGAAGGTACGTTTGCCGATGGACATTTGACAGATGCCATAAAGCACCTGGCGAACGACTACAATACCGATAAACGAGTAAAGAAGAAAGTCCTGCTTGTCCTTGCGTCTTGGAGAGAACAGTACAAAGATGACCCGTCCATGTCGACGGTCGCTGGATTGTATAGGCAATGTCGAGGAGCCGAGCGGCGTCCAGTAGGTCAGCAAGAACTCGCCCATATGATGGGTCTGAGTACGACACCAGAAGAGAAGAGGAAAAGCGAGAAAGAGGAGGCGAAGAAGTTGGCCAAGCAAAGAGAGAAGGAGGAGGAAGCAAGGAGACTCGAGGAAGCAAAGAAGAAGAAGAGGGTGCCTTTTGACTTCGAAAAGGTATGCCCTTCGAGTTTTTTCCTTCTGGGACATAGTCCAACTATCACGTTCGCAGGACAAACCCAAGGTTTTGGCAAGCATTGTTGAAGGATCCCAAGCATCTAGCAATCTTGTCAACGCAATCACGGTAAATGAAATGAAGATGTCCCTCCGTCATCAGGGCACTTACTTCAGGATCTTTAGCTCGTAAACTTGCAGACTGACAGCCTGCTGACGAATGAAAGAGTTCAAGAATGCCTGACGAAAGCAAAGCAAGCGAGAAAGCCGGTTGTGCGTTATATCCAGGTACGTGTCCGTCACTTCTCGCAAAACAGATCTAATGAGCGCCTAGCTGGTCGAGAATGAAGAGGTCATTGGAACCCTCATCGAAACCAACGACAGAATTGTGTCCGCTCTAGAGATGTACGAACAGTTGTCTGCTCCAGCCACGAATCCGGAATCCGAAGAGACTGCCGCAGTCACACCTAGAAGCGAACCCTCACCTCGGGCTCAAGACGATATATTCAAAGGAAAGGAGAGAAGCGTTTCAGAGACAGCGCCGACACATGTTCATCCTGATTTGGAGGATTTGAACTTCGGCGCCTTGGGAGGTTCTTCGACGCGTCTTCCAGCACCTATGCGCCCGTCAACAGCACTCTCAGATGAAGGATTCGAGAACGAACAAGATCAGGATCGTCGTGGATCGTTGTCCGACTTCAGCGACTATGAATCCTCTGATGAAGAAACACACCGCGCCAACGCTGGGTCGTGGTCAAAGTCGAAGCGCAATTATGTTACTGTGTCCGACAACGAAGAGGAGACTGCTGTCCCATTTGCGTCCGGGAGTAGGAAACAGACGAATCCGACGGACGACGATCCGTTTGCAGACCCATTCGCGGACGAGAAGGCCATACGAACATAGTGAGAAGGTATCTGCCATGTTATACGAAGACAACCTTTATCTATCAGTAATTCCAATCTTGCAATCCCACTTATGCTTTTACTTACCTACATAGTTTTCGGTCATTACGATCTAAGTTATCCAGATGGACACCCAGCGTATGCCTTGAGTAATTTGTATCCCCGACTTAAATTGCGAAGTCTGAGTAGATAATTCCAATGTACCATACATCCCCTGTACTGGCAAGATACTCATGCACCGCTCCATTGAACGATGTTTCTTCCACTACCGCCGATCCAGAATGGCTTTAGGGCGCTAGGAAGGCGCAAGCTGGTGACTTCACCACTTTCGTTGAGGATCGCGCCATTCTCAAGAAGGGCAACAATTAACCTCGGTATGGCTACTGCAGTACCATTTAGCGTGTGCGCGAAAGGAAGGCGAGCAGGTGCCGAGTCCGAGGCGCTGCCTTGTGGACGATACCGAATGTGTAGACGCCTAGATTGATAGTCTGTGCAGTTCGAGAGCGAGGTTACTTCACCCCAGCTGCCGCGACCTGGCATCCATGCCTCGATGTCGTATTTGCGGTATGCGCTAGCGCCTAACTCCTCGGAAGGCATATCCAATACCCTTTAAACCATGCAATAAGTACCCATAGACACTAGTAACACTTTTGGACGTACTTATAAGGTAATTCAAGGCCATCAAGAATAGACTTCTGCACCGAAAGGATTTCTTCCATCATACTTTCGCTGGCCTCTTCTTCTGTGACTGCAAAAAGCTCAACCTTGGAGAACTGATGGACACGGTAGAGGCCACGAGTGTCCGATGACCGAGCACCTGCCTCGGCACGGAACGCATGTCCAATACCGACAACTTTCAGGGGAAGGGTCAAGGATGAGAAGACTTTGTTTGCGAACATCCCTCCTAGAGGAATCTCCGCCGTTCCGGCCAAGACGAGCTCGGGAGACGAGGGATTCGTGGGGGTAATATGATACATATGGGATACTGGAGGGTCGGTGTCGTCTCGAGGTTGGAATCCACATCTGACAGCAATGTCAGACCGTACAACATCAGGCGTTGTCACAGGCGTGAATCCTCTCTGGACAGCTATTGACATGGCATAGTTTGTCAACGCTAGCTCCAGAAGGGTCGCTTCATTCCGTAGGAAATACCATGACGTTCCAGTGACTGTAGAACCGCTCTTCAGGTCGAGCAAGTCAAACTGTTCACTAATCATCACGTGGTCGCGTTTGGGATCGGGTGGAAGGGGTTCGGGACCGTGAGTCGAGAGCGTTATGGCAGCGGATTCGGGTCCAAGAGGAGAATCGGGGTGCGAGTCGTTCGGGATGGCCAGGGCAGCGGAAAGACACTCCTTTTCCGCAATGTCAAGCGTCGCCTCTAGCTCCTTCACTTCTGCCTTGAGTTTCGAGGCTTCAGAAATTGCCTCTTGTCGTTCAGCGTCGGTTTTGCATTGTTTAATACGCTCCCCGACGATTGAGCGTCGTTCCGTTTTGCGTTGAGTTCTGCCGATATCCGTTTCCATTCGGTGTATGCACGAGCGACTGACGAGACGCCGTCGTTCGGTAGCCGTACTTTCCTGTTGAGGGCGTTCAAGGACTTGGAAGTGATGTTTTCTGATATAGAACGGTATTCCAGCCGTGGGTCGGGTAGTTCACTAGGAGGCAGTTTCGTTGAATAATTGCACCTGCATGTCCTCTTGGCTCGTGTCAACAGTTAATATTGGTGGTAGCTCGAAAGTCGACTATAGCTCACCATATACAGGGAGGTTTATCATAGACCAGATGGCCCTGTTAGAACGCTGAGTCCGACGTAGCATCTTGGAATTCCTGGAACTGGGAGAGAGTAAAGGCTTCGGTACCTTTGTGGGAGGGAAATATTTGCCGCCAAGCGTCTCTGACCAACACGAAGACTTGGCAGTGTGACGAACCGTGACAGAGCGCGTCAAGCGCGTTTCCCCAACATCCACCATCTCCCGAGATGAGCAAAGCCGCAGAAATACCATACGAACTTCCATGGTAAGAACACTCTCTCTCTATTCGTATCTTGAAACCATCATTACTTACACGTTGAATAGGGTCGAGAAGTATCGGCCTCATGTGCTGGACGACATCGTTGGGAACCAGGACACGATTGAGAGGCTAAAGGTCATTGCACGAGACGGAAATTGCCCTCACATTATTATATCCGTGAGCTCTATATTATTCGAAGCCTTTGTTTACTATTCTAACCCGGGAACGCGTAGGGCATGCCTGGCATCGGAAAAACAACGAGCATTCATTGCCTCGCTCATCAATTGCTTGGAGACGCATACAAGGAGGGCGTGCTGGAACTGAATGCTTCAGATGAACGGTATGCGTCTATTCGTCTTCTGTCAACATGGATATAATGTAGAACAGAGGTATTGACGTGGTTCGAAATAAAATCAAGACCTTCGCACAAAAGAAGGTTACGCTTCCACCTGGGAGGCATAAAATCATCATCCTCGACGAAGCAGACTCGTGAGTGCTAACCTATTCCTTGCGCTCGGGCAGCCGTTTTATTGCCGTCTTCTAGCATGACGCCTGGTGCTCAGCAGGCCCTCCGGAGAACGATGGAAATCTTCTCCAATACGACACGTTTCTGCCTGGCGTGCAATATGAGCAACAAAATCATAGAACCAATCCAAAGTCGATGTGCCATCCTCCGATATGCGAAGCTAAAGGACCAGGAGATTCTAAAACGGCTGTTAGAAATTTGCGAGATGGAAAAGGTTCGTCTTTCATGGGACTGTCTTCCATTCCATTAATTCAACACTTATTCGTTAGGTGGAATACAATGACGACGGACTGACAGCCTTGATCTTTACCTCCGAAGGAGACATGCGGCAGGCAATTAACAACCTCCAATCCACGCACTCGGGTTTCGGCTTCGTCTCGGGAGACAACGTCTTCAAAGTCTGCGACCAACCCCATCCTATCATCATTCAGGCCACCATTCGTGCCTGCCTCAAGGGCGATATCGATACCGCGGTGGAGAAATTGAATGATTTATGGACCCAAGGATACAGTGCAGTTGACATCGTCGTCACCATTTTCCGAGTGGTCAAAACATTCGATGAGTAGGTGCCACTTCAGTTAATTGCTGCTGTCAGTGTTAATGAAACCTCGAAGGATGCCGGAATATACCAAACTGGAATACATTAAGGTGTGTATTTATATTTCACTCTAAACCCGAGTTGGCGTTCATTGTCGCGGCAGGAAATCGGATTCACACACATGAGGGTTTTGGAAGGGGTTGGAACACTCATTCAACTGGCCGGCCTTGCTGCAAGGCTGTGTAAGCTGGTCTGTAGACGCGGTTTTCCTGGATAGAACGCGAACGCTAACAAGATGATCCTCTGGCAGAACATCAAACCTGATCTTTTGACTGTCTGATCGCTCCAGGTGCTCGTCAAGCTTTGGTCCTTCTCGGAACACTTGCTGTGATACCTTTCTCTTGCAATATGTAGCAATTACCCACATCTACTGTAGTCTTATAATTCCATCTGGTGAACACATTGGTCGTTCTCTGCGCGATAGCAGTGCCGATTTGGGTGCTGACAAATACCCGAATAATTGTATTAGCAATCCACTCGCCTTTCTCATTGCGACACAGTTATGAAGGCGTCCTTGCTCAAGCCTATCTCTCTCCGGTCATGGCATCTCAAGAAACGGCGGTGACAAGGCGCATGCAAAGCGTCAAGCACATAATCCTCGTCTTAGCAGGCAAAGGAGGAGTCGGCAAATCATCGGTCTCGACGCAGCTCGCACTGAACCTCTACGTCTCTTCCCCAACCGCAAAGGTCGGCATCCTAGATGTTGACCTTACAGGACCCTCGATCCCTCGAATGTTCGGTGTAGACGACAAGGGTGTCCACCAAAGCACGGCCGGATGGGTCCCTGTGTATGCGGATGGATCAACGGCAAGGATGGCGTGCATGAGCGTCGGCTTCCTACTCAAAAACAAGGGAGACTCAGTGGTCTGGAGGGGTCCGAAGAAAAATGGGATGATACGACAATTTCTGAGTGACGTACGATGGGGAGAGCTTGACTATCTTGTGATCGACACACCTCCAGGTTCGTTATCTATGCAATACACGACCCTGGCTTGATTGACATTATCTTCGCTTGCAGGCACTTCAGATGAACATCTCTCGCTCATGGAACACCTCGCGGGCGTACATGCGCGCCTCTCTGCCGTCATCGTGACCACACCACAGGCGGTGGCCCTTATGGATGCGATGAAATGCCTCTCGTTTACGCGTGCCGTGAACCTTCCTGTGCTTGGGCTGATCGAGAACATGAGTGGCTACGTTTGCCCATGTTGTGGGGAAGTCAATAACGTATTCTCGACGGGAGGTGGGGCGGAAATGGCACTAAAGGAAGAGTTACGGTTTCTTGGAAGTCTGCCGGTGGACACCGAGCTTGTTTCGGTGCTGGATGGAGGCCAGGCGGTCGAGGGTTCTGATGGAGGATTTGGACTGCTGGAACGATACAAGCTGACACCGTCTGCAAAGCTATTCGCGACGATTGTGAGCGGGGTGCTCGGGAGCCTAGAGTAGTGGCGGAAATGCATGGATTTGGAATGTTTGTGATTGAAGGCTGCCTCGTTGCAGTTGGTTGATCCCCAATTTGGGAACTTGTCTGTTGACATGTTCTGCTCTCAACACGACGCGCTCCTCCCTCTCTCTCACAAACACCCATGTCCCCCCACTAGTCCCCGTCCAGATCCCCCCGCCCGTCTCCTTCTTCGCGTCCCATTCGCCTCCGTAACGCTTTTGCACATACTTGTACGATATCTTCCATACGCCCCGCGACGACCCCACCCATGTCATCACGAATGCAGGTAATCAACAAAACACGCGATCTAGACCTGTTCACTGACTTATATACTCCCCAAGACACCAATCACCATGGACGAACAACCATACACCACCCCCGACGAGGACCCATTCAGCGTTTCACCCTACGTTCCCGAGCGGACCGTCCAACACCGCCGGTCTAGCATGCTGGTCAAGTGGATATCCGAACAACAGTCTCAGGCATCCGAGAATGCTGAGACAGAGCCGCTCGATATTCCGCGGCCGTATTTTGCCAGCCCTGGCGTGCCCGCCTCGTCCAGCAATCCCTACCTCGCCTATCCCGACCTGCCTCGTGTGTCCACCCCCATGGAATCAAACACGGGCGATGCAGATTCCATAATTAGTTATGACCTTGTCGATGATGATGATATTCCTGCCAATGCCATTCTGGAGCCTTCTACGCCCGAGGTATGCTTCTCGTTCATCCATAAACGTTAGGCTCCATCTAACCGTGCATATTGCCCAGGAACATGTCACCCCTCTTCCCCCGCGCACTCATAAATCTTCGAGACATTCTCTTACCCCCTCTTTCCGCACCCTCAACCTCAATTTCCGCTCCAGCACTCCGACCAGCCCCTCCTCTTCCAGTATGGATGGAACTTCGCGTGCCTTCTCGCGTCTTTCATTCCTTCCCCGCACTCCTCGTTCAGCCGGCCCGGCACTACCGTCAGAGGCAGGAACCCCACAACCACACAATCGATCATCTAGTCTCTCGACTCTGAGCTTTAGCTCGTCGCAGCGTGTTCGGCCGCTCTCAGCCTCCACGTCTTCAAAATGGCGGCCTACTGTCCTTGGCCACTTCCACCAGCCGTCTGCATCCCAGTCCTCCATAACCATGTCTGACGGGCAAAATACAACGCCATCAAGACCTAGTATATCTTCAGGCGACACCTTTCTGACTTCAGACACCTCTCAAGCTACGACCACAACTCTTGATAGCATTATTCCGATTTCGCCTTCTAAAACCTCTTTTTTCGATTCTATTCGACTCCGTGGTAACCGGTCTCCGAAAGCCAGTTCAACATTCTCGCTAGCATCTTCGTCGTCCGTCCGGCTCTCGGCTCAGCAAACGATTGGCGTCAATCAACAAGCCTCGAACTTCGACACAGGATTCCAAAAGACCGTGTCTCGACGTAGTGCCTTTGCTCCAAAGCCTGGGTCGATACTCGATAATCGGGATAACGATGAAGACCTAGACCCTCCGCCCACCTACCGCCTCAAGCGGCATGAGCCGATACGAGCGTCGATTCCCCACTCATCAGGCGGATCGCTACCGCGGGTCAAATTCTCTTCGCTCAACTCGAGGACGCAGCGGAAGAAAAAGAAGTTGATTGTCAGTGGAATCGGAGCGGCTGAAGTTCGGAAATTCGAAGGCGTTAAACGGTGGTGCGAGGTATGATTCGGTTTATGCATCCCCTTGCGCTCCAAGTTGACTGACACTTATGCTTTCAGAGTTTTGGAGAGTTACGGCAGATCAGCCGTATGCCTAATGGAGACCTTCAGATTGATTTTAGGGACCCAGAAGTCGCAGATACGGTATGCTTTGTGTCGCTCAGAATTTGGAGCTCTAATCAATCTCGGTGTTCAGGTCTGCCGTGTACGGGCTAAAGTGTTCATCGCTGGTGTCGGCAGTGTGCAGCTCTCCTGGGTCGCCGGTCATAAACGATAATTTCGCATTTATGATATATTCGAATGTCTTTGTTCCTTCTTACACTTCACCACATCATCTAATGCCTTTCACGACCTTTCGACATACTTATGTGCGGTAAGTTCTAACTCCTTCGAAGTCGCTGGTGCTGCCGTTTATCCCACCCGAACAGATTCCCAACAAACATATGCACTCCCTTTTATACTTCGTTCTTCCACAGACATTCTACATACCACCATCTGAGATTCCCCATATGCATCACCCTTGTTCTATATGCATCCAATCATTGTACTACAACCCGCATACACTATACCCCGTGTAATCCATCCACCCTTTGTACGAGTAGCTACTGTAGGCGCCCGCACATACATTTTTTGTACCCGCGAAATTGATTCCGCGATCGTATCGACAAAAGGCGCCCCGATCAAGTTCCCTCGATCACGATCGCGTGTCTCTGCCGAGTTTTGACACCTTTAGCGTTGTGGTGACGACCAGTCCCACACATGCCTTGTCCCCTTTCCTCCATGGCCACCCCCGACCAACGGATCCCTATTCCTCTTGTTGTTGTGCAAGGTTTCCTCGGAAATCCAGGTGTCTTCTCGTGGGACCACCAGATTAGCAAACATGATCACAACCCATTAGGCAAAAGGAGAGTTTTGATGGCAAGGCATGTTTATCTTTCTCCTGGGAGCATGTGGGCTCTTCTGACAGTTGTCGTGGCGTCTAATGTCCTTTCAAGTCTAGGACCGGTCAGCTCACTTCATGATAGGGCATGCGAGCTGTACTACTGCCTGGTCGGGGGGACGGTTGATTATGGAGAAGAACATAGCGCCACACACCGACATGCCCGATATGGACGTACCTTTCCTATAGGTCTCTATCCTGGCTGATCTAGGGAAAGACCTTTGCACTTCATTGGACACTCTATCGTAAGTTCACTTGCTATCTTATTTCACTTCTGCGAGGCGACGAACACGATTCTTAGGGTGGGCCTACAATAATCAAGCTGCAACATCTCCTCAACGAAGGCCATTTTGGTAAAGATGGCGACCCGGACATGATTCTTTCCGTCAATGCTGGTACGGGGGCAACTCTCCTATTTGTGAGCAAGGAAACTCATTTTTGTCCCTCAGTCTGTGCTCCATTTCGGGGGACACAGCTCGTGTATACCCTCGGAGAGAGTACGACTTCAGCCCCTTCCGTGCGAGCACTTTCAATAGGAGCAGCGCTCTCGAAACTGATACATGTTCTCGCGTACTTCTCACCCATCTTGCCTGCATCTCTGGACGTCCACGCAGACGCGCGTTTGTTGTCATACAAAGAATCTTCCTTTGCTTCGTTCGTAAAGCATCTTTGGAAGAGCGATTGGGCTGAAAGTGAAGATGCAGCCCCCTATGATATGACATTTGAAGCCGCTGACGCTCGTGAGGCCGCTCTGGAAGGCCGTGTATACCCCAATACCTTTTACCGTAGTCATGTTTCTCGCATGGTACGTCCGTCCACTCTTTTCCTCTGAGCGGCGCCCCTAGATTAACTTCATGTAAAAATACAGACGCGCAAATTAGACGCAGATCCAGGCGATCATCGACACCGTCCGCGATTTAGTGTTTCATTTACCCACAATCTGCTGTATCCTTTTTCGAAAGCTATCGGCCTCTTTGACTATTCTGTTCTCAAGCCACCACCTTCCTTCTCCAGCATCGGAACTCCGGGGTATAAAGACGATGCTATGTTCCCGACTGAGAGACTAGAAGTCGAAGGAGAAGAATACTGGGCTAATGACGGTATCGTGCCTGTTTTTTCCCAATGGCATCCTCTTTCTTGCGGGTGAGCGCTCCACGTATAATAATCATGATTCTTCTAGAGTCTCACTGCGACGTAAAAGCGCGACTACGTGTGAGCACCGCACGACCATGGGACCGTTTCACCAATTGCAACGTGAACCGCAGTTAAACAAATCCTTGCAGCTTCCACCTTTGCTTGGCTGTTGGACCGTCATCTTGGCAGACTTCACCAATCACCTGTCCTGGCTTCCTGGTCCATTTAGAGAAACAATGTATCAAAGCAACTTTTGGAAAGAACTTGGGAATTGGTTATCGATGGTAGATGAAGCGAAGCCATAGCCGGCATGATACAATGTTTGGTGTATTCATTGGTGGAGACACATTCGCAGTCAAACGACGGAAATAAAACAAATGATGACAACACGGAAAGTGTGCTGGGTCAAAGAAGACGAAATGCAATCGCGATGTAGAATGTTTTTGTGGTTATAAAAGCGGGAAGAAATGGGAAGAAAATGATTCGTGAAGATGTTTACAGAAATAGCTCAACGTTCCCAATGGATCCCTGGCTGCACCTCTCCTCGTCGGTCTGGAGTCTGCGGAGTGCCAAACTGCTGGACGAATGGACGCCCAGAACGGCTATTGAATGTCCGTGGATGATTGTTGTGATTCCGAACGGCATTGTAATTAGGTTGACATTCTCGTCTGGCGCCTTGGCGGCGATAGAGAGGTGAGGACACCGTATTCAAGTTGCCATCTGGTCCGCGGAACGGAACTGGAGACTTTTGGAACTCAGGGAATCGTTGTGGTGGTACGGAAGAAGTCTCGATGTTTCTCTGTCGATCTTGGTTCTGGATAGTGTGAGGAGTCGGGGGCTGGATACTTCCCAGATCGTACGGTCGACCATGATTATAAGGAACCCATCTTTGTGCATTTGCATCCCGAGCGTTAGGCAAGGAGGCAGGGGTCCCTCCGGAGCCAGCCATGTACTGATCCAGAGCCTCCGGCTGGTACACCGGAATCAGTGTTCCCTGCTCATTTTGGATGAAGCCGGTGGGCATCAAAGGAGCCTGTGTAGCCACAGGCGGTATAAGACCTTGTTCAACCATCTGCGGTCTAGGTGAGACGACCGCGTACGGAACATACGACTGGCAGATTGGTGAGTAAGGATTAGTCTGGCAAGAATGGTTAAACGCACTCCGTACATGCCCATGGCCGGCCAAACGTGTGGTGCGACCGTAGCAGGGCCTCCTGTATCAGGACTGGGTGGGCTGCTTGGCTGAGCGATATGTTGAGGCGATGCAACAGATGGAGGATAAACCGGATAACCAGTGTAGCATGGCACTTGGTACGGCGCTTGATGCATGTATGGGTGCATCCATGGCGGTGGTGGGAAGTAGGGGCCGGGCAGATATGGATAGGTTTGAGCAGGAAGTTGGACGCCCGCAGCAGAAACAGACGATCCAAGAGAGAACGGAGCTGGCGTCTGGACTGGAGATACAGGCTCGTCGTACCACTCGCGATATTGTTCCGCATCCGGGTCGTTTGAGGGATTTTTTGTGGCGTCGGAAGTCGAAGAATGAGTAATGACAGTCTCTGATCCACGAGGGCTTTCATTTCGCTCGGACCCTTCGTAAGACGGCAGGGCACTCGCCAACGATGATAAGTGTATGTCGGAGCCATCGTTAGAATTCGCCATCATCGTGTTTCCTCCTGTGGCCGGCTGACGGAACAAGCCCTTCTCCTGGCCATCGTAGGGCGGTCTGAAATTGAATCTTCGTTGGGGCCCGTGGTGGTTCTGATGAAATTTACCGCGAGGTCTGCCGTATTTCCAAATATTTTTGGGCGGGTTGCAATCCCTCAGTTGGACCCTCATCGCACGGCCTTCATATACGCGATTGTGCTGTCGAGGGGGTCAATAGACACGTCGTTGCATCGATGGTCAGATGTAATACCTCTTCGTACACGGCACGCGCTGGTGATTCGGCATTGTCGAATTTGACGAAAGCAAAGGCAGCGCATGCATTCACTGGATCCGACTCATCAAATTCATGGCCGTCACCGGACGAGGTTGCTACTCACAAGGTCGGACAACCTTCACGCTCTCTAAGCCGCCAAATCGAGAGAAAAACTTCCTAACCTTTTCTTCGTCCCAGGCTCCTGGACCGAACATTTCCAGACCGCCAACGAAGAGAGTAGTAGGGTCAATTTCTCTCTGCGAACGAGGATCTCTTGATTCGGTGACATTGTGAATGTCTTCTCCAAAGGATTTGGATGTCAAATCTCGCGATGTGTCGAACCCGCCCGTTGTCGGAGTGAGAGGAAATTGAGAACCTGGTGTTAACGGGGTAATGGATGATGTGTCCAAAGCAGGCGTCTGAGGGATATAAAGCTCTTGAGCTCCTACGTCGACCGTGCCACTTGAATCCAAATCCCTGGAGACAGCTTTAGCCATCTACAAATAACAAAGATGACATATAAAGCCCTACCCTGCATACTGGTCTTCGTCAGGTGCTTCTTGGTCCTCACTTGACCAAGGCTTTTGGGAAACAGTGGTGGTCGCGAAGCCCTCCTCGGTATGAGAAAGGCTTCCAGGGATCCTTGAGAACGGTGTACCGGCTTCCGGAGACCGATGATAACGTGCCGCTGTAGTTGAACTCAGAGGGCTTAGAGGTTGGGCAAGAGGTCGTCCTTGGTGACGAGAGAAACCTTTGTCGGCCTGATAAATGGCGTTCGTTTCTACTGGTTGGCGAGGCGGAGTATGTAGCATCGCGTTCGTAGACTGCGGAAATGTGCCATGCTGAACATGGAAGGAATAGGTTGGAGCCTCAGGCAGGTGGTGATAGTTAGGATAGGTCGCCTGCGTCGGTGATGCCGGCTGGTGTGCCCATGTGACTGTAAGATGAGGCACTCGTCTCAGAGTCTGAAAAGCAAGGATATGAGATATGTCTAGTAGAGGAGAAAAGAACCAGAAGTCCTCACCATCAACGCGCTTACGCAATCGTCTCGATGTTCCCATTTCACTTCCCAGCAGTCAGTCGCCATACCCGACGAACGGCGAGCATTATGCGGGGCTGGGTATAATGCATAATCCGGGTTAGCGTTTTCTACGTCCCCGGAACCATCTTCAAATTTTAATTGAGGATAGATTGAAAGAAAGACGAATCCGGTTGCTGACCTTCGCAAGACTCTGCTGGCAAGGCGCAAAACATCTCCAGCGGGCCAAAGTAGGACGCTAGCTTGTGCAAGGTCTAGAGAGAAGTTAACTATCATTATATCGATATAGTTAGTCACGAAATGCAATCACCTCTCCATCGTACTTCATAGTGTCGAGAAAGATTGCGCTATCGAGCCCGTCAGAGTCAACCATCTCATGGTGTTCTTCGGCCTGAGAGGCTTCCGAATTATAGAGGATGCTGTGAAACCTGATAAAGTCATGAGAGAATGTCATTCTTGGGGTACGGAAGGGAGGACCTAGAGTTCCGGTGTTTCCAGATCCTCATGGCGATCGGAACCTCTAATTCTACCTCTTGCGACGCGAACGAAACTAGGCTGGACCCATTGGGTCCGACAGAGCGAGCTAAATGAGTAGGAGTTCTGGGAACGACAAGTAAGCATTGATGGGCTGCCACTTAGATAGAAGCTATTGACCTGTATGATATGAGCAGTGTTCTGAAGGCCCTGGCAGGTTCGTAGCGCAAAATGCGGCCCAGAAAAGGTTTAGGAGCACTGGAATGGAGGGTCTGTATCAAGGCAGTCGCCGATGATGCATTCTACGGCGCATATAAGTACTCCAGATGGGTATTGGCGCGTCGAGGAGCGATGGACTAACCTCACACTGCACAAAAGCACATACGCCTCCCTTGGAGTCTCGCACGACCTTGATGTTCTTAATTTGAGTATGTTCGGAAAGATGTTCCATTAACATTCGCGTGAGATCTCCTTGGTCAATATTTGACGGAAGACTGGCATTCAAGGTTATTGGGAAAGAAAGTGGCGCATATATGGGCATTACTGACCTTCCAACAAAAACGCTAGCATCATGGGGTAGTTTGTCATCTTTTGCTTTCATGGTAGTGTCCGGTGATGGGGAGGCGTCCTCGGGCGAGATGCCTTGCGATGGAGGGGAAGGACGGGGAGAAACCTGGTCTGCGTGCGCCGCCCAAGAGCGGTTTTGGACGGGTAACATGGAGGTTGTAGGAAAGGTATTTGAAGGCCATTCCAAGGTTACAAATGGAGTAGGGGATTATCTCGATGACGCTGGGATGATAAGATAAAAGAACGAAAATTGAAAATAATAAATACACACCCTTGTCAAGAATTAATCAATCAACAGCACCGACACGTCGATGGAACATTCGCGCGCCTTCAAGCCACGTTTTGCGACCCCCGACGCTGGCTCAACAGGGTGAGCGCGAGGGATCACAGGGCAGACAATCGACGATCGAATCAGCGCTGCTTGATCCAACGCAATTTCCTGTCATGTCACTGTACCCACCAAAGTCCTTCCCGAGCCTGGTTGCGTCTGGGCAATGGAGCCGCAAAGAATATGTTGCAGAACAACGCACCACCGCACATCCTGGAAACAAAACGAGATGAAGATGGGGATGTGCGCACCAGGGGCAGATTGAGAAAATCCCCAGGTGTTGGTTGGTGATCAGCATAAGCTGGACGATGACTGACTGGCAGTCCATCAATCAGTGGCATCAGAAGCAAAGAATCCTCATAAGTAAATAAACTGGCAGAAAGGCGTATTCGGACAAGCCCCATAGTGCGAATTTGCAGGAAGCTGGTCCATCTTAGACCTGGGTTCTGTACAAGGCAATCGAAGGCCACAGCAGGCATGTTCCAACAGCCAAAAGGCTACGCCGTTCTCCGAGGACAGACATCGAGCAGTTGGAGCCGGCTCCGAGAGACGACGTAAAGCCTAAGAAACCGGTCGTCCTATGTCGTTCCCGCGGACATTTCAACAGCTAAAAAGGTGATCGTTGACCCGATTCTGGCGCATCGAAGCTTAAGGCCGAGCTTATGTATAAACCTGCAAAAATGTTCACAGTCCACAAGGATTATGTAAATGCCTCAGGCATGCAAAAAAGACTCGCAGGGGATGTGCCTTCGGGGCTGAGATTGAGCTGCAGGAGTTTCATGAAGAGGTTTATAGAGTCTCTTTACAAAAGTGCGTCCCAAGAACGACTAGTATTGCTTCCAAGATATGGCTGAACACGATTCAAGTGAAAGATGATAGCTTGAAAGACGTTCCGGGATTTGATTTGAGTTATTCCGTCTTGAGTTTCGTGGCACACAGGCACTGGTTACGCGCAAGGTATGCAAGTGATTGACGCCTTCGTGTGTGGCCTGGGAGAGTCAACGCAGGATGACGTCACGTAGTCACGCTAGTCGCGTCACATAAACCGGATCGGGTGGAAGGCTTTGAAGTTGATCTTGACCCCCACTCATCGGAACAGGAAGGCAAACCGTCGACATTCCTCTCAAATTAACCACATCTTCCTGTCACCCGAGAAACCCCTTTAAGTCTTCGGAATGTCGGACGATGGTTATGCCGGTGGTGCACCCGACGATTTTGACTACGAGACGGGTCCAGGGTACGCGGTATTCTTGCACAACATGCTCGTGGACGGGTGCTGAATGTCTTTCTAGATACGGAGAGGATACCTTTGTGTGTCTTATTTTCTTCTCTTTCCGCACGTGCGCATGCTTAGCGTGCCTTCCAGGACGAAGGCTACGACCTTCTCGCAGGCGAACAGGAGGAACAGCCCAATGGAGAAGGAGCTGGCGAAGATGGCATGCAAATGGCTGAAGACGGTCATGCTGGTGTGAACGGAGGCGATGGCGAACAAGATATGGCTGGTCATGAAGAACCGACGCCTGCGACGGGGATTGCTGGTGAACGACAACCCAACAAGGTTCGGATTACAACGCCATATCTCACGAAATACGAGAGAGCGCGAATACTGGGAACAAGAGCGTTGCAGATAAGGTACGTGTATCTTTTTTCTTACTGGATATCATGACTCTGACTTTCTGGTGAAACCTTGCAGTATGAATGCCCCAGTTCTCGTTCCGCTTGATGGGGAGACGGATGCCCTTCAAATTGCCATCAAGGAGCTCTCGCAACGGAAAATCCCACTGGTCATCCGACGCTACCTACCTGACGGCAGCTTCGAGGACTGGAGTGTCTCGGAATTGATAACGGACTGAGTTTCCTGCTTGCTCAATCTTGGGTCTGGTCTTTTTGTTTTATACACCCTCGCACCTTTTTTTTCGTTCAAGACTTTGCTCATTTGTGCACCCACATTGGCAGTGTACGGGATGCTACAGTATAAATGAGTAGAAAGCGCAATGTCAAAAGTACTTATAATTACATGAATAAAATGATATCTGCCCAAAGTGTCCTATCTACCTATCTAACCGTGACACCCTTTGCTTTCCTCTTCGCGGCTGGACGTCGACGAGACTCTTGAGCAACTTGGGCTTTCGATGCTAGTTTCCTCAACGCCTTCGGAGGAGGCAGATCCTCAACGAGCTGTTCGACCTCCATGACAGACAGCTCGAGAAAGCTAATGTCCATCTCTGAAGCATCTGGACCTTTCGGACGAGGTTTGCGCTTGTCCTCCATATCTCGCATTGACATATCACACAGGCTGATGTCCATTTGTGACTTGTCAAAATCATCGGACACCGGCGGTGGTCTGTTGGTCTTTTCTTTGAAGAGCATCCTCCGCTCACCAGTAGGCATAGCGTGGCGGTGATTCGATGTTGTCTGCCGCTTTGTTGGGCTGGCGTCAACGTTGTCATAGTGGGAGGACTTTTGCCGACGTTTGCTGGGAGAAAGGGGAGGAACAGGCTTGCTGTCCGCCACAGGTTTCTTTGTGGCTTCGACAGGCAGAATAGGCGCGATGTTTTCTCTTTCTGGCACCTTCCTTGCTTTCGTCGATGATGGTGCAAGAGATTTAACGGTCTTGAGACCTCCAAGCATAGAAGTTTCCTCTTCGCCGGCCACCAACGTTTGTTGAATTTCCCAGTCCGAAGGTCGCATCCTCTTCCAGTCTTCGATAACTTTATCCGTCCAGCGATCAGTTTCACCCAATATGTGGTAGTCAATGATATCCTGCCACTCCGAGCCCGGAGGGGTCTTGTTCACGAAGATGACCTTGAAGGGCTTCTTCGAACTCGACGCAGCCGAAGGGGAGGCGGACGAGTGAATTGTCCGGGCGAAGTCCTTGACGAGTTTCTTCAAACCATGGACTTTGAGTGACGTACCCATAATAATGAGCATGTCGGGTTTCCTTGTTAAATCGGCAGAGTGAATTGCGCCGATGTCGTCACCAAGTGGATGGGACTCGTCATAAAGGACGATAGCAGGGCGGAGGGAACCAACACGGATAGCGCGAGCAGACCGAGCAACGCGAGCTTCGGCTAAACGGTGAAAAAAATCGGTCAGTGTACGAGAAGAGAACATGGGCTTAGAGCTTATACACATACATCGCAGAAGGCATTCTGGGCAGTCCGGAGCATTGCCTTTCTGGAAGAACGCAAGGTGCTCTTCAGCGCAGGGATATTCCGCCGAGCACGCCATGCATCTAACGCGGTGAATATCACCGTGTAGTTGAACGTTTCTGACGTCCTTTGTTCGAATCTTCGTTTTCCCCTTGCCATTGGATTTTGCCTCCTGACACGACGTCCCCAGCAACCCCACACGCGCTTCGAGGCCGTCTATGTTCTGAGTATACGAACGCAGAAGTTTCTTCTTCGTGTCCAGGGTTTTAATGAAGTGATGAGTTGGTGCTGGATCAGCCGCATCGATGGAGCGCTTCAATTGCGAGATGAAGGTATAGAACACAGCAGTGGATGTGGCGTCCCGAAATAGAGAGGCGTCGAAAAGGTCCCGCCCTTTCAGAACAACGTCGGGATAACGTTCTTTGACCAAGGCATATAGTCCGTCAGAGGAACGGAAGTCCTAGAGCATGATCAGGGTGGTTTTCAGTGGCAAATATTCACCTCAACTCACAGGAATACCACAGGAACACGAAATGCCAGCTCCAGTTACAACAACAATTTTCTTTCCTTTTGCAACGGAAAGAGAAATATCTGAGAGTGTGCGCCGTGTGTGGCTGTCTGAAGCAGCGGCGTCGAGGTCGAGGGTGATGGTCATCGTGAGCGTCTGTGAACACGCTGCTAACCGAAAGTTCAACCAAAGAACATCAGTTCAGGGTCCTGTATTGTTTATTGTTTGTTTCAGGTCGCGTCGCGTGTGTCACGTGGAGCGCGACTTGCCCCAGTTATTGCTACCGACGACGCGTACACTATGGCAAACTTCTACTTCCTAACTTCGCGTTCAGACGAAGGAGTACGCTCCAAGTATCTAATGGCGCCTGTAGAAGAGCAACTAGACTTCGTAGTGGAGTCAACAGTCTTGTACGTGCCATATTGTTCCTGGAGAAGACGATGAACATTGAAAACCAATAAGCCTCTAGATCAGTGTGGACGACATACCGTGCCAAATACGTGACTGAAATACCACACCTCTGTGAGGACAGTTCCATTGTTTGAGCAGCCAAAGTACGGAATACCTCCAGTCTGGGATTCGATGGCGGTCCGGAACTGGGTGAGGGTGTAAGTCGTCGTGTTGGAGGGGACGATCCCCGCAGCGGCCAGCATGTCGAAGGTTGGGTATTGGCGGAAGGCCCTGATCACAGCATCGAAGTAATTGACGACGTCCTGGTTCTTTCGGTATCCGGGTCCATAGCAGGCAACATCGAAAGTCGATGTGCACGTCGCATGTTTCGAGAACTAGTTTGCTCCTTGAGTGAGTCTCCTCATTGTCGGCTTCGCTCGACTCACTTCATGTCCCCAGAAATCGGCGTTTGGCGAGCCCTGGCTGACCCAATAGTGGTTCACTAATGCCTGCGATTACAGTCTCTTCCTACAATAGTAGTTTGAAGGCTTACTGTATTCGAGGAGATCTTCCCTCCCAAACTCCTTGATGAAGGTGTCTATTCCTGGGCCAGTATACGGTGGAACGACAGTCCCATCGGGGAGCTGTGCCGGGGACGGCTTGGGGTCATACTGACGCGATAGGTCACAGTACGACTCGTAGGATCTTCGCGGAATGGGTCGATGGAAGTCAGAAGAGTAGTTTCGACGATAAGAAGGGAAACGCTAATCACCCATCGCAATTGTCTGGCCAAAGTCCATGAATAGTCCAACTATTCTTCGGCAATTTCTGTCCTTGCTTCTCAAAGCCCGTATATGTGTCCCAGAACTGCGTTTGGAGGACAAGACCTCCCGGGGTTGGGGAGCAGCAAGCGTTCTGGATGACGGTGGTGTTTTCGCACGAGAAAAATGAAGGCTGAGAAAGACAAGAGGCGAGGTCTGGGAAGGTATTGGGTATCGAATGCTTGCCAGTCGCTCCAGCGTTAACCGCAATGGCAGCGAAAGAAATCAAGAACACAATTTTTGCAGGGTTCATAATGATGCTCGATGGGTTCGATGGCTGAGGCGGCCGGTGCTTCTGGAAGTACGCGGCGCAAGGACATTTTATGGGCCTCACGTCGGCAGATGTTGGTCGTATCTCAGATAGGTGACCATGTGCACAGTCGGTGTACATATGGGGTGACCATGCGAGCGAATCATTTGGAGGCGAATGACCTCTGTTGGGGGAAGCGTAATCTAAAATTAGACAACAAACGTGCAAGCACTATTAAATTTTAGCAGAGCGGAGGCGTTAGAGCGAAGGGTTTAGTGTACATGAGTAGCGTGAACAGGGCGGTGAGTCGATGAAGCAGGTGAAGTCATCAAGCATCCGCGATGACAGTACGGGGGTTATAGTGAGAAGAGAAGAACAGTCTACACATCAGCCCATCCACCTTCGTCGAGTTTATAGGATGCTTCGCTTTCAGGACGATCCGGACTGTCAACCAGTTTGGCGACTCGTTCTTCGGCTCGACCTAATCATGAATTAGAAGCGTCCGAGGGGAAATCTGGAGAAGCGGCTGGTGTTCTTGACTTTGAGGTGAATGCTCACCTTTACGCAAGAACAACCTTGTTGCCGAGGCGTGTGATAAGATGTGGCCTCCAATGGGCTTCAAAGCGCCGCCAGCGACAAATGTCATAGTTGCACCGGGATCAGCTGCATAGGGAGGCTAAGTATAATGGATATGGACTTGAGGTCAAGAGGACCTACATTGCACTTGGTTTGTGAGGAGAATCGCGATCTATGCCATATCAAGAGGTCAGTAGACAGTAACTCCAGAGGTGGGTAAGTCAACGTTGTATTCTTCCGAAAGTTTCGTCAACTTGGACAGCATTTGGGCTAACTGGTAAAATATCACAACGGATGTCAGTATGCATCTCGAGTCGGAACTGGTTTCGTTCCGTACCTTCTGCTGGCGCTCGCTGAGTTCTCCTCTGCCCGAATAATCGACGCGGAAGAGGGCCATGATGCTGTCGACTATCTGTAGAAAGATTATAAGCTAGAAACATGAGGACAAAGCAAAGAGATCATTCGATCCATACGAGAAGCCGGAAGTCTTTGTCCTCTGCGAACCGCATTGAACATTCGTTAATGAGTTCCATCTATAATCAAGGAAGTCAAGTGATTTCCCCTAAACATAACGTCCCAATCCACCTGGTGTTCGCTGTTGAACGCTCGAGCTAAAGGAGTCAGCAGATGAGTGAGGAAAGACAAAAGAATAGCAAATTCATACCATAAAGGATATTCTCAAGAACCATGTTTCCGTCTACGCCAAACCTATCAGCGATGGAACGAATGCGGTCCGGGCGAAAAGTTCCTGGTGAAAACCACTTTACATCAGAACTTTCTTTCTTAAGGCCTCGTCGACAAGCGATACCTTCAGTGTCGATATATGCGACCTTTTACAGACGTCAGCGTCCAGCAGAGGCAAAAGAACGAGATATCAGATTCACCTTTCCGGATGCTCCACCGAGTTCGGGAGGCAGTTGTGTAATGACACTCATAGTATGTGCGAGCTGCGTTTTACCCGTGCGGAATTCGCCATATACTATTACTCCAGGCTCAACAGAGCACAGGTTTCGAGACATTGACGTTGGCGTACCTTCCGAGATGGACTGCGACATGATGCCGCCTATAACAATGACATGGAGTTAATGTATGCGTAGCCGCGGGGTGTAGAAGAGTCCTTACCACCCAATATACCATCTACATTCTTGCTTCCGGTGCTAATGGCGTGCACTCTCTTGCGCTTGTCCTGAACCTCGACGCCAGTGGCAAACGACGATCCCTATAAACTCCTCGTCAGCATCGAAACATGAAACGGCAGAGATCTTGATACTAACGAGAATTTTCGAGGCGGCTTCCTATGAGAGAGGTTAGCGCATTGCGTTTCCATTGAGGAGGTATAGGCTTACCTTGATCTTCTCGACTTTTGCCTCAGACATGCCCTACAGCAAGGATTAATAAACCGCAGAACGGGTAAGTATATGCTTCCTAAGGGACCTTGATCTTGAGCATCTGACGGCGGGTGGTCATGCTAACACCAAAGACCGTGTTGATAGCGGCAGACTGGGCGAAGAGTGAGGCACTGAAAAAGATGGAAGCTGAGAGGAACATACCTTGAGCTTGAGGATATCTTGGACGTTGATACCCTTCGAATTTGTCGGTTAAAATCAGTGGGTATATGCGCTGAGATGATGCATACATGCTGCTGGAGCTCGTCGACGGAGTCGAAGTACGGTATCTGGAAACCAGGTCTCGAGGTAAGTATATACAACAGTATCTTAAGGCAACAATGATCTTGCCTCTTCTTCCTCTCCTGCGCCAGGGCTTGCAGGACGGGAGGGAGCCACGGAGGCTATAGAAGGGGCGCGTCGAGGAGGCATCTAGGAGAAGATAAAATGTTGAGGTAGAGGTGAGTGTTCGAGCAAGAGTTGCAAATGAGAGAGACGCGTCCGGAATAAATAGCTTCGAAGTGCTGACCAATATACGTCAACGATATATAGGGCAGGTGGTAAGTACAGTACAGGCTGGCCGCGGTTCAATCGCATAGTATAGTTCTACAATCTAGAAGAAAAGAGGGTTTCAACAAAACGATATCATGAAACAAGCTGTCAATTACCTCTTCCTCAACCCACACAAAGCCAGAGATTTCTCAAGCCCATTCAGTCTGCATCAACAACCATCCCGCCCCTCCCGCGCCGAATCCTATCCTCCAACCCACCACTGCCCCCAAACACCCGCTTCTGCTCCTGGCTGAGGAATCCAGACATACCCTTCGACTTGGCGCGTGCCCTTTCGTCCGCCTCGAGCTCAGCCTTCTCCTTCTCGAGCAGGGCCGCGAGCCGCTGTTGCCGCTCCTCGGACATGGCACCGGCGTTGGTGGACATCGCTGCGAGGCGGGCGGCGCGGTCGGCTTCCATTTGTTCTCTGGTGCGGGCGCTGCTACCATTCGGGTTGGAGTAGTTTCTTGGTGCAGGGGGAGGAGGCCCGCGAGGAGGGGGTAGTGGTGAATGTTCGGGACGAGAGCGTTTGGGCGGAGGGCTCCGCCGACGAGGGCTTGGGCTGCGCGAACGCTTTCCACCATACCGGCGGTCTTCGTTACGACCTTCAGAGTAGCCGTTGCGACGGAAGTAGGGTTCACGATCACGCTCGTCCGAGTCATCATCACGTCGAGGAGTTGCACTTCCACTGCGACCACGATAACCCTCCGGACTATACCTCCTCAGTCTCGAGTATTGGCCCTCGTCATCGTGCCTACGACGTGGTTCGGGTGAAGGCGAACGGGAAGAGGAGCGGTATTGCGGGCTGTGGCGTCGAGGTAACCTATGACGTTCTTCACGATCGTACGAACGGTCTCTGGTGTCCCGCCTGGGAGGGCTGGCAGAACGAGAGTCTCTGTCCAAGCTCCTGCTCCTGCTCCTGTCCTTTCCATGTTTCCGTTCATGCTTCCTGCGCTTACGCTCCTCCTTCTCCCTCCTCCTCTCCTCTTTTTCCTTCCGTCGCTGCTCTTTGTCCTTCTTCGGCTTAATTCCAAGTTGCTTCTGCATCTGGGCGAGACGAAGAGGATTAGAGAGCAAGGCTTGATACGAGGCTTGTTCTTGTTGCTTGATTGCCAACAATGGGTCCTCTCGGATCTTGGAGGCGATGTCGCGGACAGAGTTGGCATTTTGAACAGCAATGAAGTTCTTGTGGGCTGAACCGAGCTGGGAGAAAGATGTTAACGATAAGTTAGTGAAATGAGCGGCCTTGAGACGTACCTTGGCATTTTCATCAGCCGTCATAACCTGGTCAATCCTCTTCTTTCCGAGTAGGTAGTCCTCCAGGTCGTTTGGATTCTGACTATTCCCCATTGCTGGTGTTGTATACATCCATTCTAGTTTCTCCTGCCGTTTCTTTCCCGTTTGTTCTTCCTGAAGCCGCTGAAGTTCTTGTAACTGTCTTTCTTCTTCCTTCTCCTTGCGCAGTTGGTCAAGTTTCTTCTTCTCTTCGCGCTGGGTAGGGAATTAGTAACACGACAGCGATGCTGGAGCGAGTTGACTCACCGCTTTCTGCTCCTCTAACCACACCCGCTCCTGATTCTTCAGGAGCAGGGGGTGCCAGCTCTTCTTCATGTTCAAGTCTCCACCACCCATTTTGACTAGTTTCTAGCGGGTCAACGAAAGAAAGGGATGAAACGGCCAAGTCGAGATGACTGGCAGCAGTGGAAGGAGCGAGAGGTGGCTGTGCAAGGCACAATGCGGTGGTTGGTCTTATTTGGACGCGATCAACGATGGGTTTGCCGGCGCTCAGCTGGCATGAGCATTGAGCATGATACCCACTTTCCTCCACCATCCCTCATGTCGTACTTAGGACCGCAGAATCGGGACCTAGAGAGAGGGGAAGAACATGATCCCCTGAACATGGATACCCCAAATGGACCGGAACCGCCAGTGTCAGTCGCATTCCCGCAGCCCCTCGGTGTATCATTCTGAAGGCAATTGCAGAGCTACACGGTCCATCTATGCCCTCACTCGCAAAGAGATCACTCGGGGCCTCGCGAACCGCTTTGTGCATTCGCGGACATACATCTTTCTGTACCTGGCGATGGCAATGCTCTCGGTGACTACCATTGTGCTGAGCCTTACGGACGAATGTCCCGGAGTCGCGTTCTTCGTACTGGAAGTGATCATCAATACCTCTATGATCTTAGAAGTCGGAATTCGCTTTGTTGCGCTGGGCAAGGTAAGGCTCCATGCTGGCATTTTGGTGTAGAGATAAAGGCTCACCTGAAGGTCGCAGCAATTCTGGAAATCACCATTTAACGTTGTGGACCTGATACTTACCCTGTTCTGTGCGGTGACGCTGCTAGTGCTGGTGTTTGCGAAATGCGGTTCGGGGAGTAAGGAGGAGGAGATCTTTGACACGCTGTTACTCGTGGCTCGGAATGTTCTTCAGTTTGGGCGGTTAGCTGCCGTGATGAGACAGTAAGTGTATGATGAATTCGTGATTCTCTCAAGCTAAATGCGAGGATAGATCGGGACAATCTATATTTTCGAGACCGAAGCCCATTGACATCAACACTGCGCGTAGAGCGGGATTCATGGACCTGGATATGGAGAGTGATGAGGAGCACGACGAGGAGCTGAGCCGGCCGCTGGTGCGGAACTCTGTGCTGTTCGACGCGGAGAACGAGCGGCGGCCGCAGCGATTCACACCGACGCCGATGCCTCGAGCTGCGCAGGCGGCGCGGGACCGAGACGCGGAGGATGTGTGGGCAGAACTAGGCTGAAGATATTTTTAGCGGATTATATGTACATTTTTGAGTAATTCTTTTTTTTCGGATTGGATAGAGAATTAGGCGTGATATGTCCGGGGCAGGGGCGCGTGAGTCGAGGCGCGGGTGGGAGGGTTCTTATGTGTCTGATGGAGGAGGATCGTGGGTGATGGATACGGGGACCGGGAATATTGGCGCGGGACTGCCAAGTGAGACCTCCTCCCTCTTTCCTCCTCCGTATCCATGGCCAGACACAACTAGCTCTCCGCCCGCCCACAACACACGCAATGCCCTCGACGCTCGGCGAGCCAGCGCCCCGCAACTGGTGGTCGCTGTCTCGGAGTCCGAGCGGGAAGGATCTGCACAGCAAATTCACGCAGGAGAAGCCGATGCGGCGCTCAGCCCCGGGACTGAGCTTCAACTCGTTCGCCAGCGCGATTGGGCTCAAGACGAAGAAGCACCACATCGCCATCCAGGAGCCCCCGTCCCCCGTCGACCCACACCCGCCGCCCCTCGCCAGCCCCCGCTCAACCGGCACCCGGCCGGCCTCAAAGGCCGCATCCTCCACCCGCTCCCGCGTCGACTCCCTCGAGCCCCGCACACCGCTCGACTACCAGCACCGCGACCGCCGCCACTCCCTCCTCACCCTCTCCGACACGGACCCCTTCGCCGGCCGGCCTCCCACCATCGCCGCCCCTCTCCCGCACACTCCTTCCGACCCCAACCGCCTCTCGGCCTACTCAAACCCCTCAGTCACCGATTTCGCGCACAGGAAAGGCACGGACCCGCCGCCATTCAACCGTGTATCGTATGCCTCCACCTCATCCAACTCTCATGAACTTGTCCCCGCTGTACCATTTTCACCCCCTCCCAAAGGCTCGTCCGATGTCAGAAAACTTCATACAAAGTACGCATCTCTTTTTTTTTCTCGCTCCAATTCAGTTCCTGACACCGCTAAACCAGACGCTCGGCTGGCAGCCTCCAGGTCCAGCGTTCCGACCTGCTATCGCGCCAGACCTCCATTCCTTCCCCAACGAGCCCGGCACCATCATCAGCACTGCCCAATTCTGCTCAGAGCAGACCAAAATTGCGCGCACGCGGAATGACTGATACTGGAACTTCCCACAAAGCTGGCTTCTTCGTCGAGGATCGATCTGCTTCCCGCAAGTCGTCCCAAAAGGCAACCTCCCCGAAGAACCCAACTCCATCATCACCCCATGACATACAGCTCAAGCCAGAGACTCCCATCTCTCCTCGGGTTGTTATCCGCCAGCCTTCTGTCTCCCGCTTCCAATCTCCTCCCAGCGCTCCGCCTGTACACAGTCTTCCCGCTACGCCCAATCCCATCATGGAAGAGCCTCCACGAAACCGCGCTGGTATTGGCGCTCAAACCGAGCCTGCACCGCGCACATCGTCTTCATCCTCCATATCGTTAACAAACGATATGTTCGCAGTTCCCTTTCAAGGGACAGGTCCTTTTTCTCAAACTATACACGATTATGCCCTTGAGAACGACTCGAAAACTGCTCCTTCATCGCCTCGGACTTTGCGAAAGGCTCTGTCCCAATCCTCTCTCAACCGACGCAATGCGCCTTACGCCTCGCCGACGCCTTCAATACCAAAGACTTCTCCTCTCCAGCTGCCTGCAGAGAAAGTTAAGAAACAACGGAGCTTTCATCACCCTCGTTTGCCTATTCCTCCCGTTCCCTTGTCAATCCGCACTTCTACTTCGTCCAACTCCACCTCTTTTCCATCCCTGTCAGATTTTGGCAGCCCACCGCCTAGCGACCACCGGACAAGCTCAACAAGCTCGTTTGGACGGAAAAGGTTGTTTTCAAATTCTAGCCAGCGACCGTCTACCTCCCAATGTGTACCAACATCAGCCAGGGAAGATGATAGTCTGTCTATATTCAGCCTGCGCTCGGACCCCGATTCTCATTTGGGTCCCTACAAGCATTGGCCGAGCAACATTACCGCCAGCCCACCCGTACCCACCTCGTCCTCGTTCTGGGACGAGGGCAGTCCCGACATCGGCCCAACGAGCCCCAGCTCGCGCTCTCAGTCCGAGTACATGCCCCAGGCCATCCTCTCACGGGATGAGCTGGCCAAGATCGAAGCGAGTGTGGAGAGTTTGAATACGCTCGAACCGGCATCAACATCGTACTCGACTGCGAATTCGAATTCGCTCTCGGGTTCGGGTTCGAACTCCCGGAGTCGGGGCTTTTCGCTCCTTTCTGCGTCCACGGTTGCGTCGGAGTTGGATATGGAGGAAGAACATACGGATCGCGTCCCGGTGGGCTTGTCGCCCCCACCCTCTGCGCGGCCTGGCACCAGGCAGAGGTCGCTCAGGATGAGCGCGCAGTCTGCGAGCTCGGCGCACTCGAAGGCGTCGAATAGGTCGGGCGTTTCCTCGGGAGGTGGTTCGCGCGCGTCGAGCCCACCACCGCCTCAGCCGTCACGATCAACGTCGGGTACTGGGTCTGGGAATATCAGACGGAATGCGGACGCGAGCACGCGTGGGGGTGGAGGCGCGGAAAGCGCCGCCATCGGTCACACGGGGGTGGCACAGGTGGCGATGCGAGTTCCGTCGCCTAGTAGCGGGTCGTTCATGACGAGTCTCCCGCCGCCCCCACGCCATCGACAGCGCACGCGCGTTTCGTCAAAGCCCGACCTACCCGGCGCGTCTATCAGTAGTACTGCGTCGACGGTTACTCCGACACCCCCTATCCCATCTCCCATCCCCTCATTCGCCCCGATTTCCAGTCCGACCCCTCCTCCAACATCACTAACGCCCTCGCCCTCGATAACACCAACGCCTTCGCCCCTAATTCCCTTTACACCTCCACCCCTGCACCTGTCGTCCTTCCGCAAATCAGGCGCCTCGTCAAGCACATTGAGCATGCGTTCCAAGTCAAGTGTGGAGCGCGCCATGCACCGGCGATCAATAATGCGAAAGCCGTCGTTCCTGGAAATTGAGGACGACAGCGATCAGGAGGACATTGAGGATGTGGTGCTTGTGCGGCCGGGCTCCTCGGGCCTTGTGGGAGGGCTCGTACGGCCGCCTCCTAGTGTTGGTGAGGAGGTCGAGGAGGTTAGCGCGAGCTTCTTGGATCTGGCGAGGGAGTCATTCGAAACTGCGCGGAGCGAGAGATGATATTTTCTTGTTTGCCTTTCGCCTTTCCTCTTCGCCGTCTCTCGTTCCTCTGTTCGATCGGTCCACTCTCCTTTCTTTTTATTTTTTGATTTATGCTTTCTTCCTCCTCTCCATGACAGACAACTATACTAGTATCATATCCACATTTGCTTTCAGGATTTGCCACAATCCTTGTTCGTAGGACTCGTTACTGTCGATTACAGCACATTCTTGCTTGTGTTAATAATTCGTCTCTCTCTTGTGTGCTATATGGGATTTTACAACCCTCCTTTTTTATTCTTAATTTTACAGTTACGGTCGAATTGCATTATTGTTGTCATTCATCCCATCCCACGCACTCATTCATCCACACTCACTACGACCCACCACTCGCTATTACCCTCAGTCTGTCGCATACCCCATTCAAAGTTTTCCATTATTCAGATGCATTAGATAGGTATTCAATTTGGCAATGCGGAAACACGAGATACGATAACTGTTGTCTGTGTGATAGCCCCGAAAGTTCTCCAAGTTAGTCTGTCTCCTCTGTGTGATATCCTGCACGTCTCATGGCTCCCAAACGATGTCGAGCTGCGCCCAACTCCTTTTCGAGCTTGAGGATCTCGACCTGCTGCTCCATCTCGCGTTTCTTGAACTCGAGGACCGCCATGCTCTTGTAGTCGACATCCTCTTCCTCCGCTTGTCTCGCAGAAACAGCCTTCACCTGCCTGACGAGTGCCTTGCAAGCTGCAGTGACTGCCTTCGCCGCCAGCTCGAGGCGTTCTTGAGTCTTTGACATGAGATTAGCCTTGACACGAGAGGCCGCTACAAGTTGAGCAGTCGCACTGGCAACCTCATTAGACGCCACAATGAGTTGCTCAAGCGAGTGCGTGCCAGACAAAACACCATCGGCACTCTCAATGAGTAGGTTCGTTGCGAAAGCAACCGCTTTGGCAGCAGAGATCAGACCCTCCGTCCAGCGGTTGTTGCGCTTGTAAAACTGCTGGTTAGTGCTCGACCCTTTACCCTGCGCCACGATCTCCTGCTGCGACTCGGTGGCCGCCTTGATGAGGCGGGAAATCGCGTTCGTGATAGCCATCGCTGCAGACAGGATCGAGTCGTGGACCTGTAGATCAACCGCGCTGTACCGCGAGGAGTCGCGTGAACGCGACATCAACGCCTGCAACCGTTCCGTGGCAGCCTCGATCGCCTGAGCTGCGTTCAACATCTCTTTCTCCACAATGTCACCAATCTCCCCGTTCGCACGTGCAGCTTTAGTGCCCTTGGGGATGAGACCGTCCACAACTTCAGACAGTTTGGTGAGGGAAGTGCGTGCTTGACTATTATTACGCATTGCAACCTCTTTGCGTTGGGTTGGCTGAAGCAAATCGAGCTTGTAGGATTGCAGATTCTCGAAGAAACGCAAGCCAACATCTCCTGCAGACTTGGCAACGTTAATGATCTTGTCAGAGGCGTCGTCATCGCTGGCCAAACGAGTAATTCCCTTGGTGTTGATGAGCACGTCGGCGAGAGATTGGGCGAATTCGTTGGCCGACTTGATAACGTCGACGTGATCTCCACCACGTTCCCCACCAAGGTAGAGGTTGTAAATAGTGGCAAATTCGGTCGCGTTATTCAGGCATTTCTCGATCATCGAGAGGGTATACTCGGGGGTCGAGTTGAGGTTGCCTGCCTGAGTGGGAGATTCTAACTCGTAGATCGCATCGTCAACCTTCTGGACACATGCTTGCAGAATGGAATCTAAGGCACAACCCGTTAGCAAGGACGGGGCAACATGTCCACGAGATTGTATTACCGATAATTTGATTCAATTTCTTGCGGTTATCAAGGATAAGAGTGTCAATTTGGGCGTTGGTAGTCTCGTCAACGAGGCCTTGATTCTACGCGGAGATTAGTTAGATTTGACGGGAAACAGTGAAGTAACCCACCTGCTGGGCTTCTGATAGCTGCTCAATCGTGCTGTCCATTCCAGCCTGCAAGATCATGATTTCCTGATCCTTTTCTTCCCTAAGACGCTCGAGATCTCCACCAGCGTTGTTGAGCTTGACGAGCAGGTCGTCAATCTGCATTTGCTTAGCCTATAGGACGGAACACAAATCAGCATGAGCACAGAAGAAAACCATAGAGTACATACGCGAAGGGAGTCTTCCAGCTCTGACAACTGCCTGTTGTATTTTGACATGACAGTGGATACCTCGGAGCTCTTGTTGCGAGAGGCGTCTTCTGCACGCTCATTGGCGAAGTTGAGTTCACGGCGCAGTCGATCAACTTCATCCTTATGAGATGACTTTTGTCTGTCAATGTCAAAGCGGGCTCGATCCCGTTCTCTAAGCATATCAGCCAGCTCGATGTTTTTCGCCTTCAGGTCTCGCTCCATTCGCTCCATACGGTCGACAGCTTCTTGAGCAGAGTTAGCTTTGAGTTGCATTTGCTTGAATTTGGAAAGCATGTCAAGGTGCTCTGTCCGGAGCTGACTGTAAAGCTTTGCGAGGGCCTCATACTTGTTCCGCCAAAGTGTGACTTGATCCTGCAACTGCTTGATCAGTTCATCTTTGGAAGCCAACTGAGAGTTAATGTGAGCGTTGACACCGCTCAGCTCAGATTCGAGAGCTTTGACGCGCTAGAATTCATCAATGAGTCGAGGCGGTCAGAGTTTGAAGAGAACCCTTACGCGATCATACTGCTCAAGGAAAATCTGGTCACGCTCGTATTGGCCTCTCATCGCAAGCAACTCCCGCTCTAGTTCGTTCTGTTGATTGTTGTTGTACATCATCTGCTGTTGCATAAGTTGTTCTTGTGCCTGTCTCTGAGCGTCAGCCTGGGCACGCTGGCGCGCTTCGAATTCCGCCTGTTGTTGACGTTCAAGCTCAGCACGCTGTCTTTCTTCGGCGTCGCGTTGTGCCTGCAGGGAAGCTTGCTTATCCTCGTACTCCTTGAGCATTCGTGCTTGCTCGTCAATCTCTGCAGCACTTGGCATGGGTGTTGCAGGAGGTGGTGTGGGAGATTTTGCCTTAGGTCGCGCTGGTAGATCGGGAGCATCTCCTGACTCCAAGAGGTTTGGCGGTTCCTACAAGACATCCTATAAGTACTAAGATGGCCGAGAGTTGGAGCTGCATACATGACCCAATTTAGGGACGTTGATAAGACCGGTCAGATACTTCAGATTCGAGCATTCGTAGTAGAACTTTCGAAGGTTGTAGTGCTGGGAAGTATATCTTTCCTTCAAGGGCTCCAACACGTCCTGGTCATTGGTTCCTGAAATGAATAGTCGAGGCCAGTTGGGACAATCGAGAGGAAGATGCTCACGTCTGTACATCGCTCTAAGCATGCTGGTGATGAAGCGGTATATTCCCCAACTCTCTTTCACCAATGGCACCAACGACGAAATACGGCATTCATTGTTGGCTGAATGGCGGAAGTGGGAGAAGACCATCTTTTGAAAAGATTCTATTTGATCTTGAAGGCCCATAAGGTCAGAGATAGTTTCGTAACTGCAGACATATTGGAGATTGAGGACGATTGCAGAATCAAAAGAATAAATACCCTTCATTGGGATCATCGATTCCCTTCAGAGTGACATATTCTTCATATTCGAAGAGGCCGTTGAACTCTGGACGAAGGCGATGGAATCTCAGTTTAGCCAAGATGAATTGGACATAGGTTTTGATCAGTGAAGCATATCCTGTTTGGAAGCAATCAATGCAAAGTCTCTAGGCACATAACAATAGGCTATACCTCGTTGACTATCCGCCCCAACTGTACGCGCGCACGTTTCAAGCCAAGCAGTTTGACCTTGGGCCTCTTTGAGAGTCTATCTGGTGTTAAAGAATAGCTCTTCTTGGTCAGACTGTCGACGCACCACCGGGTGACCCTCCTGTAAGACCTTGTGCACCGTGATCAGAGCTTTGAAGGTTTGAACTTCATCAGCAAGAATTGGCTGAACCCTCAGGCCGCTCCAGAAGGATATTGACGAGTGGTAATCCCAAGTGTAGACAATGCACTCTGTGGCAGGTTAGCTCTTTGCAGACGCTGAAGGAGCTCTCGACGCACTCCTAACGTGCTTCTGCTTCGGCGCAGTCTCTTCCGGACTTGTCGCCTTCTTGATGTTTATGACAAGTTCGTGCTCCGCCTTGTCCTTATCGACGGGGCGCGTAGGATAGTGAATTTCCTCATCAACGTCGAATCCAGTTTGTCTTGCGCGGTTCCCGAACCTAGGTCGATGAGTTAACGATATGTGGGGGGACATTCACAACTCCACGCACATTGTGGGATCCTTAGATGTCAATGATGTTGTATGATACGACTGGATAGGTGGAGACGACAGCAGAAAGTAGAGAACGACGAAGCGCAGCTGTCGCCGCGGTCAGGTTCCCTATAAATCAAGCCACAGTTCGCCAGTGCACTTCAGTCCCGCCAAGGATGTGATTGGCTTTGACGGTGTTTGCATCTGCGGGCCGGTGAATAGACACAAGCGCGATTTCACGAAGTCCACCTCTCCATGTTCTTCCGAAACGCGTTTTCTTCTGCTTTCTCCTTCCCCCGTCGCTCGCTACACACGACATGCAAGAGGTCATTGTGGTTTTCTCGTGACAGATCGTCAGTTCCGGCTCTCTATAAAATCCGCCGTGAATCATGGTGGACCCCAACCATGGTCCTCATTGGAATCATGCCCGCGTTCACTTTTGCCCTCGGCACCTGGCAACTAAAACGACTCAAATGGAAGATAAATCTCATTGACGAATTAGAGGAAAAGTTAGAACTACAACCCCTGGCTCTTCCTTCTAAGATCAAGTTCAGCGTGTTCCTTCCACTGTGTCGAGCTGCCTCTAACTGAACGTGTGGGGCAGTCTTTCAGTGATACCTGAGTTTGTCTTCCGAAGGGTGGCCCTCAAGGGAAGATGGGATCACGCCCATACTATGCTGCTATCGCCTCGAGTGCGAGAAGGCGTCCACGGCGTCCATGTAGTGACTCCACTCGTCCGGGAGAATGGATCTACAGTCCTCGTCGATCGAGGGTTTGTCTCGAAGGATTTTGTCGCTTCCCTGGATTCGAAACGTGAAGAAGGCGAAGTCGAAGTGCTGGGGATGCTTCGAACCTCTCAATATCGAAACCGATTTACACCTGACAATGATCCTGATAATGGAATGTGGTATTGGGTTGACGTCGAAGGAATGGCCAATTATGCCGGCGGGGAGGAGGCAAGAGTCCAGCCCGTATTCATTGAACAAATTTTCGGTAAGTACCACAAGTACATTGCGGACGAATCTTGTCTGAATATCAATATTCATTCAGAGGGACACGCGGGAGAGGCAAATACTAGGCTCGAGAAGGGTATTCCAATTGGTCGTGCCCCTACCGTCGACCTGCGGAATTCGCACCTTTCCTATGTAATCACTTGGTAAGAAATTTAGCCTTACCTCAACTGCGTCATTGTACTCAGACTCGATAGGTACGCACTGTCTGGACTTACTGCCTTCATGTTTTGGCGGGTTCTCAAGAATAAGCAAAAGTCACCTGGGCGTCGCATGCCGCGTTTCGGATGACTGGGAATCAAGTGGACTCCCCTGCTCTAAGCAGGCCCCGACAAGGATTTAAGAGTAGCTGCTTATGTTCAAATAGTAAAGAGATATGCATCCTTTCATCCAGGAACTCAGCTGCAGTACTTAGTGTGCTTTGTTAACCTTAATCACCTGCTCATCCCCCCAGTGCACATCAGTTACCTAAGCAGAGCATGCCATCATCGTGGACTTCAGTCCGTCCCCTTGCTCAGCTTACCCCCGTCGAACTCCAGTGCTCTTCTCTAGAATGCCTTTCATCGACCTATAAGCCGTCCTTGTATCTCATCCTGCCGGTCGCGACCTTGAAACGATTTCGCCCCCCCAATCACGATCACACGCCAAGTCCTAAATTCTAATACTGTTAGTTGAACTAGGTCGTGGTTCTCAGCCTAGTCCTGCCAGCAGGGTGTTCTGCACACTAAAAATGGAGAACACCCACCTTCCGGGCATCGAAGATGATGTCTTCGGCTCCCGGGACGCGCCTAACCAGAGGCTCTCCCCATCGCGGAACCATTTTACCCCAAGTGACCCTATTTCCACACGTCCGATCCGCCACCGTCCTGAAGTCCAAAAGACGCACACCGGTCTGACACCACCCGTGAGGCGAGGCTCGCCCTTGAATCCACAGAATATCGCTCAGGCGGAGGCCCGCCGTCGATCTCGCCCGCCCGACGTTGCTCTCCCGTCTTCAGATTCCTCTTCTCGACATCGGAGGACAGTCTCTCATAGCCTTGGAACGATGGCTCGGATTCCTGATTTCTTTGGTGGGGCCTTGGGGGGTCAAGATGCAGAGTTGGAGGTTGGGGTTTTCTCTAATGAATATGACCTGGGTGCGTGTTTGCTTCTTGAAGAGAACAGCAACCTTGAATAACACTTTCATAGCGCATGAAGGTAAACTCAACCCGTTGCCGACATGGCTTCCCTAACTTACATCCTCCTTTTCCACGCAGACCCCATGATTCTCGAAGACGTGCAGCGTGCTATCAGGTTGAAAGCACGTCGAGAGGCTCGTATGAAGCGCGACTCTGCCCTCACCCCTGAAAAGCCAATTGCACATCCCGCCTCTCCTTCTTCCCCTCATTCGATAACTCCATCCAGAAAACCTCTTCCGTCATTTTCTCCTTCACCCTCCCCATCTTTCTCTCCATCATCAAGCCGCAAACTTAGTAACAGTACAAGTTCAGATGTGGATTTCTCACCTTCAACTGGTGCAGAACCTCTTCCGCCTTTACATCCAATTCCAGCGTCTCTCGATAATGGCATGACCCTGGACTGGACAGGTACTCCGACAGACGATAGTGACAAGCGATGGGCAATTTCGATTGGGAAAAAGAAGGAAAAGGATAAAATGTTGCCGCTAGGTGTCATTATTGATCAACAAGAGAAGACCTACCAAGGTGCGTCACACTCTATCATGCCTATTTGCCCTCGCGTGTTAACTATGAATTGTAGAGAAACTTGCCAGAATAAGGAACTTAGCTTCGTCCCAGACGACCCGTAAAGCGAACATCACAACTGAGCAGTTGGGCAGGCGATACGATTCAATCTATAAATCCCTCGAAAAGAAGGTGGCCCTCAACCTCGCTGGAGTCGCCCGGTGGTACAGTGCTCAGGAGGATGGTTTTCATGATTCCTTGGAAAAGGCAGAGCCGTTTACCTGGCTGAAACATCTTGAAAAGCATTCTGCCGACAAGAAGAGATCTCCGTGGATTCTATCAGCACTGGTGATGGAGGAATACTGCCATGCTCAAGAACACCAAAGCCATATGCAAACGATTCCAGAGGACTCAACATTGCCCAACTCCGATGCCTCCTATCCTCGGAAGTCTCGTCCTGCATCATTCCTATCTGCAACACGAGTCCTTACCGACGATCCTGTTTCGTTCGAACCATTGGCAGAATCAAAGCGCAATTCGTTTGACGCCATGTCCCGCAAGAGCGCCGAATCCACCTTGGGCAGCGTCCGCAGCGGCTCGTCCCATCCAAGTGCGCCGCTGTCGCCGATTCCCTCTCGAATCGCGGAGAGTACGAAGGACTCACAACCGACCACCATACCTGAAGATGCTCCCACCAGCACCTTCGAGATGTCTGAGGAAGAACTTGCGACAGTTCGTAAACCGCAAAGCACCACAACCGCATTGGTGATACCAGGGGTATCTGTTCATCCTCCATCGTCGGAAAGCGCAACAACGAATGCACCTACCAATATTCCTGTATCTCAGACGACTTCTACAGCGAGTTCAGGCTCTTCACAAAGAAAACCTGTCGGTAAAAATGCGAATCAATCGCTCGCATCTCTCAAGACATCGCTCAAGTACGCGACGATCGGCGCATCTTCACCACGTCCCAAGGCCCCCAAGACCCGGACCAAGAAAGAACGCGAGGCTCGTGAGGAGCGACTTCGTCAAGAATATGAGATGAAAGCCAAGTATGTCTTTCTTTCTGAAAAGTCCTGATAAAATCCTGATCGCGTCCCGTCTAAGCATGTTACGTGAAGTGAAGCATTACAATGAGAGAGCTCGTAAGCTCCTCGCCCGAATGGCGAACTTGCTGAAGGAGTATGATGAGGCTCGAGACGAGAGCCGGCACGACTTTGATGCTGCTCTTCCCCGCGTGCCACAAGACGTGCTTGAAGCGTCTGTACACGACCCTTCTGGCACGACTTCGAATCCAAAAACTCGACGTACGGCTGCTTGGCGGTATGTAGAGGACATTCACCATCGGATCGCTCGCCAGCGAAAGCTTTTCACGGACTTCATTGAGTCGTTTCCGGACTATGTGTCCAATGAGGGTTGCTTCCTGGACGACACCATCGAGTCTGCCCTTCGGACCTTGGATATTTTACGGAACCAAAAGGCCGAGGTCACTCGTGACTCTGCAGCGTCGGCAGAGCTTCTTGGGTCTGTTCAACAGGTTCATGCCGAAGTTAAGGACAAGTACAACCAGACAGTCGCTCAAGCGTCTGTTATATACCCCGAAGTGCGTCTTGTTTTCGTAATCATTGCCCTGCTATCTTCATGTTCGACTTCCAGCTGTCACACATCGTTGCTCTTGAAGAGAGCTACAAAGACCAGTATCAGCAATTTTGGGAGCTTGGCATGGATGCCTTGACACTCCTACTGGATACTGTTACTCCTTTTTGGAGAACGTACGGTAAGAGGATTGGAGAGGATGTCCGCGACTTCCTTATTATTCCTTTATACCGGAATGAGTTCACCGGCGAGGCCAGAAAGTACCCCATCAAGCGTTCCCTCGACGGTCATTTCGCCATTGGGTCGGCCTCGCCTTGTTTTTCCTGGCGTCAATCGTTATTAATATCCTTCAAGTCAGAGCTGCCATTTCTTCGAGTAAGAACTTCCGTCTCCACTCGATCCCGTACCATAGTGTCCGTTGGACTGCCCTGCCTTTCTTCTGGATCGGCATCATTATCCAGTGGTTTGCTGTCATCATTGAGTTCGCGATCGTTTTCATGCAACTCGTCGTTATTGCTTGGTGGACAGGGTGGTTCGTCAAGTTGCTTTCTTGAGGATGTATCATCTATCCATACTCATTGTAAATTATACCGTATGTAATATATCTATACCAGCACGCTTTCGTAGGATACAAGGGACTCTGTGATACATAACTAGTCATACAGCAATTGTAATATACCGCATTTTTTGTCCATCAGGAGGACGGAGGAAGGACATGAACAGCAGGAACAGTCGTTGATGACGGCGGCGCGATAGCACTGGCTGTCTGCTTTTCAGCACATGGACGACAGAATCCTAGGGATTCAAGAAATTTAGTTTATCAAATCAGGAGATGGAATACTTGATGCTTACTGCCTCCCATAATCAGTGGCACGTCGGTTTGTTTGCAAGAATGACATTGTATTGGAGTGGTGGTAAAGGACTTGGACGTGCGAGGTCGCTTGATGACAATGGATTCACTAATTGTACTAGCAGTTCCCTCTGGAGCGTTTGAATTGCCTGCACCCTTCCGTTGGGCATTGGTCCTCTTGCGAGGCGCTCTAGTATGCATTGCTGTTGGACCTTGTTTGAGGGTCTTCATAGGATAAGGCGAAGCACAGGCTTGTTGGAGTTGCGTGAGTGTTGGTCCAGGTGGCAATTGAAGTCCGAGGTATAATCGAGGTGGTACAACCTGCATAGTGATAGGTTGAGATGAGATTATTCAGCAACTCCAAGTTGACTCACCAGGCCCTCGATGTAAGTTTTATTTACATTCATTTTCTCTTCACCCCCTGTCCATCGATTTATTGTGTCCCAGATAGTCGCTGGAGCTTCTTTGAGGGTCAGTGTAACTGGACTTTTAACACAAGGCGTCAAAGATGTTTCTGTGCCATTAGGTGCAGAGGCTCGTGTCTTCATAGCATCATCAAACGGAAGGCACGTTAGCAATAATATATCTTGATTGAGGCTCGCAAAATTCGTGCGAGGTTTGCGTTCCGCATACACCGGACCTCGGGGAAAGAGCCAACGATCGTTCGGGGTTTCACGAAACTCGATAACAATATCGAATGCCTTCACTGGGGGCAGAGTTGGCATATTTCTATAATAATCCATTTGGGCGGGTGTTGGTTGCAGAGGGCTCAGCTGCTGCGACGGTGGAGCTATAGCTGAAGGAGTCCTTTCGAGATTTGCGAGAGATTGAATGAGTAGCCCGAGTGTTTTAAGTTGGTCGGGAGTCGCCTTTCCGGCAGCGGCCAGCTGTAGAAGGTTCGCCAAAATCGGATTAGAAGATGCTGCAGTGTTGACTTGGCTAATAAGGCTGGGTGTTACCGCGGCTACAGAGGGCAGAGACGACATGAAGGGGTTAGACGTTGATGCTTTCTCTGGTTCAGGTTGCACCGTTGTTGGCGGCTGCGGCGTCTGTGAAGTAGAGGTTGGTATCGTATGAGAGTAGGGAGCCGTGTACGAGGATTGCCAGTAGTGGTTCGCAGTCGCAGATTGCGGTGCTTGCGTTGGTAAATAGTGCACTTCATAGAATAGGGTATCTGGAAAGATGTGGGGTCCGACCTCCAGATCACAGCGCCCTCTGGTCTGAATGGTATGGGGCGGTGGGACGACGTCTGCATTTTTGTTGCCGCGTGACCTGCTGGAGAACTTGGGGAAGGTCCTGAATAGCCATCTTTCTCTCGCTAAATTTCATGTGAGCTGAAGGGGAAGATCGAGAGAGATAGCAACATACACTGCTTGAGAGACTGGAGCAGGACACAGCTGAAAACCAGATATGAGACCAGGATAAATGGCTTCAAATAAGAGATTCACCTGTCCGCAACACTGTTTAGAGGGTCGTCCTCTTCTTGGTCGCGTTCCCAGAAGGGCTTGTCGCTAATGGGCAGATAGGGCTCGCTCTTGTTCATGCCAATGACAGTGAGTGCATCTGGCGACTTGCCATTATGTCATCTCCAGCCAAGCAAGGACAATTTGAAGCACAGCCACCAGCGTCAAATGCGCGATGATTACATAAGCCTTGCCCACAAATTGCGACAACCAATGTCTCCGAGATAACACGCCTCCCTCTCAATGTCAAGCCGCGTTCGTGAGTGATTCTCTCTCATAACGATATATACATGTGGGATTACATGGTCTACAGAGAAGGGCAATACAGTCTTCAGGCCCCTAGCCAAGGCGCGGTCGCGTACCACTGCTCCTAGCATTTCTCGACAACCATCTGCGATACCCGAATTCCTTTCTGAGTCCTCTAATACTCAGGCGAGCTTTCCTCTTCTTCCAACTTCATCCTCTCTTCCAAATCTCTCAGAGGTTGACCAAGCCGTCATCAATGCAAGTGTCCTGTCAGAAACACTCCTTCAGGATTCCCAAATAACAAGCCCACTTTCAACCATACCAGAATCTTCCGCACGCGGTCCCGCCAATCCGACGCTTATTTTATCACCTTCTGTCGTTGCTCCTCCTCGTCCAAAGCCTGCAGTACCCATTGTAGTAGGCACACGCCCACCTCGACCTACCCCCTCAATACCCTCAATTATCCCCGTTCCAAGCTCTACTGCGAACCCTATTGCGCAATCACAGTCGCGCTCTGTTGTTCCGCCCTCCATACAGGTTTCGAGAGCGCAACAGGCTGCAACAACTTCTGTTCCTGTTCCTGTTCATGCCAACCTCTCGATCAATGGCTCCGGCTCTTCAGAGTCTTTGAATACTTCAAACAACGTACCTACTGACTCGATAAGGACCCCAGCCGATGCAACGAGTTCAATATCTGCGGACCCATCAATTCTTGACAGCCAGACTCAAGAAACAGCTCCCAAAACCAGGCGACGCAAGAAAAATGAAGATGGGGGCCCCAAGAAGACGAAGAAACGGCGGACGAAATCCACAGACCTGGAGGATACTGAAGACGAGAGAGAGCGATCCTCCTCGAAGCAACCGCGTTCTCGTGCCTCCAGTGTCACGCCTCGACCTCGGAAATGGGCGCCGTCTGTACCACCGTACGATCCGGATGCCGATCCTGGTGAGGACGTAGATCCCACAACGATCACCATGGCCGACTTGTGCGTCGACACGGGACAAGGTCGAGTCAGCCGTAAAGCCGCCGAAATATTAAGCCATCACGCTGCGTGGAAAACCCAGAACCGAGAGAAGAGAGCCCGGATGAAGGCCCTAATGGAAGCCAGGAAATACGGAAGGGAAGAAGAGGAAGAAGAGCAACATCAGGATGGTACACAGGATGACGCCACTGCGTCCGAACTTCCTACGGCGGGACTTGCTACTTCCTCTGAAAACAACCCACCGAACGCAGTTGACAGTGCGGCCAATTTCGATTATAGTCAGGACCTGGCAACAAGTCGATTCAACGTCCAAGTTCGCATTGGGCCAAATGGCGAAATGGTCATAGATGAAGAATCCCTGGTTGTCGATCGCGTCGAGAACGATGGAACGGAGAATTATACTCACGTCGTTGAGTCCGACCACACCAAGTTTGTCAATTCAGGGACATACAGCAAGCGATTTCGTGGTTCTCGTTGGAGTGCGGAGGAAACTGAGCTCTTCTACGATGTGAGTAAGGGTTAAATACCTTCTGTATTCCCTCTGACATATCTATAGGCACTGTCTCAATACGGCGAAAACTACGAGCTCATTGCTTATGTCCTTCCTGGACGAGACAGAAAATCATGTAAAAATAAATTCAAAGCGGAAGATAAGAAGAATCATGCGAGGATTAACCATTGTCTGGCGAACAGCACTCCCGTCGGTGAGTCTACCTGAGCAACATAAGAAATTCAATCCTGATGGTCTCCTGCAGATGTCAAAACATTATCTCGAATGACTGGGAAAGATTTCTCTGGTCCAGTTCCTGAAATTCGAGCACCTCCTCCACCTCCTCAAATAGCGGCACCCGAGGTAGAGGAAGACGATGCGGCGACGCAGAACGAAGGACCATCCCGGCCAACCAAGAAGAGGAGTCGAAGTAAAAGTCAAGGGCTCAACGATAGTGACGTCGTGGTGATAGGGGATGCAGCGAACTTCGACGAGTCATCGAACGGTGCTTAATTATTTCCGTATTTTATGGTTTTATGGTATTTGCGTATTCCAGGTCGTGTGGCAGACTGTCAGGCGCGTGCGTGGGAGTCGAGAAAGGTCCACTGCTCTTACGTCATTCCTCGAGGCGTCATCTTGACTCTCACCTCTGGACGACTTCTGCATGACCTCTCCAACTTGAACTTCAAGAGAGCCGCACCAGAGTTCGACTCTTGCACATATACTCAGACGGCATGTCGTTGCGAAAGATCGTCGTCTGCGGAGCGGGCTTCTTAGGTATTCAATCCTCACTGTAATATCCATTTCATTTCGTTGATAAGTAATGCTGGAACCTGGCAGGCCGTCATATTGCCAAAGAGATCGCGACTGCCAATATCGCCAGTGTACCGCCCCGCTCAGTACAAGTATCTTCCAGGAAACCAGAAAAAATCCGGATTGTCCTCGCATCTGATGCTACAATCCCCAAAGACCGCTTGCTTCCTGCTGTCGCGGCCGATGTCACGAAACCAGCTACGCTGAGGCCTGCCTTCGAAGGCGCTACAACGATTGTGTCTCTTGTCGGTATAATGCACGGTTCTCCCCAAGATTTTGAAAACATTCAGTGGAAAGGAGCGGAGAATGTCGCCCTTTGTGCGAAGGAAGCTGGGGCGAAACTTGTTCACTTCAGCGCCATTGGCGCCGATCCAGAAAGCCGCATTCCATACGTCAGAACGAAAGGGCTCGCCGAGCAGTCTATCCTTGGTATCATCCCAGACGCTACTATTATCCGCCCAAGTCTAGTCTTTGGTCCAGAAGATGACTTCTTCAATGTGCGCTAACTCACATCTCTTGCAGTTTGACCGTGTTCACCTGGTCTCTTTGTTCTGGTTCAGCGCTTCGCTCGTCTTGCTCATATTCTGCCTTTCATGCCTGTTTTTGGAGGAGGAAAATCTCGATTCCAACCTGTCTATGTTGGGGATTTAGCTCGCCTCGTCGAAATGATCTCAAGAGGTGACCCAAACATCGAGAACGCCACTGCTGGAAAAATCGTGGAAGCTGGGGGTCCTCAAGGTTAGCATGGAGTAACCTCTTGACTAGTAGCTAATGAAACTCTATTTCCAGTCTTTACCTATCATGAACTAATGCAACTTGTTTTGAAATATACCGACCGCAGCCGGCCGATCCTCTCTCTTCCCTTCGTTCTCGGCACATTGCAGGGCGCCGTTCTCGAGAAATTACCTGTCAACCTCTTTACAGTGACTCGTGCACAGGTATGACTTCTATCTATTCTTAGGTGCTCTCTGACTTACCTATCACCGCCCCACAATGCAGGTTGAACAACTGAAATCCGACAATGTCGTTGCTCCATACGAGAAAATGCCAAAAAAACATGTATCTCTCGAAGAAGTGATTACAAAATACTCGGAGACTCCCCTACGTAGTGTTCAAGAGATTCTGCCAACATACCTTTGTTGAATATATGCGTTCAAGTACCCCATAAACCTTGAAGCTTGAAGCTTGTCCAATATTTGGACTATTTTTAGAGCGGCAACGCGGCCCGCTCACTATTTTATATGTTTCGGCAAAGGATCCGGTCATGATCACCAATCTGGTTCTTCCACTTCCCCGCTAATCTGAACAGCATAAAATGCCTTGCGGTTGTTCGCTCTTTTTTTCTCACTGCTCGCTTTGTGGACTTTCAGCCAGATTCGAAGATAGGATCTGAACAGCATCAATGAATAACGACCAGAAACGAAACTTGAATGAGACCATCGACACCGACACTGACACGCAAGAAGCGGTACCAGCCCCTACTGGTGCAGATATATTAGAAGAGAGGTTCTCTAAGGCTGAGAAATGGTTCATCGTGTCTTTCATGTCTTTCGTCGGGATCTTCAGGTGACCTTTCCAGACCTCACACTGCTGTATTCGATGTCGCTGAACCACAAGCTAGTCCCTTAACTGCCAACATTTATTTCCCTGCGATACCGACACTTGTTCAAGCATTCAATAAATCAACAGAACTTATCAACTTGACCGTATGACATACTCTTCGTAGGCTCGTAAAAGTAATACCTTTTTTCTGACTGGCGGCCATTAGGTGACCATGTATATGGTATTCCAAGGCGTTGGTACGTTCGATTTCAGTTTCCTGCCCCAAGAGCCGGTTTTGACGACGAAGGTGAAAGCGCCAATGGTGTGGGGCCCCGTCTCAGACCACGTCGGCCGACGACCGATATCTGCAGCGTGTCTCCTTATTTTGTCTCTATCCTGCATCGGACTTGCCCTCGTTCCCACATCCGACTTCTGGCTATTAATGCTACTCCGCTGCATACAAGCCTCCGGTTCGGCAAGCACTATTGCTATCGGTATGGATCATTTTTAATTCCACTAGCCATGGAGTTTACTTATATTTTGTGTTCGTCGATAGGCGCTGGTGTAATTGGAGATGTCTCTACTCGGGCAGAACGAGGAGGTTTTTTCGGAGTTTTCACTATCGGACCTATGGTAAGCCACTCAAGTGCGACGCATGACAGGCCTTTTGACGGTCTTGGAGTAGGTCGGGCCTGCTATAGGACCCGTAATCGGTGGTGTGCTCACAGAACACCTTGGTTGGAGGTCGGCGTTTCCTCGACTCATAACCAGCAAAATTAAACTCACAACCCCCTTCTTCAGATCAATATTCTGGTTCTTGACTATCGCAGCCTCAATGTGTTTTATCATCATTATTTTGTAAGGTTATGACTACTGGAGAGGTTGTGACAAATTTTGACATTGCTCAATACAGATTCCAACCCGAGACGCTTCGCACTCGCGTCGACAGTGGACGTGATAAGGCGCCCATCATCTATAGGCCGGTTATTCCGATTATCGGACGCAAAGCGCAGCCCACTCGGCCGGCGGCTGCAAAAGCAAAGGTCCCGCGCAATCCATTTCGCCTCTTCCTGAATCCCGACGTCGACGTACTCTTGGTGATCAGTGCCCTCGGCTGCACCGTTTTCTATGGCGTAATCGCGACAATATCCTCGTTATTTGCCACGATCTACCCAGAGTTGAACGAGACGACAGTTGGCCTTTGTTTCCTCGCCATTGGCGGTGGTATGATCATCGGAAGCTGGGCCAACGGACGCCTTCTCGACTACGAGTATACCAAATTCAAGAAACTGGCAGAAGTACCATTCGAGGGATCGCCAAACACGGCCGATATAACGAAGGAGGAAAGCTTCCCACTTGAGAAGGCTCGCCTCAGATGGATGCCCTACTACATATTGATAATGGGTGCGGCCTGCGCTGGCTATGGCTGGGCACTCGAGCGGAGAGTATCTCTTGCCGTCCCGCTCGTGTTACAATTTCTTAGTACGTCATACCACTGTACACATTCGCACCCATTAACTTGTGCTGCTGTTCAATCAGTTGGATCTGTTAGCATCGCGATCATGAACGATGCTTCGACGTTGATGATCGACCTGGTGCCGGGGCAAAGCTCGTCTGTTACAGCCTGCGTGCGTGATATTGTCTCCCAGCTTGCGAGGGTACTGATGTTCGCTTCTCAAATACAGAATAACCTCATTCGTTGCACGTTGAGTGCCGTCCTTGTCTCTGTCATCGAGCTCATCATCAAGGGGATTGGCATTGGATGGACTTATGTCCTCCATTGCGGTATCTCACTGTTGGCTTTGCCTTTGATATACGTGGCCATCCGCATCGGCCCTCGATACCGCATTAAGAGACAGCGCCTTAGAGAAGAAGAGTTGGCGCGGATTGTGGAGAAGTAACAGTCTCTCAACGCCTGTTGAAGTGACGACAATGACGACCATTGGACGATGATATGTTTACTACTCTATAGACGGATAAAATTATGTCTGGATACTCTCAGATGTCCTGTGAAATTCGTATGTACTGTCTAATACCATGCCCTTTCATATTGATTCGCTGGTTTGACCTTCACATTCAGCTTCTGTGCTGCCATTATCGGCCAGTGAGGGTTTCTCAATAGTTCACGGCCCAAGAATACGATGTCAGCCTGACCATTCTTGAGGATGGATTCTGCTTGAACGGGTTCAGTGATAAGGCCGACTGCACCGACTGGCATGTCTGGATGTGCTTTCTTCAAAGCCTCAGCGAAAGGGACCTGCAAAAAAAGTGTCAGCATCAACGCAAAGGAAAGTCTGGTCAAAACTCACTTGGTAGCCAGGCACCACTGGGATGTTCTGCTCGCGCCAGTTACCACCAGAGCTACAATCCACGAGGTCGACACCGAGCTCCTTTAGCTTTCCTACGAGGATGCTGCTCTGTTCGATACCCCATTGCTTCCAGACACCGCTTTCGTCTTTCTCTGGGAACTCAGCCCAGTCTGATGCGCTGATTCTGACAAAAAGCGGCCGGTCACAGGCCGCACGGCAGCGCTTCACAACGCGGAGGAGGAAACGGAGGCGATTTTCCAATGACTGCCCACCGAATTGGTCAGCTCGATTGTTGGAGAGTGGAGAGAGGAAGGAGTGGAATAAATATCCGTGAGCTCCATGGATTTCGATGAAGTCAACTGGGAGGTACTGATCAGCTTAGATTGAAAGCAGAGTCAACACAGCGACTTACATCCTGCCTTCTTACACCTTTCGATTGCGGCTGAGAATGCTTCCTCGAGATCCAGCAATTCTTGCTCTGTCAATGGATTCGGCTTAGGGTACCGTGAGGAGTAGGGGATTTCACTTGGTCCGTAGACTGTTAGAGGTTATTACTGCCCTCAACACTAATCGAAGTCCAGAAACAGCGTACCGCGCGACGGCCAGCCGTCTTCATTCTCGTCGGCGAATGCACGCGCATCGCTGCCTGCTTTACTTTGAACCCAAGGCGCGTGCATTGATGCCTTTCGGCCAGCATGTGCGAGCTGGACTCCGATTTTGGAGCCTTGAGCGTGAGCGAAGTTGACAATCCTTTTAAGAGGTTCAATCTGTGTATCTGTCCAGAGGCCCTGTGGTACTGAGATGAGGAACATTTTTGGGGTCTATACCTAGACGCACCGCGTCTTGAGGAGAGATACGGCCTTCTGGTACTACAGAAGTGGCCTCCATGCAGATGGCGCCCACTCCGCGCGTGGCAAAGCCCTATTCATAACATGTCAGAGAGATTTCGATCCCGCAATCTTCAGAATTGGCCGCACTCCTATGTGAACGAAGTGCCAGTCAGTGGCATGGCCATTATCGGAGCTGTATTGGCACATGGGAGACTGGGATCGAGAGATTGAATGGATGCTGATTACAGAGGTTCAACCTAAATTCGTACCACAAAGATTCGGTTCTTGAAGACGACATCTCTGATGGTCAGAGGTTTGAACAAGAGCAAGTTCTGATCATCCTGGAGAAGATGCGTCTTAGTATGGAGTATTCGAGAATGAGTATGGATAGCTCACCTCTGGTTTCTGGGCAGCACCGATCTCAGGTTCGTTCAACGGGAAGTATTGGTAGGTGTTTGGGACGGCTTTGTTGAGGTAGAGGCCTGACATGTCGGTGCGATAAGGTCGACGACAAAATGCGCGGCCTTTTATCGACTCGCCTTAGTCAGGAAGCCCTCGCTGCTTGGCCGCGCGATAACGCGTGGAAGAGTGTGAGCAGCATCGTTTGTCCCGCCGTGTGTGCCCGAAATAGCCTTCTCAAGCTAAGAATAGATCTGACGTCACAGGCCCCTGGCCAATCCAGGGACTGCACGTCCCGGTTTGATCCGTGGATTTGACGTCAGCGATTCCCTTGATCGCCGGACTTGTGCCTCCTCTATCCTGTTCAGATGGCTATCCCCCAGCCCATACTCTCGAAACTTCAGGAATTAGAACCAGATGCCTCGTTTGAAGGAAATTTACCCCGAGCTCGCTCATCATCTGGTTCAATCTACTTCGCCAAAGTCGGCATCCCCAGAGAGGAGGAGCAGTATGCTGGTGAAGCAGAGTCTCTGAAGGCGATCGGCAGCGCAGCGCCATCCCTGGCTCCTCGTGTCTTTTGTTCTGGAGTCACGGAGTCTGGAACGCCGTATTTCATATCCGAATACAAAGACATCAGTTCCTTGACATCACGGGCAGCATCAGTCCTCGCGAAAAGAATGGCCACAGAACTTCACGCAAAATCGAGTCCTACTGGGAAGTTTGGTTTTGCGATACCGACGTACTGTGGAGTCACAAAACTCTCCAATGGGTGGTTTGATCGGTGGGATGAGTGCTATACTTCTATGATTGGAGATTTGTTGGATCAACTCCGAAGAAAAGGACACTTTGAGCACTTGTGTCGCAAGGCGGAGAGGGTCAAAAATGAGTAAGCTTGCCAATACGTGAAGAGGAATTTTTTCTCACTCTATGTAAAAGGGTAATACCGAAGTTGCTAGGTGGGGGAGCCTTACAGAATAGAGGAATATGGAGTCTAACCTATGTTCAAGGTCCTATTGATACTCAACCTGTAATCCTTCACGGAGATTTATGGGTACGCCACGACAATTAAACCCATATAGCTTCGGATAATCCATATTAATCAATGGTTCTAGAGTGGGAATGCTGGTGTCGACACTGCAACAGGTCAGCCAGTAATCTTTGATCCTGCTTCATACTATGGCCATAACGAAGCCGAGTGAGTGGCGATATGAGTTTAAACTCTGTATCATAAAGATTTAACGGCACAAATTACTATATGTAAAGCCTCTCAATTGCGAGAATATTTGGAGGTTTCCCGGGATCCTTCTTTCGAACCTATCACGAATTTCGACCCAAGGCTCAACCCATGGAGCAATATGATTTGAGAATGGATTTGTATGAGTTATTCCACTATCTGAACCACACATTGATATTTGGAGTGAGCTTTATATCTATAGCTTCACCGACATAATATGCTGATGGCAATACCAGAGCTCGTATGCAGGAAGCGCCGAAAGAAAGATGGACACCTTGATATCAGCGCTTCCACGACTTTGACTGATGAGAGCTTTGAGAGGTGCTAGTATGTACGGAGAGTAATACTATCAAGTCAATTGCTTATCAATATTACAAAAAGTCTTTTTCACTTGATTTCTGGGAGCCCAACGAGCGCTAAATGAGCCGGCCCGGATTTGCCGCTCCCTGCAAAGCTGACCAATCAAATGCTTCGACCTGAGTTGCCAACAGAACCAAATAGCGATTCGCAACTTGCCCTTCGACGCTGTCCTCGAGCTCCTCGTCCGACGCGTCCAAGATCCCATTTACCTCCAAAATCTATCCAAATCTGTCTGTGTCATAGAAAGACGTTCTGCCTGTCCTTCTGCGACCGTTTGGACTCTCACAGTGGGTGTAGACGAATTGCAACGACATGAGTCAAGGTACTTCTTGTTGCTCATTTTGTCTTGTGCACGTATCTCAACTCCTCTCGAGAATATGATGCTACTCAAGATCCTTATGACGATGGGAACTATGGTATGGAAGAGGATGAAGAGTTTGAAGATGACGACATAACACAAGAGGACAGCTGGGCTGTCATTACGAGCTTTTTCGACCAGAAGGGTCTCGTCCGACAGCAACTCGACTCCTTTGACGAATTTGTCCAAAATACCATGCAAGAGCTCGTCGATGAAAACGCCGACCTCATTCTGGATCAAGCCGACCAACATACAGGGCACGATACAGACATGACCCGTCGATACGAAATCCGTTTCGGACAAATTTACCTGTCGCGTCCGACTGTTACTGAGGCCGATGGCTCCGTTGTCCCCGTCTTCCCTCAAGAAGCCAGACTGCGCAACCTTACGTATTCTGCGCCATTGTACATCGAGATGAAGAAGAAGGTCATGATTGGTCGCGAGGATCCTGATGGCGTGCCCGGAGACATAGCCTGGGAGGCAGAGCATGAGGAGACGACAGACGACACAACGAAAGTCTGGATTGGCAAGGTATGTATCGTTGTTCATTCCTAAGGACGAAATTTCCTATGTTCGCGGAAAGGTTCCCATCATGCTTCGGTCGACGTTCTGCATCTTGCGTGGCCTTCAAGACCAGGACTTGTACGATCTTAACGAATGCCCTTATGACTCTGGGGGTTACTTCATTATCAACGGCTCCGAGAAGGTGCTGATTGCTCAAGAACGTATGGCCACGAACCACGTCTACGTCTTTGCAAAGGCGCAGCCCTCACCCATCAACTTCCTCGCTGAGATTCGTAGTGCGGTGGAGAAGGGAGGAAAGACTATCAGTCAATTCCAAGTGAAGATGTTCCATAGGAATCAGGAGCGCTCGGTGAGTCCACTATCAGTCATCCTCCTCTATGCACTCTTAAATCGCTCTTGAAAGCTTGGAAACGTCATGAAGGCGACCATTCCGTATATCAAGGTCGACATACCAATCTGGGTCGTTTTCCGTGCACTCGGCGTTATCTCAGACCGTGACATCCTGGAGCACATTTGCTACGACATGCAGGATTCTCAGATGTTGGAGCTGCTAAAACCCTGTATCGACGATGGTTTCGTCATTCAAGACCGAGAGGTTGCATTGGACTTCATTGGCAATCGTGGAACCACGACTGGTTTGTCGCGCGAGCGACGTATCCGATATGCGCAAGAAATCCTGCAGAAGGAGATGCTGCCCCACATTTCGATGTCAGAGGGTTCAGAGTCGAAAAAGGCTTATTTCTTCGGTTATATGATTCATCGTCTTCTGCTTGCCGCCCTGGAGAGACGAGAGTTGGACGACCGTGACCACTTCGGAAAGAAACGTCTCGATTTGGCTGGTCCCTTGCTCGCGAACCTGTTCCGTATGTTGTTCAGGAAGTTGACGAAGGATGTATATCGCTATCTCCAGAAGGTCAGTTACCAATAATTCATCTAGGACAGGGCCTCGCTTCTAATGTTTTATTCTCAGTGCGTCGAGACGCACAAGGAGTTCAATCTCGCCCTCGCTGTCAAGCATCAGACCATCACAAATGGTCTCAAGTATTCTTTGGCTACCGGAAACTGGGGCGACCAAAAGAAGTCGATGTCTTCCAAAGCTGGTGTGTCGCAGGTACTCAACAGATACACGTATGCTTCAACACTATCGCATTTGCGCCGTTGCAACACGCCTTTGGGACGAGAAGGTAAAATTGCTAAGCCTCGTCAACTTCACAATACCCATTGGGGTATGGTATGCCCTGCGGAAACGCCGGAAGGTCAAGCTTGCGGTTTGGTCAAGAATTTGGCCCTTATGTCGTGTATATCCGTCGGAACGATATCCGCGCCTGTCATTGAGTTCTTGGAGGAGTGGGGCTTGGAGTCTCTCGAGGAAAATGCCCATTCGTCGACGGCTTTCACCAAGGTTTTCGTAAATGGTGTTTGGATCGGCGTTCACCGTGATGCTGCCAACCTCGTCAAGACCCTCAAGAAGCTGAGGAGAAAGGACGATATCAGCCCCGAAGTGTCAGTCGTGCGGGATATCCGAGAGAAGGAATTGCGTGTGTACACGGATGCTGGCCGTGTTTGTCGACCTTTGTTCATCGTCGAAAACCAACGGCTCGCCATCCAGAAGAGGCATATTAGATGGCTCCGGAATGGCGTCAACGACGATGGAGAGGAGTTCAAATGGGAGCACCTTGTCAAAGGTGGTGTCATCGAACTCCTGGATGCTGAGGAAGAGGAAACTGTCATGATCGCTATGGAACCGTTAGACTTAGAGAACTCGCGGCTTCAGCAACAGGGTGTTGATCCTTTCGAGAAGAAAGATATGGATAACGAGGAGTATGATATCTCTGCGCGACTCAAGGCGCCTACCCATACCCACACTTGGACGCACTGCGAGATTCATCCCAGCATGATTCTTGGCATCTGTGCCAGCATCATTCCTTTCCCAGATCACAATCAAGTAAGTCAGCGAAAGAATAGGTTCTCATGCAGACTACTGATACCCTTCCTCAGTCTCCTCGTAACACATACCAATCTGCTATGGGTAAACAAGCCATGGGTATCTACCTCACCAATTTCTTGATTCGCATGGACACGATGGCGAACATCCTGTACTACCCCCAAAAGCCTCTGGCGACCACACGTTCCATGGAATACCTCAAGTTCCGAGAACTTCCTGCTGGCCAAAACGCTATTGTCGCCATTCTTTGTTACAGTGGCTACAACCAGGAAGATTCCGTCATCATGAACCAAAGCTCTATCGATCGTGGTCTCTTCCGCAGTATTTATTATCGCAGTTACATGGACCTCGAGAAGAAGAGCGGAATTCAGCAGCTCGAAGAATTCGAGAAGCCAACGAGAGAAAACACCCTTCGACTCAAGCATGGCACATACGACAAGTTGGAGGATGATGGGCTCATTGCTCCTGGAACTGGTGTTGCTGGCGAAGACATCATCATCGGGAAGACGGCACCTATCCCCCCTGATAGTGAGGAACTTGGACAACGCACACGGACTCATACACGTCGCGATGTCTCTACTCCTCTGAAAAGTACTGAAAGCGGCATCGTCGACCAAGTGCTTATTACCACCAACTCCGAAGGCCAGAAGTTCGTGAAAGTACGTGTGCGGTCCACACGTGTTCCTCAAATTGGAGACAAGTTTGCCTCGCGTCACGGTCAGAAGGGTACGATTGGTATCACGTATCGGCAAGAGGACATGCCTTTCACTGCAGAGGGCATTGTTCCTGATCTCATTATCAACCCTCACGCCATTCCATCTCGTATGACCATCGGACACTTGGTCGAGTGTCTTCTGTCGAAAGTTGCCACTCTCATCGGAAAAGAAGGTGATGCTACGCCTTTCACAGACCTGACTGTTCAGTCAGTCTCCAGCGTGCTGCAAGACAAAGGCTACCAATCTCGTGGGCTCGAGGTCATGTATCATGGGCATACTGGGAAGAAGCTCCAGGCTCAAGTCTATCTCGGCCCCACTTACTATCAACGTCTGAAGCACATGGTAGACGACAAGATCCATTCAAGAGCCAGAGGTCCTGTTCAGATTCTTACTCGACAGCCTGTGGAGGGTAGAAGTCGTGATGGTGGTCTGCGTTTCGGAGAGATGGAACGCGATTGTATGATTTCACATGGCATAGCAGGTTTCTTGAAGGAGCGGTTGTTCGAAGCGAGCGATGCCTATCGCCTCCACGTTTGCGATATGTAAGGGTGCTCTTGACCTCCGGCATTAGCGTCCGACTAACATACCTTTCTAGTTGCGGACTTACGGCCATTGCAAACCTGGTAAGTTTTGTTCGTTGTCATGTTGCGAGTTATTATTGCTGACGCTGGCCATAGAAAAAACAAAGTTTCGAAGTATGTCAAGTAGACCTACGTGTGATTTACTGCTGACTTCGTTACAGTGCCGCGCCTGCAAAAACAAGACCGCTTGTTCACAACTCTACATCCCATATGCTGCCAAATTGCTGTTCCAGGTAACTGGCCCTTTTAATACATTCGGGCTGCTTCTAAAGCTGTTGTAGGAATTGCAAAGTATGAACATTGCGCCTCGATTATATACTGTGTCTTCCGGCCGTATAAGGGATTAGTTTCGCCAGTCCATGTACTCTAGAGAATGTATTGCTATGATTTACACATTGAGAGCGCAACATGTAGGAGACATGTTCAACTCATCAGCCGTTCTCCCTCAGGACCCTGATTATGGTTGCGATTTTCTCCCGATAGTCGCTGTGCTTTGCGCCTTTTTGCAGCTTCGTCGTCTTCATCGTCTTCATCCCCAATTTCAAAGACAACATCATCGTTGGCGACATTGTTGGAGTTACCACGCCTGCCTGCTACAAGAGTTGCAGCGTCGTCGTCATCGTCCTCTTCTTCCCTTAGGTGACTTCGACTTTGGATGGCTTCAAGATCGTAGTCTTCGGCGTCTTCTTCGTCCTGGGCAATTTCATCTGACATGGCCAATGTAGAGAACGATATGAGTCAAGATCATGCGAATATTCAAGAGACAAAGGGCTTATCTTCTGTTATTGGCACTAGGACGCCATAAGAGCGCAATCGAGACGAAGCCGACAAGGTACAGGAGGGCCAGCCAGCCGTCCAACAGCCACCAACGGAGCCGCCAGGTTTTTGCAGCATAATCTACAATATATTAGCAGAGGCCGCTTTCGGTGATAATGACCATAATCACCTTCAGCGAGTCTTCCAGAGAAAGACATGGAGGAGACAACGAAGAATGCAGCGATCACGAGGACCGTGAAAAGGAGAATATAGTAAAGGCGTTCGAACATTTTCAATTTGTAGCGCTGCTTCCTTGAGCGCAAATGTGCAATCGTGGCTGGAGAGGAAGAAGAATGGTATGAGATTGCCCAGAATCAAAAATTTCCTAACAAAACCCACCATTCAAGGCGTACATAATCCAGAGAAGGAAGCCACTGAGGGTAAAAGCAAGAGGGATTATAAAGAGAAGCAACACAAGGGCTGATGTTGACTCCAACTCCAATTCAACGATTCCAATGGCGTAGAGAACTGAAAAGCTTTTAAAGAGAGTCGCAAGAAGATTTGAAAGAATTGAAACGCACTTCCGAAGAGGAAATGAGCGCCGGCCAGGGCTTGGCACTTCAACATCGCTTTCCCAAGAGATTCACGAACGACACTTAAACCCAGCGACACAACGAGTAACATGAAGAACGACATCGAATTGCGACCAGCGTCGAGAATGGCCACTGTACACACCAGGTGGTGAGCAAAGTCGAATGAGACTAGTCCGACACACGACATACCAACGATGAGGAATACGGTTGAAGCAGTAGATTTGCCATGGGCGTTAAGGTACCGATAGTACACTGAAGGTCGAACTTTGAGATTTCGTTAGAGTAATGCAAACAGAATGACTTTACCCCAGTTTGCTAACATTTCAATTACCAGGAGGCCAACGAGTCCAGACAAATAGTACTAGATGGGTCATGGATGAAAGATGGTGATGGATGTCCGAAAAATTCTTACTTGTATGGGTAACAACTCATGCATGTGACGGTAGCAGAACCATGCCCAAAGAGCACCGAAAGTAGCATACGCGATAAACATGAGGAAGTAGAACTAGAAACATCAGAAAAGTGTTTTTCAACAATACTGTAAAAGAGCAAATGGCTCACATTGACTTTGGGATAATCCGTCGCAGGCAACTGACCCTTGAATGTGTTTTGGAAGAGAACAGTGCCTTTGTAAGTAGGATGGTAAGGGACGTCGGTGTCTGCTCTGCGCGTGGGATTAGATTGAACAGTGACAGGGATTGCGGCTAGATAGAAATATATTAGTATCTGTAGGACTACCACAGGCTTGCTACCCACCGACACAGTAGAATCCCGTCTTCGGAACAGGATAGTGGATAGGACCTGTATATTCCAGAGTGCCGGATGAGCTTATGGGGGTGGCTTGGCGTGCAGAGAGAGAAGGAAGTGAGAAAGCGTCTCGGCGCCACGGAGAAGCATAAGGGTCTGCAGGAGGGGTTGGATTCCCTGCGGGGTTGTCCCAAAAGCCATTTGAAGATGCTTCTCCACCAACAGACGAGGTTTTGTTAGCTGGGAGCTCGACGCGTGCTGACCAAATGCTGGTCTCGTTGACAGTCTTGCCGGCGGGGAGATCAAGGATAAATAGACCCAGTTGTTCACGTGTACAATAGCCCCCAGTGACTGCGCTCGAGGTGCACACATAAATCCTCTGCTGCGCTGTACGTTGAGCGAAAGAAGAAACTAATATGCTGCTCGAAACTCACGGGCAGATCCTCTTCCGTCGCGGGTTTGGCCTCTTTGCCAAGATATCGCACATCCGCCCATTCGTAGATGACCATGGCGAGTTGGCCTTGCGAAGAGTTGTCAAACGTTACTGGGAGGAAATGTCAGGATTGGACACTGCGACCTCGCAATCTGAATACCATTGATATAAGCCGACGGGCCTCCCCACATCCCGCTGCAGGTCTGTCGGGAGTAATCTGGCACGTCCCTGGTTAGCACCAGTGAAATTGAGAATCCATGTCGACACAACTTACCTGTGTCAACAAGAGGGGCTTCATAAGCAAATACAGAGGGCATTAGGGTAAAAAGGAAGGATATTAGGGCGACCACCAGCGGCCTGAGCGGCCAGTGAGAGCGCGCCATGATGTCAAGGAGAGAGGGTGGTATTGATGCTTGTTTCCTTTCCAGGTTGAGCTGTGTCTGACCTGCACCGTGACATAGCTGCCACTAATTGCGCATCATGCTCGGCGACGACGAGGACGTCTTCGACAGCGTAACCTGGGAGTCTCCCAGCGCGCCTCCCTACGACTATGTAGACCATCTCCCTGCGACTGGTCCTGGATTCAGACAAAGCACATCAGACTCCAATGAAGATCCCCACCAACCCAAGTGGGAGGGCTACCTTATTCCCTCTGTCCGCGACCCAGTGAAGGAGCTGGCTGACACCAAGGATGCTTATGTTTCCTACCTGGTTTCCGCAAAGGTAGAGACTCCCTGAAATCCCCTAGCACTCTTGCTGAATTCCACTGTATAGACAAATCTACCAATATTCTCCACCCCTAATCCGTCTGCCCGACGGCGCTTTCAAGACTTTGTTTTCCTCAGGAGCCATCTCGTCCGCGACTTCCCAGCCTGCGTTGTCCCAGCCCTCCCGGACAAACATCGTCTAGGTACGATGCTATGATGCAACACTCGAGACGCTGCTGACTAGCTCGTAGAGTATATCACTGGCGATAGGTTCAGCCCAGAGTTCATGGAACGGCGTCGTCTAGAGTACGTCAGCCTCTCAGAATATGGTCGTCCCATCCTCAATGTTTCACAGTCTGCACCGTTTCCTCGAACGCCTGGCCCGTCACCCGACACTTCAAAGAAGCACTCTGCTTCGTGCATTCTTTGAGTCAACTGAATGGGTACGCCATGCTCCTCGTAAAACAAAGCTTCCATTTTAACACCACCCCCAAAAGCATGTGCACATGCACCAACATGTTGCCCACCCGCCTATGAATGAACAGTCTCAGGGTATCATCGACAATATCTCGGACACGCTGCTCAATGCCTTCTCTCGGGTCCGGAAACCAGACGAACGGTTCCTAGCTATGAGGGAAAACGTCGACAAGTTTGAGGAGGGATTAGTGCTCACGGAGCGTCTGTTTACTCGAGTGAGAAGTCGGACAAGTGGTAAGTCACCTTGCTTTATTTCACTGTTCTTGCTAGGGTGGTCTGAGGCTGAATGAGACGGCAATCCTGAATCTGGTGAAGATCTTACTGCCGACTACCACGACCTCGCTGTTGCTGTTCAAGGCCTTGGATTCCTGGAGTCTGGCATTACGGATCCTTTGAATCATTTCTCGAATACGCTGCTCGAGTTTTCTGCATTGCTAAGGCATACGGTATGTCTCCTTGTTGCTATTCACATGAACCTTGCTCATCTTTCCCCAGACTCAGACAACTACAGATCCTCTTCTTGTTCACCTTCATTCGCTGCTGACGTATTCTCACGCAAATCGAGCCGTGTTGAAGCTGCGAGACCAGAAACAATTGGATTTCGAAGAGCTTTCAGACTATCTATCTGGTGTCACTTCGGAACGGGACAGGTTGGCCGCAGTCATCAGCGGCCATGCAGGTAGCACAGGTTTAGGTATTGGAGCGTACCTGAAAGATCGCGTCGATGCTATCAGGGGTGCCGATGACGATCGCAGTCGGGTTGAGAAGATGAGGAAACTGGACATCAAGATCAAGGAGGTCAGTTCAGCCATGCATACATTTATCACTTATTTTCAACGTCCTTCACAGCTCCAAGATGCAGTGACCACAGCGCATGAAACCTCTGATGCTTTCAGTGATGAGACGCTCCGAGAGCAAACTATCTTCCAGCACGCCAAAGAAGCGGAGATGAAGGAGATGTTGGGCAACCTAGCTGACGGACAAATCGAATTCTACAAAGCTGTGAGTCGCTACACTATTGTCTGCTGCACCTATTGATGGGTACTGTAGGCAATGGAAGAGTGGGATCGAATTATACCCGTGATACAACGCATACGCGTGGACGTTTAGTAATAGTCGTTATTCATATTTTCCACCCATCTTGTATTCTTTTATGATAAAGCACGTTATTGTATATTCGGGCCCTTTGCGGGCTCTTCAGCTACAGCTTCGACTGGTGGTTTCTGCTTGGGAGGTTTCTTGGGGATCGGTTTATATTTCGCGAGCTTTTCACCAGATTCCTGAACAGCGAGAGACAAATTGATGATTCCAGTGTTCACAGCACGAATCAAATGTAGCTCTGACTTGTTGGAGGTTCCCGGTGTTGTATGCTGAGTGGCTGCAGGAATCCAAGGGGGAGGGTCCTGTAGCAAGGCAGATAAATACGACATACGTGCGGATAACTCTCAGCACATACTTTCGTGTTCGAGTGTATGGGTGCCGCGTCGTCTTTCAATTCGATAACTACTGCAAACGAGATGTCATCTTTTGGGGAAGAAAGGATGAGACTTTGGGTCTAGCTCTCTGACGCAAAGCACCTTACCCCCTAGATACATCTGCCCCATTTGCGCCTCAATCATGTTGAGCTTGATCATAAAGGACCTAAAGTATTGACCAAGTGAGGACGGAGTCATGGCATCTTCAACACTGTAACAGACACGAATTAGAGCACGTTATCGCGGCAACATTATTTCCGCTCATACCCCGTATCCTTGTTATAGCCCTCTACTTCAATCATGGTGTCAACTGAGAAGATGAAGCGTTCGAGAGCGATCTGTTCTTTATCCTTGATGACGATGACCGCCTTGTCTACCTTGCCCTGGTGAACAATCAATATTACCAGAGGCAAGAGGAGACGGCATCCACACCTACACGTGCAAGTTCATCTCCGACCGCCTTGACAGCACCAGAGATATACTCATTGAGCACAGGGTGCCGCGATTGGAAGACGGGTGTGTCGTATTTCTTCCGTCTCACAAAGATCTCTGCTGGGTAGACTTGCCGGACATACAAAATCGTATGAATGGCCACTTCGACTGTTCCAGTATCATAGGAATTAGCATGGACTCATGTTGACCAGGAAAGACGCGTACTGAACTCTGTAATGGCACGAACGGTTTCTGAAGAATACAAATCAGCCTGGGGATGAACATCGTGAAAGCCGGGCTGCGTACGGTTGAACGTTAGGGTTTCTTCACTATCGGACATAATGGCGCAAACTATGTCACATCCTCAAGGGAATGAATTTTCGCGATCTGAACGCGTCAATTGTGGCGGTAAAGGTCAGAGTTGGACGCTGCGGCTGCGCGGGCCGGGCGTTTCAAGGGACGCGCATCACACAACGTCATGGCCCTCTTCCCACTCCCATGCGCAGTCTTATTACCTGATAATTGAACCTGTCCCAACCTTAAATTCGGCAGTTACTACCTAGTCGAATTCTTCTATAAGAACTGCCTTGGCTACCCCAAACCTTCCGGCATGTCTCCTCCAAAGAAACAGTCAAAGCTTGCACAGCAGGCATCAAGAGAGTTTTTTGTCCCAAAATTTTGTATAGGTCGTTGTTCTACCTATTAAGTATTCAGAACATCCTTCTCATGCTCAAAAACGTGGGAAAGGAAGGCAAAATATTAGTGAGTGGATGCCACAAGACAGCGACGATGATCTATATTTCAAATGTTGTCCACTATTCACTGAGATATAAAATGTTCTGCACCTCTTTCCCCCTCTTGCTTTCACATTATGTCATCCGCCTCAAGGAGGAAAACATGTTGAATCTTTGTTAGCGCCTCTTTGTCTCATAAAATCCGTGGGGAGTTCTTAAAATGATTTCCCCTTAGTTTACATTGCCCAAACCACGCATCAATTGTTAATAGGTTATTTAAGGACTGTTTGAAGTTTTTTCGCAAAAAAATATGTTTCGTTCCGGCTGTGTTGACCGTGAAGCCGACCAGTATCTTCTTCGTGCGCTGTTGGGCGAAGATGAAGTCGGACGACCCCCAACGAAGTTCGATTATTGGATGTTCAAGTTCTCGATTCGATTCTTTTTCCTAACTGCACTCTCTCTTTTCGCTCTCGCTGGGACGGCGCTGTACTACGCATTATACTTGCCTGAAGATTTTTTCGGCGGTAACTTGGTCGAGACAACTCTCTCTTCCGACATTTGCAAGGCACCCAACCCAAACATCTTCGGGTACCACCCTCTGCGAGCTAGCAATGAGGCCATCGCCAAAGCTGCACACAGTTTGGACAACTACCTTTCGCAACGGGCTTCGAAGCCGGACATTGACAGCATTTCTATTGCTGTGGTCAGCGCCGCCGGAACACTTTTCGAGGGTGGCTATGGAACCCTGCGAGCCAACGAAACAGATGAAGAGAACCAACGCCCCGTCGACCGTGATTCTATTTACAGAATTGCCAGTATCACCAAGATGTTTACTGTCCTTGAAACGTTGATTCTGAGAGAGACAGGAGCCTTGAATTGGTCTGCTTTTCTGTCTAGTCTAATACTGCGGGTTTGCTCAATGCTTATCAACCTGTAGGGATGACCCTGTAACAAATTATGTGCCAGACTTTTCCCCGCCGGCGTATGGCTGGGCAGACTTCCTGGTCGAAGGTTCCGCCAACGCCAACCAAGGAGAGCCAGAACGTATCACCCTCCGTCAATTGGCCAGCCATCTTGGAGGTAACGGTCCACTATTTTCTGTCATAAAATCAGAAGATTCACAAAGAACAACTGAAAGGTATCGGCCGAGATTATCCTCCCCACGACATTGGCGAGTGGCCAACAACTACGACACCGTGGGGTGCCTTGGTGAAATCAGCCCGCGGGGAGCCCCTACCCAACCGCACTTACGAGAACATCATGAAGGCTCTCAACCAGTACCCACTCGTCAACGTGCCCTACGAATACCCTATTTACTCCAATATTGGCTTCGACCTCCTGGGTCTAGCAAACGTTGCTGCGAACCAGAAAGCAAGCATTGACCCCAAAGCTGAGCCTCAGACACACGAGGAGCTCCTCAAACGCGACATTTTCGACCATATGGGCTTGACCAGTAGCTTCTACCGCGTTCCAGAGTCTCCGCTCCGCGACCACATCGCCGTTCCATCGTCTAACTCAGAATGGGCGGATGTGTGGCTCGGAGACACGGACGATGCCGCTGGAGGCCAGTACAGCTCGCTGAAGGATCTGACAGCGGTGATGAAGAGCCTGCTCTCTCCGAGTGCATGAGGAGGCGTCATCCCAGCACGGACTGTACGCGAATGGCTCCGTCCGTTGTATGTCTGGGGTTCGACCGAGCAGCAAGTCGGGGCTCCTTGGGAAATCTTCCCATTACCTGGTGGCGCTAAAGCCTACACGAAAGGTACTTCTACTAAGAACCAACTCGACCGGAAAGTGCCTTCCGCCCGTGTTGACGCCACGTTTTTTCAGGCGGCAACCTTCCAGGCTATCACTCTGAATTCGCCCTCGTCCCAGAGTACTCGTACGGGATGATCGTCCTCGTTACGGGCACCTATGAAAATACCCTCACGATCCTCAACGAGGTCGCAACGCGCTTCCACCCAGCCATCACCCAACAGTACCGGGTGGGGGTTCAGCGCCGCTACGCAGGCACCTGGACCAATGGGAAGGACACCCCTGGGACGGTACTTGAACCCTCGGAGGTAGGTTATAGTTTATGAAGAAACCACCCTCCGAGGACCCGGATTTGGCTGTTCCGATAATCGAAGTGACCGTAAAGTGTGGACAAGAGTGAAGTGACAAAAGTGCTCGTCGAACTTGCAGTATGCACGTTGTGTAGATGCCCACTACTAGCACTCTAAAGTTCCATTGATCACCGTGACTTCAAAACTTCTGTACTGAAACGGTGCAAAAGATTTACTTCTCACACGGTGTTCATTGTCAGGGAAAACTGGACAAGATGTGTATTTCAACGGAGGGGGTTCAAAAATAGCGACGACAGGCAGTATGTAGTACAAAGATCAGATCAACGACCCCAGCACATATGACAACAAGAACAAAAACTACATGATAGCGACTACGATTACTGGCCTGCATGGGGGCCAGTAGAAGGGTCTCGCGACGGTATGTTCCCAGCCACCGGTGGGCCATCATGAGATACAGGCCGCATTCGAGCATATTCAGGCTGGGGGGGACGGTGGGGGTAATGGGGTGGTGCATGCCCGTATGTTGCTGGGTGGGGTGGATAGTATGATTCTGGCTGAGGGTGATACGCAGTGTTGGGGTAGTGCAAGGGTTGAGGGGGGCCAGAGGGTGCACCATGGTATCCATGCATCGGCATGCCTCTCGTGTGCGGAGGGTATCCATACGGCGCATACGGTGCATAGCCGTAGTCGTGATGCATAGGCGGCGGAGGATGAGACGGCATTTGGTAATGTTCAGCAGGTGGCTGGTGAGGACCTTCTTGGTAGGACGCAGGAAGGGTGACCGGATACGCCTCTTGCTTGTACGGTGCATGCAGGGTAGGCTGCCGTTCATAAGCCATTGGCAGTACGTGGAGTTGACCGCCCTCCGATTGAGATGGCCGGCTGAAGGACATTTCACTTGAGCCGACTGACGAGCTTGGAAGGGTCTGAGGAGGTGCTGCTGTTGGTAGTGGATGAATACTCGCAGGCCGTATTTGGGATGGAGGAGCTGAGGGAGTGGTTTCCTTCCTTTTCTTCGGCGGTGTTGTGGCAGTCTGCGGCTGCTCGACAAAGTCAACAGACCGTTTAGAGGGAAGTATCGCTTGTGACGAGGTCCCAACAGAGGATGCAATGTAAGCCGAAACCTCATCTGCTGTGTAATTCCTGAGATCAGGTCCTTCCGACTTGATTGTGGGATGGCAGGCCTCAACTAGAGCCGCGTGGTTGATAGGCGAAAATCCACGGTAGGGCGTCTTGGCCTTCGGGGTTGCCAGGCCTTGGTTATGGGTTGAAGGAACCAAGGGAAAATTTGGGTCAATCGACGGCAACAGAGGCTGAGCACGGGGCCTTGGGACCGCTGATCTTGCCTCTTCTTTTCCTGACCCAGATGTGTTTGAAATGGGCTGAGGGGGGAGCAGGGACGGCAAGGATGGAGCAGCAGCCTGAGAGGCGGCACGAGAAGCTGATGGGCCGTCCGCCTTGGAGAAGCCATTGGCCACCTGGGAGGTTGTCGAGGTAATGACAGCGGTGGGTCTTAACGGCTGCTTGCCAGCCTTCTTGACTGCCTTCTTAATTTTTGATTCATCATCTGACTCGGTTGCGTACAGATCGTTGTATGGATCGAGGGGATCGACACCCTGGTTCTTGTCCTTCTCGTCGGTTGTCGAGGTAATGACAGCGGTGGGTCTCAACAGCTGCTTGCCAGCCTTCTTGACTGACTTCTTAATTTTTGATTCGTCATCTGACTCGGTTGCGTACAGATCGTTGTATGGATCAAGGGGATCGACACCCTGGTTCTTGTCCTTCTCGTTGGTCCGAGTGGTGTCTGTCCGTGTTGTGTCTGTCTCGTTGAACTTGGTCTGATTCGCCTCTGCCTCGTTGGTCCGAGTCGCGTCCGTCTCGTTGTTTTTGGTGATGGATCGGGTGTTGGGTCTGCTTCCGCTAGCAGCAACAGTGCGAGCCTGGGTTGTTGCTGGTGTGGGCTTCAGGTTCGGGGGCCTAGGTGTAGGTACGGAAGCCTTGGATAGTCCTATCCGCTTAACTGTTCCATTGAGATATTGGACACGGGCATGAGAGTGTATCGAGTCGAGGGGTGGAGGTGCTTCTTCAATAACAGGAATTCGACTTTTGAGTACAGCTATATCACAGATGATTAGCGATCCTCGATGACATACAAATTAATTCCACACTTACCATCTCGGTCAACTTTTACAAGATATGGAGCGGTGCCCTTCGACTCAAAGGCTTTTAACAGCGCTTTAGTTTCCAATGCCCCAATAGCCTTGACACCAGTCTTCTTTTGACCAGGTTCCACTCCCTCTCCAGGAAAGCGAACAACAGGAGGCCAGTATTTGAAAGCAAATCCCTGGTTGGCTGCTGTCCGCAGAAGTCCTGACCAAGAAAAGTGAACTCCTGGAAGGCCACCACCGACGGCCTCTAAAGGAGAGTTAGCATGCGGTTCTTGACCAGGAAGAGTATGAGTTTCTCACCAAATATAGAGACAAAATGCCTACGCAGGTTCGCTGTTGTTGTGCCACCTTTCCCATCCTGAGCATGCTCTTCGGGGGCAGCACCGCTAACGTCTTCTACCAGTGCTGATCCTTCTGCAACAACAGCAGGTTTGTCTTTGGCCATCGCCACATCGCCGGCAGGAATTTGTTCTTGCAATAGGTCGTGCCGATCAAGATATTCAGTGGCGACGCGAGAGCTAGAAAGCAATGGTAAGCAACTGTGAGACACTAAGGTTTACACAACAGTCAACTTACAAGACATGTGATTTCAAAAGGGCAATAAACTGGTTCTCTGACATGCGAATACTGCGAAAGAACTATAGAGGAGAGGCGGGGTGAATAAGCAACATCAGTAGCCCCCAAAAAAACACTCACGCCTTCCACGCGAGAGGAGTATTGAACCTTAACGATGTTATTGTCTTCATTGATACAGTTCCCTATTGAGAGGAACAAGGTTTCAAAATTCAGACGAGAACCGTCTTGAATCTACACAAAAGTCAGCATTTCCAGCAGATAAATTAAGAATGATAACGGACCAAAGAGTTCACCCGATCTATGTACTTGTGGAAAGCACGACGGCGATCTCCTTGGATCTCCTGCTTGTCAAGCAGCGCGAGGTCAGCAAAAATATCGAGACGTTCCTTCCAGTTGGGTTGGGCACAGAAACTGGTATAGCATTCGCGACAGGTTGCCTCAGGATTGCCAAGACGATTTCGTTCTTCCACCATATGCTGGGCAAAGTACTTCTCATAGACGTTCCAATAGTGGGTCTTGACCTTGGGCGTGGTGTGCTTCCGCCGGCCCCACAATGTAACAACACGATCCGCTGTGAGGCCAGTTTTTTGGGCTGCCTCTGAAAAGATGTTGTCGGCCTGTTCAAAGGCCTTGTTGAGAATGTCGGTGATGTGCCTAGGTATTCGGCCAACTGTGTTTGGTGTATGGAAGAGAAGTTTTGCCACACTATCTGGAGAGTCATCGTCGTTTGGGTCATCAGGGATGCCACCCAGATTCCCAGCAGGGGAAGACGGTGAAGGAGACTGAGAAGGCAGCATGGGGCGGTCATTGGCAGAGAAAATGTCACCAAGGGTGAGGGGCTGGTATCGACGGTTAATGACCTCTGGGCTATCGTCTGGAGGCGAGTCGCGAAGCATGTCGTCCAAATCTTGTTGGTTCATAGGGCCAAGGACGACGGCCAAATTTTCGAGTTGCTCTTTTGTTGCACCTTGTGCAGGTACTGCAGATGGAGTCGTTGGAAGGTTGTCCATGCCAGGTTTTCCAAATCTCAGGTAGACGAGGTTGAAAGCAAGGGGGAGGGTGGAGGGCAAAAAAAATCACGAAGCCAGAGCAGCGCTGAGCAAGATTCATGCTTTGCCGTGGAGGGCGGTAAAGGCCGGGTCATTATCTCGTTCGGAAAGAAGAGAGGAACTCAAAAGTCTTTTTATTCGGTTCAAAAGACAAATTCTCCCGTCTCTTCTGCCGATTTCGTTCCAGTCGGACGCTTCTGCCTACAACTAAACACCATGGACATAACTGTGGGTTAAAGTCACTGCCTGGGAAAGGAGATGAGTTGTAGATGGGTGAAACCACTCTCTAGCGCACGCACTTACACATCTTCCCAACACCAACACCAATTTAACTTCAGCTTCTCAATCTAACGATGACAGGACCCAGACGGCCATGGGATGCATTTTGAAACAGCGACAGAGATTGAGAGCGCAAGGAAGTGAGGGAAATGGCAAAAGCATGATCGGTTTCAAACTTTCGATTCGAGTCTTGACATTCAAGTACACGGTCATGTGATTATGTGATGCTGTCACAGGCCTTGAACTTGTCACAATAACAGCAACTTTGACGAAGAAAAACCCTTCAAAGTCTTGTAGTCACATTTAAAATCATGATGAATGCAGGACAAGAAATAATGACATTCCATGAAGAATGTTACAAAAAATGTGGAGAAACAACATTTCAGGAAGATAGTGACAAAAAAAGCTAAGCAACGACAATGAGAGCAGAAGGTAAATACATATTAGCCCATCCTACACCGTGACGACAGAGAGATGGCCGACGCGGCGGAGAGCGCCTGGTGGCAACACCTCGGTGTCAGAGACCTCGTCACCCACACCATGCAAGATTGACGATGATGGCGACGGGCTGTTGTGGGTGAAGGATGTGTCATGCACCGGAACGGAGGGGGCAGCATCACCGTCCGCATAAGAAGCCGCAGAGTCGTATGTGCAGGTATGACAGGAGCAAGCAGGCGATGGTGGTGGGGCTGAAGGAGCGTTGCTTCGAGTTGTTGATGAAGTCAAGAAAGGGGCGAGCGACGGGGCCGCAAATGGTTTCAAAAAGAGTTGTTGATAGGTGTTGGTGTTGAAGGCGTTGTCTGGAAGGAGGTGGCGTGCAGCCCGCTCTGCCTCGCTGAGGGGGGCAGGTCGAGGAATTTCACGGCTTTTTCCTAAGAGGGATCCTTGGTCAACGGGTTGGCCAGGACGCACGCGGCGTCTGTCTTCTTCCGTCGGAACCTTGACCTTCTTTTTGCGGGGCTGGGGGAGGACGACGGGTTCGTCGAAATCTTCGTCTTCGAAGGTGTTCAAGTTGGCAACATCGAGAGAGTCGATGTCCTTCCATGACATCGGATGATAGGATGATTGGAACGACAATTCCAGCAGGACAGTGACGATGATGTACTGAAAGAACATTAGCATGTGTGTATGACAGGAAAAGTCCAACGTACCTCAAGGAGTCCATGATGGTCTCTAGTGTCCCCTGGCCAGCGGCGACGCCAAATCGTCGCGCAACGTCGGAGAAAGGGTTCGAGGTGGCCAGTATGTATGGCGTCCACAAAGAACGGAGGCAGGATCCGGATAAAGCTCTGCTGAGAGCTTGTGCGCACGAACTCCGGAGCGGAAAGCATTGTCTGACAAGTTGATCAGCAAACGAGGAGAACACACGTGAAGAAGAAAACATACATGGTAAGCAGTGGGGAGGCACAGCAGACAGGCAGCGGGGGGATCCCAGGAGGGCGAAAAGAGAGACAAGGAGACAAGGGGGGAGCTTGAGGTGTCGGTGCAGAGGAGGGCGTCCGGGGCTGGACTGAGGAAAATGCATTGGACAACGTCAGGCTTAAATAGTGTGAAGAGCCCCGGAGTTTCGCCCTGGGCCGCGGCGAAGAAACAAGGGATGTCAGAAAGAAGGTGCGGATGTCACCACAAGGCAACCGAGATAGGAAGACACCGGTGCGTTCGAAGATGGTGGAAGAGCGGAAGAAGCTCACCGTTGGCAGAAGTTGTGCAGGAGGGTAAACATGGCACAGACCATGCAATAAAGACAGATCGACCTCACCTTGGTGATGAAGGAGACTGAGGAGGAGACAATGTAATGCTTGAATCTGGGGTTTGAGGACTGCACCTAGTGGTGAGGAGTTTGATCATGCTGCATTGGTAGGCGCTGAATCAGCAGCGGTGTATCCACCGAAGCCAGCATATCGGAAGAAGCTACGGATGTGGCGTTGACAGAGAAGACGGCGTCCAAGTTGGAAGGGAGATTTGCACTGTCCTGTTGAACAACTGCCAGTAATGGTCAGAGCTGGCAGTGCCGGTGTTCGTTGTTCATGACTATGCAATCAAGTTGAGAGAGATAACACATGTAAACAAACATACCTGCATCCTAATGTGCGTCATTCAGTCCTGGCCTGCCAGAGGGCGCAACAAAGAAAGCGGATGTGGCAATCGAGGGAAGCGAGGAGAAGGTTCAGAACGTTCAATGGTCAGCTTCGAAGAAGTGGACAGCAGGCACGTGCGCTGACAAAGCTTTCCAAAGCCGTCACCAGCACATGCCACATGCTTACCTATCGAGCTCTTTATGCATGGCTATTTAGTCGAATGGCAATATTGCAATATGTTCTCTTGATCAGTGTTCGAGTTCAATCCGTAAGTGTGCCTTTCTTTTCTGGTGTTTTTTTCTTAGCAGCTGCTTGCTGAGTCACTCTGAGACGGTATGCTTCATAATATATGTACAGATTAGTTTTCGCAATGCCCAAGAGAAATTATATTCAACTGAGGGACGGTAGCGCTAAGAGAGACTGATACAAACACATCCGGAAGCTCTGCATGTCACTCTCTGTGAGCCCAGTCATGTCGTGTCCTGAGAGAGTGGCAAATACAACAGCGAGAACCCACAGACCACAATCATAACCATTTGATTGAAGTGGCATTGTCTAATGAAGAGCTCACTACCTGGTAAATTTATCAGAAAATAACACACCAAACTCACCGAAATTGGGCTCGCGCGCCATCCTTCCTCAACAACGATTGGGAGGTGAAATCCCATGCGATTGGAAATTAAGACCAATCTGGTTATCAGTGTATGTATGTCCTCGATGAGGTGTGAGCCAGGGGTTTTTACAATCCACCGGAATGAAAGCTCACCTTCAGCTCCCGGATCCAAGGATGAACTTCTCCGAAGCTGTCGAAGAATGAGATCTCACGACGATTTGGGTAAATGATAGCAAGAACCCAGTGTTCGATGGCTGGTCGGTGAATAGGCAAAATCCAAACAGGACGATTCCAAAATTCCGAAATATGCACCCGCCTCCAGATGTCGGTATCAGAGGCATTGCATCTGATCATTACCAGGTCCTGGCTTGATAGAAGAGCGCATCGAGAGCTGCTGTCTACATGTGATGAGCCTGGCAGAGCAAGGACGAAAGCAAATAGCTTTGCAATGCCATTAAGGCAGTTGTCATTTAGTCTCCCATTCCGCAACTTCAAGATATCGAGGTCCCGAGATTCGAAGTGGATGTTGCATATCTTTTTATCGTACCTCTTCCATGAGAGTAGTCGCGTGTGATGAGAGGGTGGGATTGAAATGTGAGAGCAAAGGTGTTGCGAGAGTATATTCAGGACAGCATAGTCAACCAGCTGAAATTCCTGCGAAGACGGTAAGCCAGACTCGTTTCTAAATTACTGCGACTTACTGGAATTACGTGGGTAACTTCCACTGCATCTGTCTCGGTGGCAAATCCAGCTTCAGTAACCTTGCAGTCTTTTCCCTTCAGTTTGAGCTCCGAGGGAGTGTCGTCTGAGTCTGAGCCTTCAAGCAGATCCTGCATCATGACTTCATCAGGATCAGGAGGAGCGTCCCCCTCCCCTTCATCAGCACCGTCGTCATAGCTCTCAGGTGTGAAAAGCGTTATTGAGCTCCCGGATTTTGAAGGGGTTGTATCAGACCGACAGATAGACAGTCGTTCGAGCAAGGGATACATTACTTGTTGTACTGTACTCTGGGCCTTGCTTATCTCGGATTCGAATCGTTGGAGAGGCGCAAGAGGATTTGCCCACTTTGCTTTTAGATGGGTAAGCTGATCGCGGTGTTGTTTGAGGAGGATAGATATCTTGAGATCTGGGAATCTAAATTGAATCAGACTACGAGAAAGTGAGTAAATGCTTACTGTCAGATTTCACCAGTGCTACTTCAACAGCGATGACTTGGTGTCTATACCACCGGCACATATTGTCAGATTCCTGAACGAGACGGCTTCGCTCTTCATTGCATCGTTCCTTACGGTTCATGGCTCTGATTCCCTCCCGGACATCGAGATCGTGAAGCCAGCGCGGGACCTCATTGAGCGAGGTTGCAATCCACACATCCTCCATGAGACTTGATGCATCACGAAGACCGGACAAGGTCGTCGGTAATGGCTCTGGAATCGGTATTGCCCACTCGGGCTTGTGAAGGAGAACAAGCCTCTCGCAATACTTGTTAAATTTTCGTATTGCAGTCATTAAGGCAGGCTTTCGTTTCGAAATCGCTTTGCGTGTCATCTGGTGTACCTTGGTTCCTGTTGAGGGCAAGCAAGATAATGTCGGGTCAAGTAAAGTGGGGTAACATCCTAACCGCTCACCTAACGCCTGATCATTTCCACCTGCAGCCTGGTCGAGTTTGTCCCACTCGAAAAAGCTCCCGATCGCTCGATGGCGTATGTTGATCTTCAAATCCCTTGCCATGATAAGAGTGCGAACAAATTCCAGATCGATATGGCGTAGTTCTGGAAATGTTTCGTGCACGTTTAGGGATGCATAAAGTGATTCTACCTTTTCCTTAAGTTGTGAGTGGATTTCCTCCAGTCCTTCGAGAATTCCAAGCTGTTCATCTTTGCCAGAAGAATTTTTGAGCATCAATCGTGTGCTCTCAATCGCGCCTTCCACAGTATCTAAATCAGCTTGGAGAGAGAGGACAGTGTCGAGCTCTTTCTTAAGGCGAACGGGGGCGTCTTCACAGCGTTCCGAGTCAGCCAAATGTTCGTGATTTCAATTGGAAGTAATGCCAACTTACGGGCACGAATAGAAAGCTGGGCCACCTTCTGAGATTCCCACTGACACTTCAGTTCCTTGACAGGAACACCACATTCGGTTATGATTTTGTCAGCGGCCGCTCCCTGAGTCTCAACGCCCTTTTTTAGCCGACGACGAATCCACGATCCCAAGTCATCCCTGAGTTCAGCAGCGATCAAATGGGCTTGACGATCGAGAAGCCATATTCGCTTCGATCTCTGAAAACCATTGGTGAGACTATCAACAAATAGTTGGGGAATACTAACCGCGGATGAACGTGTGATACCGATAAGTTTTCGGAGGCGAGACCACAGGCGCTCTACGCCCTCCCCATCAGTGAGTCCCAGACCTTTGATCATCCGTGGATTGTATATCAACTGACATGCCCATTGGTGGGCGTAGGCATGCATCGCGCTCGTTGCAAACATGCATCTTGCAGTGATTTCAAATGGAAGTATGTCGTACTATAGGCATCAAATAATTAGGTCGTCATCAGGCCCGCATAATGGATTTAACATACCAACTGGAGACTTCGATCCAGAACACACCCCACATCGTAAAGGACGTAGACTCGGGCATGGCACGGAAGCAGGGTGAACAGATGCTCGATGAGGGCTACACCATACTTCTGTTGCTCCCCAGGAGTATCGATGTTGGTGAAGAAGAGGGGTATGTCGTGCCTACATACTAATGCCATGGCTCCCCCATCGTCGAACTTGTCCATGTTTGTCTTGACATTTGAACCGCTACCAGCCGTATGGCTATTTTCGCATTCATCAATCGCCTCGTCCGGAACCTTTGGCTGGGCTGCTTTCTTTGGACGTTTTCGGAGGTTCTCGATGTGATCGCCGACCTGATCTACTTGGGTCTTGGATAAAAAAAACTGGGGGTCATAAAACTGTGGGCATTCGCCTGCAGTTCGAAGGTGTCGATGGTTGAAATTACCATCTATCACAACGTGAATGTCCCCTCCCCTGGGAGGATTGATGAGATATACGCTTCCCAGTGATCTGAGCACCTACTCGTCCCAGGACCGGCCAAATTTGGTCCCCCCGAAGCACGCAGGACATCTATCCTGGAGAAGCTGTGCACATTGAGACTTGCGCGTCTTCGAGTCAATTGATTCATCCATTTGATCCATGATGCGCAGAGCATCTTTCAGAGATTTTGAAACCAGCGTGACAAGTCCATCATACCACTGAATGGCATAGCCGAGCCCACGTCGAAAGCCATCTTGAGCGGGGCCGCCCTACATCCAGGTTGGTGAGGACGGCATGAAAGAGGCTTGAATCGACTCACCTGCGCATTTAGAAGGACAAATCCCCTCTTTGTGTAGAACGAATTCAAGGCGCTTGCCATTGCATTCACCGCATCGCACGATCGTTCGAAAAGAGCATTGTAAAAGTCCAAAAGCTCGATAGAGACGGCCATTCGGGGTTTCGTTGGTGAAGTGGGAAATAACCCATTTGAAACAAGGACTTGTAAAAGGCCTTGACAGTCGCACGAGTGCACGACCAGATTCTCGAACCCTTGCGACAGGAAACAGTGAGCAGAGTTAACTTCAGAGCAGGGGGACTCGGCTCACGATCTGAAAAGAGGCACACAATATCCTGGTTTCTGGCGCTGCAGATGTTGGGCTTCTGACAATTGGGTTTGATACCAGAGACGACAGTGGGTAATTTGGTACCTAAAGTGCGATTGATGTAGAACAAGAGCGGGTCAACAAGAGTCGGTAGAACCTCCGACCAGCGCTTGTAGAGGGTATACGCAGCATCATTCGGCGTGGTGCGTTTCGCATTTGGAAAGGCAGAGGGATCAAGATATTCTCGTCCAAGGTTCATTGCATCAGAGTCTGCCGATTGCACCTCTGGGATGGGGCAACACTTGTTTCCTTCATCAGGAGGAAACTCCGAGCTGTTTGAACACAAGCCTTCGCGCGAGGGGTTTGTTAACTCAGGCTCGCTTGCATTGGCATGAGTAGTCCAGTTCGAAGATGCTGCCGGGGTATCAAGATCTCGAAGGCGTCGTTCCAGCATTTCTCTCTTTCCGGCCGTAGACAGAGCCTCGCTGGCAGGCATGTGTTTTCCAGACTTCCTTCGTTTAGCAGGACTAACAAAGATTTCGCCGAGGCCTGAAGTTACAGGCTGCTGGGAACGTTTGGACCCGGTGGTATTCGTTCCCTTCTTAGACATGAGAATGTGTTCTTTGAGGGCGGGAGACTTCCTTAGACAGACAGAAGAAGACAAGTTGAAACTTGAAACGTTAGTGTCATTAAAGTCTGTCGACGCACACGGTTAAGATCTATTAATAGAGAGTGCATAAGAAGGATGTTGAAGTGGGACGAATCGCAGGAAGTGCAACGGCGGGGAAGCGAGTAGAACCAACATGAAGTGGAAGCACAAGCACAAAGGCTATAAGGAACCCTCGGAGGGTGAAATCACGGCACGATAAACCGCCCTTAGAGGTCTATGACTAAGCAAGAAGTCTCTTGTCTTAGGTGGGGAAGGACGTCGCGGAGGTGGCGTTCGATCACGGGAAGAACATGCTCTTGCTCAAGAAGCTGGTCATCAAGGACATTGACGTGCTCAAGTTTGTACAGAACCAGGACGCTGGGCTCGTCAACTGGCCAGGCCCGACGCCTGTGGCACTCTGGAGCACAGGCAGAGTTGGCGAATTTAGGTTAGTCATATTTGCCTTGCTACACAATTTGACCTGACATTTTTGTTCAGGTTGGCTTTCGGTCGTCCTAAATTGAACAAATCACCCAACGTCGGTTGCATGCCGTACTGGGCCACCATCGACCCCGGCCTGAATAGCAATGGGGCACCCATTGATTTGCTCTTCTGGAACAGGGGCGTCTTGACATACCCTTCAGCTGGTGTCAGCTTTGCAAGGAAGAAATGAGGTTGGTAGTGGCAAATAATGTATATTATTTGAAGGAATAACTTGATGCATGAATGAAGTACAATTTCTTGATGTTACTCTATGTCTAGTCCGTGAGTGTGAGTGGGGTTTCAAAGCATGTGTTACAGAAAGGAATAAGATAGCGGATTTGAAGTCATTTGTATTCCTCAATGAAGATTATATGCTGGGGCATAATCTGCAAAGACATTAATTGAACATACGACTGGAGCAGTGACTGTGAGAAACACATACAGGTCATATTTTATTAGGTCGTCTGCGTTGACGATAGCTGAGGCAATGAAAGAGCGTGCTTCCAGCCACACCCACAGCTACGGGAAAAAGAGTCAGATAAACCATAGAAGAATAAAGGAAGGAAAGAGAAACGGACCTTAAGGAAAGCACCGAGGTTGCTCGAAGGTAAATCCATGTTCATCGATTCCCTCGCCGCCATCTGTCCACCCAACTTCCTCAACATCGGCAGCGCACTCGCAAACAAATCAAGCCCAGGGTCCAATTGTCTCCCAATGCCCTCCAACAATAAAATCGAGATAACCGTATTAATAAAATCACCCTCCATTTTCACATGATGCACCCGCACATTCTTGAGCACCTCCGTCAGCAAGTCCGAGATCTTGATCTGACCAAGCGAGAACGTCTTGCGCTTGACGCTCAGGACGAGGTGCTGCATCTTCAGCGCGAACGTCTCGGTGTCGATGGCGAGCTCGGGCGAACGCGACCGCTCGACCATAAGTTGCCCGGTGCGGTACCCGTCGAATTCTGCCACGGCGCGGAAGAGGTCGAGGAAGTTCTGCCGGTTCTTCGCGTCGAGGGTCGTGACAAGCCCAGCGTCGATGAAGATGATCTCAGGGACGTAGCCGAAATCGTGCAGGTGTTCGAGTTCTTTGTGCCATGCAGACGGGTCAGGGATGAGAGAGCGTAGACGGCCGACGATGGCGTCGGAGTCGGAGTAGTCTGCCGAGACGATAGTGGAAGGTAGTCCGTTCTCGTCGGTGGAGTGTCGGTGGAAGAGGTGGTTATAGAGGTTCTCGAGCAGGATACGTGTCGTTGGAGGTTTACTGAACTTGATCATGATATTACCTGGATGCAGGTCCGAGTGCACAAAGTTATCGAGAAGGAGCATGTTCTTGTAGGATGTCAGGATATCAGGATTTAAATTGGAAGCAGACGGAACAGCTTACGAGGAAAGCATCCAACCCCACGGTTGCAACCTCATCATCGTACGGACCGCCACCGTTGCGCAAGAAGGCTTCTAACGGCAAAGCGTTCATGTACTCCTCGACCAAGAGATCCTTCGCTGACCATATCTTGAGCGGCCTTGGGAAGTTGACAGGGACTCTTCTTGGAGAGAAGTGACTCTCAAATGCCAGTAGATTGTCGGCTTCATGTCTAAGATCTAGTTGCTGGCGCATCATAGAACCGAAGACATTCACTTCCTCTGGCAAGGATATCCATTGCATCCCTGGGAAGAGGTTGATACAACGAGCGAAAAATGACATGATGCGCAGATCGCGTGAAATGGTCTTGGAAACATTGGGATGAAGGACTTTGATTGCAACGGAAGCTGTGGGTACTGAAGGAAGAGGGTCCTGAAGGATGACGGGACCAAGTGGACCCGCTGCGGTCTTTCGTGAGCGTCTAGGTCCAAGATACGAGGGTGGGATGAGATCTTGTTTGAGGGTTGCTCGGTAGACCTGTTAGAGAACGTTCGAATAGAAAAAATGATGAAAAATGAGAACTAGCACACCTGTGCGATGGCGCCTGAGCCTATTGACTCCTCATCGAAGGACTCGAAAACTTGATCGAAAGGTCGCTGGAAAACGTCTTCAATCACGGCTTTTGTATGGCCGAGCGGGTGCGGAGTGCCGCGAGAGTGGAGAGAGCCTAGACGCTCGCAGAGAATAGAGGGGAATATATCAGCGCGTGAGGCGGCCCATTGGGCTAGCTGGAGATGGTGGCATTAATCGAAGAAGGAAAGGCGAGGCATGGACCCTACCTTGATGAAAGTTGGGCCAGCGGCCTGCATTCGGGAGACAAGAAGGCCATACCACCAGACTGCGCCCCACCTATCGCCCGCCAGGGCCTTGTCCGACTTGCCCACAAGGAGCATGGGACTGGTGATGATTACCGGGGCGAAGAGAAAGAGGAGGTGGATGAAGCGCCTCGCAATGAGGATGGGCTCCCATATGTGCGCGCGGAGGAGGGCACGAATGGAGGCCGCCAGGGTGCGGTGCGGCTCGGAGGGAGAGAGGATGATCGGTGTGAGCGGACGTGGCGGGATGACGGCCGGGGACGAGAGGACGGTCGGCGGAGGCGGGCGGGCGTTCGGGAGAGCGTAGAGGACGAGGCCGGCCGAGACGGGGAGGATCCAGAGGACATGGCGGCGGAGAGGGAAGCGCTGTACGGGGGACGGGGAGAAGAAGGGAAAGCGGGGCGGGGGACGGCGCGCTCTGAGGCGCAGGGCGTGAAGGAGCATACAGAAGGAAGAGGTGACGTCAGGGCTGATTCGGAAAAGGGTGTTGACATGTGTTGATCTCTGTTCGGCCTATGTATTTCCGATCTGCAGTTGGGTGAGACAGCCAGGTCTCCTTCGTCTCCTCATCCTGCGGTCTATGGCCGGCACCGTAGCCTTTGTCACACTCGTATCCTCTGACAACTACCTCCCAGGTGCCCTCGCCCAGGTTGCAGCCCTCAATGACCTCCACCCACGGCCTTCCCAGGCCCCAGAGGTCGACTTCCAGACGGTCTGTCTGGTCACTCCCGAGTCCCTCAACGTTGCTACGGTCCGCCGCCTAAGAAAGGCGTTTGACCTTGTGGTCGGCGTCGAGATTCTTGAGCAGGATAACTCGCAGGGTCTCAAACTGCTTGGTGCGTCACAACTCCCCTTCCAGACGCGTCTCCCGCCTCGATTACGCGCATGTATGCGCTTCTTTCCCCGAATTGCAACCACCGTCGTGTCTCGTCAACCCCGCCAAGTCTATTTTTCCGAGTTCTGACTTTTCTCTGTCGCAGGCCGTCCCGATCTTACCACTGTCCTTACAAAGTTGCATATTTTCCGTCTCACTCAATTCAAGAAGATCATTTTTCTCGACGCCGACGTCCTTCCTGTCCGCCCTATTTCTCATCTCTTCAATATACCCCACGAGTTTGCTGCAGCCCCCGATGTCGGTTGGCCAGACATTTTTAATTCCGGTGTGCTTGTCCTCAATCCCGGCGAGGACAAGTTCACAGAGCTTTACCAGCTCATAAAATCCAAGCCCTCTTGGGACGGCGGCGATCAGGGCATTCTCAACGAATGGCGTGGTGATGACTGGCACAGGCTCAGCTTCACCTATAACACAACTCCCACTGCCGCTTACACGTCCGTGTTCTTTCCTTCGTATCTTTACGGCATATACTCAACCTTTTTTCAAACAGTTACGCCCCTGCATACGAACGCTTCGGTTCCCAGATATCTGCCATTCATTTTATTGGCTCCAACAAACCTTGGAATTCCCTTCCATACCGCGCTCCATTTGCAGGTCGTCAACCCGACCCCCCTGAGTCGGCTCAGCGTGCCTACGATTACCAGTCATTGGTTGATCGCTGGTATGATGTCTACGACCGCCATTACCGCGCCGAAACCAGCCAATCGCAAGGCTCCTTCGAGGTTAAGCCTTATCCTGCTGTCTGGGATCATCATCTGGCGGAATCCCCCCACCCTCCCCCTCCCGCCAATACATTTGACCTAGATAATCTTAAGTGTCTGGCCCTTCAAGGTCTCAATGCCTCCGCTACCCAGAGCCAGCCTGGCGAGGGTCTCTACACGAGTATGCCTCTAGAAGGCCGCATCGATTTAATGCGCCCTCGCAAGCCTGTCACGAAGCAGGACATGTTCGAGAAGAGCGAAGATGATAAGCATCAGGATCAGGCATATGTTCCAGACGATTCAGATAGATTCACGGGCGCTACCTACGACGAAAACCTGTCTACGCCTATTGGTCGGCCTGGGGTCCTCAGTGATGGTGACCCACCTCGTTGGCACACTTTGCCAACGCCAGGACCAAATGAAGTACCTTCCAGTCCTCGCTTGCGTTTGGTCTCGCTTCCACCAACGCCAACATCTGTCCCACATCTCTCTAAAACAACTCCAGACTTCTATGCCAGTGAAAGCGAGTCTGACAGACTTTTACTCGCACGAACCGGGAACGACCATCACTACGATCACCATCATCGTGAACATGCACACCCTCAGCATCCGTCACATTCACACCAGCAACCAGAACACCAATACCAACACCGGTATCACCCGCAGGCATACGAATCCAGAGAGGACAAGAGACAGGGACAGGGACAGCCGCACAAATCCCACTCCCTGAATCAGTCGCGCCAGCACAGTCCGGAGCAGTATCATGACCATGGACACCAGCATTCCTATCAGCAGCAGCAGCCTCCACCGCCTCGACCTATTTCTCCGCCCATGGTGGCTTGGAATCCTGCAATCGAACCACCTCCGAATGTGGCTCCCACACCTAACGCCTTTCCATCTGACACCTATTTTGCGAATGTATGGGACCAGACACCTTCTCGACAACATGACCAAGCCCATGCTGGCCTCGGCCCTTCTCCTTCACATTCAGACAGTTTTTTCCATCCCCTTCCTCCTGCGGTGATCCCCGAGACGCTGCTTAAACAGGGTCACTACCGCAATGTCACTGGCGATTCTATGGAAGCTACTCCCAGTCCGGACCGATCAAAAGTCAAGTCAGTTTTTCCATGGGAGCAGAAACCTAGGGTGCTACCAGGACGTGTCTTCCCTGATTCGGATGCTCCTCCACCTTCCTTATTCTTGAGTCCTGGGAGCCAGAGTCAAACGTCGACCACCACGCCTAGTACTCCCGAAACTCGAGGACCAACGCTTCCGACCCGCCCTGCACCCCTTTCTCCGCTCTACGGTTTGCCCACGACGTTGAACTATTCTAATGCTTGGGATAATGTTCCCAGCATTCAGAAATATGCTTCGCGTCTGGCTAAACCCCCTCTCCCTCCACCTGCCCTTGCACCGGCCTTCGAGGATGATAGCTACCGAAGGTCGCGCAGAAGGAGCCGTGATGAACGCGCCGAGATCAGCAGCCGTGACGGCGATGATGAGGATAATGCAGACGATGAGGACGAGGACGACCTAGTTGCAGCTGGTACTAAGTGGGATGATGATAGCGACCGCGAGTCGGCCAAGAGGCGGTCGAGGAGTGGCTCTGTGGTCAAGGCGAGTCTCAAGCCTAAGAAGAAAGAGTACAGGAGCCGAGGTGTGCAGACGATGACCGTTGAAATGCGCAGTCAGGCAGTGCAGGTTGACCCACCGAAGTCGGAGAGGCACGTCAAGAGGGCGTCGGTGTCGGGTAAAAGGCAATGGGCCCCGACGACTGCACCAACACTCTTGGCACCTGCGATGACACGCGACGTTAGCATCGGAGGACACGACTTACCCGCAGCCAATATCACGCCTCTCTTTATGGAGCGCAAGAAGTCGCCCTCTGTTTCGCCCACGACGCGATCGCCCGCTCTGTCGCCTTCCATGGCCCCGCGCGAGTTCGTAGTGTCACCTGTGGCCGTTACCAGACCAGCAACGTATGCCAGCCCGCAACCATCGAAACCTACTGTTCGTACTGCGACGCCGTCGACGGCTGCTATTCGCGCGTCTCCGCCTGTGCCGCAGCAGGAACCCGCTGGGACTGCTGCTCCACGAAGTAGATCTTCTTCGACGAAGTCCTCCCCAGCTATGGCTCGTCAGGCATCTCTTGACTCCTCCATCACGTCTCCTGTATCATCGAAGGGGCCGGTATTACCAGCGGACGGTTATTTAGTGATGTCACCTCAGGGGAGTATGAGGAAGGGTGGACGTGTGTGGGACCCGGCTCGTGGGGTTGAGCTGTTCAAGAGAGGTTCAGAGGAGGTTCTCGCGCGGTTTTTGAAGATGGGTTCTTTTGAACAGGAAGCTCGCTGAGCTTGGACGACGTCATTACCACTAGCCGACTAGCGAAACCCCTCGGCCTTCTCTATACCTCACACCTCTTGATTCCGTTACGAAAATGGACTCGCTCTCTCTGCTTATTATCGCCTACGTTTATCCTCTTTGTCCCCCTGTCACCTTTACCTTGTCCCTTGTCCCTTTTCCCCTTCGTTCTACATCATGTCGTTTTCCATCTCGAGTCACCTTCCACCTGATTTCTTGATTCTTACACTCTCTTAGTTTTTCTCTCAGCCCAAGTCTCTCGCATATCACCCCAATCCACATTCTTGCAACATCTTGGCTACCACTTCTCGCTCGTCAGTTCATTCTTGTTTCTGCTTCTCTCATCCAGTACGATTTTTTTGCAATTTGTCCGTTTTCTGTACCCACTAAGTTTCAGCGCCCGCATTAGACTCTTCGCCATCATTGGTGCTTACCTCCCGTACTATTGTCGATGTACGTACATACTGTATCGTCTGTTCTTCAATATAGCACTACCTCCTATCCAATTGTCTTCGTCGGCAGTGACGAAGTTGGGCGCCAAAGTACGTAAGCGCGCGTCATTGATCGCTGTCGATGATGTCATGGGTCATAGGGGCTACGAGTTTGGAGACTGCGTTGAAGGAGCTGTATATAAGCCCGGTCAGACATCTGTGGGCACTTCATTATTACGTCCACAAATCTCACACTCAAACACTATGACATCTCCTGGAAAGATTTTCAACGTCGAGCAAGTGACCAGCAAAGAGTGTGTGGCGTCCTCGCTTCTCATTGATGCCGCTGACGGGCTTCGCTTAGCCAAGTCGCATTCGAGACAACAGCCGCCGAGGCTCGTCTTGACGCGCCAAACCGTGTTGCGGCGCGTCAGGTGGAGGAGAACGCTCGTAAGGAAAAGGAGTCGGCGGAACAAGTAGCCTCTATTGTCAAGGTAAGTCAAATCGGGGTTCGGGATTGCTTAGAAACACACTATCTCATAGACGCTGGGACCCAAATACACCGGCGAGCCAGCAACCGCTGTTGGCCAGTTCCGTGGCGACTCTGACTCATCTAAGACGAAGACAACGAAGAGTGCGACGGAACAGCTACAAGCAAGTGCGTCGAAGACAACGAATGTCGCTGTTGCTGAGGGCAAACACGACGTTGAAGAAGCGAAGGTCGCGACATCCACCTACGTGCAGCAAGCCAAAGAGTTGGCTAACTCGGCGATAGAGACCTCCCAGGTAAGCGCAAATCACTTAACAGAACTTCGCTCGATTTTTCACGATCTCCAGGCATACCTTCCGACCTCCATGGGAGGTAAACCAGAGAACACACCGTCGGCTTCAAGAAGCCCATCGATGTTAGCAGGTGAAATTGGTTCAGGAATAGCGTCACAGATTCAGACCACGGCCGCAAACGTGTATACGGCTGCGGTCGAAACCGCCCAGCTGCATGTCGAGAGAGCGAGGGGCCATATCGAGAATGCTAAAGGCGTTGCGCAAGGGTATATGGCGACCGCAGGGATGCAAGACAGACAGCTTACAGAGAAGCTTGGGACTGCTCAAGTCCCTCCGGCGTCTTCCACAGGTACTCCTGCCACAACCACGCCTCTGAAGAGTGGTCAGCATAATGTTGGGACACCTGACCCCGATGTCCACAGATAATAAGTTATTCCTAGTAGATGATATACGGTTCTGTGTGCAACAACAACGCTTGTTCTTGTAGTGGGTTTACGATTTATGCATCTAACCAGGAGGCGATCTTGAGCGTCGTGGTAGTTTAATGTTTCGTGAGTATAATGGTCTCGAAATAATCAGGTACGATGTTCACTTTCAGGACCTGGAGAGGGAACTCAGTAAGCATAAACCATAGTAAGTACTTGTATTACAATACAACATTGTTCGGTCTTCGAAAGCGTGAAAGCAATGAGAAAGCGAATTACATAAATATCAAAGCAGACGAGAGCAATAACAAAGAATCAAATCATGAATGGCCTTGAATATAATTTGTAGGGAGGAATGACGTTAGAGGGGATTCGGGATTGAAAACAGCATGAGCAGGCGTTAATGTAGTACTAATATCACCAAGACCATAAGATGAGAGATTGAAAGGGAATACACTTGGTTCGGTGCCAAAAAGGCGGTCAAGGAATTGATAATCCACCAAGGAGAACAACGCATCGTCAACTCCAGACACACAATCTTGGTGGGGTGGTGTCAGTATTTCAGGTGAAACACCAGATGCTGAGGTAATTCCAGCCTGCGAAGATGCTACGGAATTCCAGGATGTTACTCTGGAACTGCAGCTCTCCCAAGAAGCGGAGGAAGTGAAGGAAGAACAAGAGGAGGTGGTGGTGGTGGTGGAGGCGGTGGAGGAGGCGAAGGAGGAGGCGGAGGAAGACGAGGAATATCTCGTGTATGGTGATGTCAGCGGTGATGGCTTCCGTTTGGGAAATGGTGGGTGCTTCCGTCCTGAGACATGGGAGGGGGGTACTGAGGGTGAAAAGAGATCAGCCGACAAAGAATAAGGCAGTGGACTTGAAAGCCCACTAGGGGAATGAAGAGAGCTTTGCGTGAGATGGGATTTTCGGACTAAGGCGGGGTGAGGGGCAACAGATGGGATGGTAATTCTCGAGGAAAACCAAAAGGCGGATTCCAGACAGGTTCTTCGCTCTTGTTTCTTGCTGCGCCCTTTGAAGGAAGTCTCGCGCAGGATCAGCTGCGTTGCAAACAGGCGCTCTAGTTCATCAACGGCGGCAGGCTGAAGAGGGGGCCGCTCGGTAGGTTTGGCGGGAGTGCGCCTCCAGGATGGAGAAGGCTTGAAAATGCTAGTTTCGGATGGCATGTGCAGTTCCTTTCCACCACGGAAGGGTCGAGGGAATGCGTGTGGAGGTGCTACCTGAGAGAAGGGGCATGTGGTGGGCCCAACGCCGATTCCAGGCTGAGAAAAACATGAAAAAAGGGAATTCGAAAGGTTTAAAGGTGCATAACCTACTTCGTCTTCATGGTGGTCATCATTGAGGTGTTGCGTTGGAATCGATATTTCTTCATCCTGGATATGTGTGGTAACCGACTGCGGGGCTGGTTCAGGGAATGTAGCGGTCGATAGCGCCTTGACTAGCTTCCTTCCTTCCTTTTTGGCACGGTTGCGATGGTTTTGGAACTGTAATGAAATTGAATCGTAGCATTGAATCTACAGTAACGTAATTGACACACCCAAACTTCAATTTGCCTTGGAGACATCATCGTCTTTCGGGCCAAGCTGAGTCGATCTTGTAGAGACGGGTAAGCGTTCTTTTCGAAATACTGTTCCAACAAAGGAGTATATTGCTGTATAGATTGCTGCGTTAGATGGATTATTGGCTGGAAGTACGATATAGTTCACGCACATGATTGAACGCTTTCCGGTCTTTCAGGAGGGCTTGAGGGGGGATAGGTACGCTGGTTTGAGGCAACCGCTTGAGTGCACCATGAAGAAATTTAGGAAGATCTCTCTTCTCGTATAAGGATTCAAAGGTTCGGCGCAGGCCTTCCAAGGTGGTTGACGCTTGACTTTGTGATGTTCTGGCAAGGATGTCTCTCGAGATTGATCGGTACGACTCTTCGTAAGCTTGCATCAACTCGACCGCTTTCGACATGGTGGCATGACAAATCTTTGGATGAACGCCCTTGTCTGTCAATTCGGCGGCTAGCTGCGAATTGAACTTGGTGAGCCGGAGAGGAGGAATAGGCAGAGATGACGGTAGAGGTGGCTTGGAGCAGAGTTTCGAGGGGGGAATAGGAATAATCTCAAGGAGGCTTCCGACGGAAGAGACAACCCGTTGAAGGAGATCTCGTTCAAGCATGCTGGGCGCTGATATCAAGCCTGGTTGAGGAAAGCGAGGATATCGAAAGCTTAAAGCGTGAGGCCTGAGTAGGTGTGTCCAGAATATTTGGAGGTATTTGGTCATTCGCATTGTCCGCCTAAGTAGGATGCCGACATGCCGCCGCATTGTTCGTTTGGCGTCGATGGCTTTGTTGGTATTTGCTGATGCGAATGGGAATATGTAAACGGCTGCCAGTGCCACCCACACTCCCACTTCATCCACCGAAGAATGTGTGATAATTCTCTCTTCGCTCAGCTCTGTCGAGCAGAGGAGCGACTTCTCTCCTCGATGACGCAAAGTCCTGACGCCTTGGAAGAATTTAGTCGTTCTTGGGCCAAACTCCAGACATCGATAAACGAAGCTGTTGAGCAAGACACACTGGATGAAGACACTGCAACCCTTGCACAAACCGTATCTGCCAGAATCGAAGTAATTGCAAGCCTCTTCCTTGACCTGCACACGGAGACGACGGCTTTCTCCTCTTCACTGCAAGATGACTTGACCGCCATATTCTCGAATCTGACACTGTCTGAGGCTTCGGGTAAGGACACGGGTGAGTTTTTGTGAGTTTTACATCCTCTGCACGGTCTTCATACCTCATTCGCCCAGAACAATCGGAATCGGTCGCATCATCGTCTCTCCCACCTTATATTGAACCTGCGTATACATGGCTATTGCACAACCTCCACAACCCCTACCCATCCAAACAGGAGAAGGCCTATTTTTCGCTACAATCGGGTTGCAGCCTCAAGGACATTGAGCACTGGTTCACTAGTGTTCGAAGACGCATCGGCTGGAATAACCTACGCGTGCAGCGTTTTAGAAATAAGCGCTGCCTGATTGTGCAAGCGGCAACTCGTTTCTTCGATTCCTCTGCAGATCCACTGGATGCGGGCCAACACATTGCCTTCGCCACTGTCTTGCGTAATGTAGAGAATCTCTATCAGAGGACACTTCACAAAACCTCTCTCACTCCAACGTCTAACGATCAAGATCGAACATATCCAGATCGAGGTCGCAGACACACTCTGGCGAGACCCCTTCGTCGTCGCCAGCAGCACACGACAGGGGCTTTTGCATATCCATCCCCCAGCAATTCGGCCAGCAATTCTCCAGAACGTTTTTTCTCGTCTCCAGAACCTTCCGCGTCGCCGTATTCTCCTCCCATATCCTGTACCCACAATCGCAAGCGCCGCCAATCTAGTATTACCGACTCCGATTATGACAGCAACGACGAAAAATTACGTCCGTCTAAACGGAGCAGGTATGTGGTTCTTAGTCTCGCTTTCGAACTCCTTCCAACCACTTCCTGCCAGATCTTCAATTCTTAGTGACGGCGGCGCCTTTACCTTACCGACGCCTGTGGCTTCTCCAACGGCGTCGTTGGACTCGTCTTTAAGTGATGTCGGTGAACCCGAAACCCTTAGACCTCCAATCCTTTCCACGAAACGCAAACGGCGCCTTTCGGAAGGCGATGAATCAGAACATGTGTCCAAGCGACCTCACTCGGCACTAAACAACGGTTCTCGAGTCAATCATACCCCGACACAAGATCATCAGAAGGCCACGCCCTTTGACTCTTGGCTTCATGGGACTGAAGAGCGAATAGTGCTCACGGATGACATACCTAAACCAGTAACAGCTGAAACCCCCTACGACGCAGATGAGCTCGACGTTGCGTTCCATCAGTATGATTACTCCCCCTATGCAACAGAATTGAGCCTCGAAGCTGGCAGCACTGGAACTCGGGACTCAAGTCGAAGTAAGCCGTTGTCGTTGACGCATTTCTGCGATGCTAACATCGACGTCAGCTCCTGAATCAATTCCCCACGTCGATCTGGCCCCTATCTCCTTTGTGCAAGAAGCTCAAGGTTCGTACATCAATAACGATTGTGAAATTGATATTGAAGTAGCTGCTTTAGGCATCGATTTCGCGGCATTTCTTGACTTCAATCATGTGTCGCTAAGTCAGGACAGCTCCTTTTTCGCTGATGCCTCTGCTGGCTTCCATTCTCCATTCAATCATATGGACGTACTTCCGGCCATCTCTATGGAGCTTCCCTCAGAGTCATATCCTTTGCAACTCGAATGGGCTTCACTTCTCGACAGCCACAGTTCTCTGCTGTCTCCCGGCACAAGCAAGCCCTCCATCCTCGGTGATTATAATTCACGCACTCTTTCTTCATTGATCACAATGCACCCTGGTGAAAAGTGGGCGAAGCACGAACATGTCAGTTCTCGACGAGACGAGCTCTGGCAGCTGGGGGCTGGTATCTCAGTCTAAAGTTATTTCACATATTTATTTGTATTTACATTACTATCCTAGCTGATATGTCTTTTTCTTGCTGCATATGACTTTCCATGTTTTCATGCATTTCTGTCTCTTGTACAGTGATTTTATCAATATCTATCATGATCTGTATTATATGTATCAATGTCGTCCAGGTTGCCCCACATCATCATCAATTTTCCATTGTCCTACCTTCCGCATTGCGTCCGCATTACCATGCTCCAATTCTGGGGAGGTCAGCAGGCGCCCAACCATCCTCCAAGGATCTTTTCCGCCACCAAATCGTAAAACCTCGTGTTTGTATTTTTCGCCAGTAATCCGGTTGAGAGGATCGCTCGAAAAAATTTGCCTCCAAACTCGAGACGCTATGGCACGATCGAAAAGATAGGAATAATAAGTTGCACCATATCCAAAAAGATGCCCAAATTGTGTTTGGAATGACGTTCCTTGAACGTAAGGAATCAAACCACGGGTGTCATGCAGTTTGGCAAGCGCAGCGCTTGAGTCAAAAGACGTCTCAAGGACTGCAGGTGAATGATACACTTGATCGATCGCTGCGAGCAAAATCTGAGAGTACGTATCAATAGAGTGGCAGGGATCGCTGTGGTGGTTGCCGATCTGACGGACGTTAGACGAGCCGTCGACGTCGAAAAGGGACAAGACGGCCGACGAGTTGAGGAAATGTTCCATGAGGATGGACGGCAACTCAACAAAATCAGTGGCACATCGTGTACCAGCTACGTTCTGGTACTCCGTTCGACCAATCATCGCTAGTAAACATGTAGCTATCAGCAACAAGTCATCAGGCAATTATATGTGAAAACCTACAATGCATGGCATGGCCCATTTCGTGAAACAATGTCAGAACTTCATGCCATTCAAGAACTGTCGGCCCTTTCACCAGAGATGGAGGAGGGAATTCGCACAGCAGCACAACCAAAGGCAGCTGATAAGTACCCTCCTGGTTTGGAAGACGATGCCTCTTCAGGGCTTCGAAGTCCTCCGACTCCCGCATGCGCAAATCTGTGCCCTCAACCCTCCCATCTCCCTGAGTATCGTCGTCGTCTGTCCTTCGCGAACATCGAACGGTATAATGGGCAGCCCCGCTCGCCTTCCCTCTCCGAGCAAATAGATCGGCATATATCCACCCAATAATCCCCTTGTCTTCATCTACGACATCTAGTTTATGCACGTCCGTGTGCCAGACTTCGCCTGGTGCCGAGCCGGCTGGGCGAAGTGATATTCCGTATAGATGTTGGAATAGACGAGAAAGACCCATAAATACAGTGCCGAGAGTCAGTGGAGGAAGAGGTATTGGCGGAGCGGGTGGTTCAGGCGGGCAGTAGAAATCTCTATCCCATGCCTGAATAATGGGAGGTTCGGAAAGCCTGTGGTGGGCCTGCTTCCGCTGGCTGAGAGTACGCAGCGCACGTCTAGCAAACGGTCGTGTGTGTTTGAGAAGAGCGTCGAGGAAATTATTAACGTTATCTATGCTGCACTATTCAGAACGCAGGTTGAAGCTCGGAAGAACTCCTGCTACGCACCTGGCGTCTTGGCCATTTTATCGTCAAGTGTCATATGAGCGAAGCTTTCGCGTCCGACAAGGCGGGCGAGTTCTGCACGCTTCCGCAGGAGCGTCTCGAGGACTTCTATTTGCTCTGGGGTGCTCGAGTTCACTGCAAGGTACACCCGCCGCCGGGGCTCCTCTTCGGGTGCTGAACGCATAATCATTTGGGCCTGGAGGGAACCTGGATAAACAAGAAGATCACGCTGAGTGAACTGTGCTTGAAGCTGCAGCCTGACCCCCATGCCCTTGTCCTTCAGTCCTGTAAGCTCGGAGGGCTTGATGGAGGCCGGAGGTCGTGGCGCATTGGCACCTTCAAGGAACTGTCTACCGAGAACGAGGATATCGGAGGATAGCGATACGAATTTGCTCCGCTCGGCAGGAGGCAGGTTGATAGCAGACTTCTCAAAGTCGCGCCAGAATATGAGAGCGGTTTGGTAAGCTTCGGGACTGAGGGATTCGACTATAGTTCGGTCGGATAAAACGGCCTTAAGAACCTGCACAACGACGATTAAATATTTGAGAACAGTATAGAACAAGCCACGCACCTCATACAAGCCGACATGTGTGTTGAGCACGTTCATAAATTCGCAAAGAGACTCATATGCGTGATTAGCGGCATCGACCCACACGCGATCGGGGTGGGCGTTCCGGACAAGCTCGGCGAGGTCTATGACACCGCAAAGCATATCACTGAGACGGTCGAGATTCTTGACCACTTTCCCCAGCTCATCTCTCGATTCCCGGGCGCGAAGTATGCGGTCCGTGAGTAGCTGAGCGCGGACGAGAGTGGAGTCGGCAAGTGAGATGAGTGCACCAGGGTGTGTGAGATTAGGGTGGCCAAAAAGACCTGTCACTGAGAGCGGGGGCGCGCGGAAGGACGATCTGGGGTTGTCGAAGAGGGTGACCAGGGCTCTGTCGTCGACTGACGCTGGAATGTGGTGCTGGACCTGGGTGGCGAGGTGTCTAGCAGGGCGCTTTGCATCGTGGTGGGAGAAGAGACAGCCGCGGAAACGAAAGATCTGCTTTGGCGGGCGTGAAGGGATCGCTTTCCTGGCCGAGCGGGCGAGCATTCAGATCGTGGTGGTGTGTCCCCGCACAAGCGGTCTGTCAGAGAAATCTGTCTCCGGGCCTGCTGTCCAGGCGCATCATGTGACCACCCCAATCCTCAGTCCTCCATTGGCTACCCCACAATCGCAGTTCTCTCCTCAAAATCTCGCAATCCTCAAGCGAGAGTCATAAGAATAATATTAACCACTATATGATAGAACAATACAATCCTGATGCCTAACGAGAATGAATGTGTGGCGGATGAGATAGCGGATATCAGTTGTTGAGGATAGGATCTAAAAGTTACGGAGATTAAGGCGCTGAGTGGACAGCAGAGGGATTCCATTCCAGGCCTTCCATTTGATTCGAGTGTCCGTTGGTCCAAGGATCCGTATCCTTGCCATTCATTTCAATGCTATGCCCGTTCGTACTTGGTGAAGGAGTCGATTCGGCAGCTCCAGGTATAGGTTCAACAGCGTAAACCCAATATTTGGATTTTTTCTTTCCTGCTATCTGCTCCAGCGCAACTTCCGTGGGTTTCAGTGCAGCAGCCCCAGATGTCTTCACTCGAACTCCGTTCGCTACGCCCACATTGTCTGGCGGCAACGATTGTTCTGTCGATTGAGCGCTTGACGTACTCTCTTCCGTGCGTGCCCGTTTGCGAGACGGTTCCACGTCAAGGGAATAGTCAGGTCCTCCTAGTCGTGTAGACCGACGTTCTCCGCGCCAGATCCCTGAGTCCGAAGAGCCGTCCCGTTTGCCGTTGGCGTTTATAGCTGAAGTACGAGTCGAACGCCGTGTGGCCACAGCTCCGCTACGTCCTCGTCTTGCGCCGCCGTTCATATAATCTTGCTCATCTTCGTCCTGGCCTTCTTCCTGATAGGTGTATTCATCCGCACCGTCATCCTGGATTCCAAAAATAGGCAGTCAGCCAAGAACATTCAACGGTCCCCATGCGTTTATCCTGACCTCACTGTCCAAATCGTTTCCATACACGTAATCTGGCCTTTTCGTCCTCCGTCTCGTCCGTGTTTGGCGTATTTCTGCTTGTGCAAGGAGAAGCCGCTTCTGTTCAATTTTCTTTCGAACTTTTTGCACTCGCTGTAGATAGAAAACGTCCCAGTTAGCAAGAAATGAATGAATCCCGTTACCGAAATAAATGAACATCAAGATATCACGCGTCACCACGGATATTGCCATCTCACTGATGGATGCCCACTGGCAGAGGCAGAAAACGTACCACAAGCTCCGCATCAATGGCTTCAAGTCGGTTTTCCAAGGCCTCGATGAGTAACAGATGGCTTTGTTCAAGTTTCGACCGCTTTTGACCCTTCTTTGGCTCGGGAGGCGTCGCTGCCTTCAGATTCTCTACGATTGCGACATACTCCTCCCGTGTCGTGGATATGCTTTGAAATGTCGCCGTAGTTTTCCAGGGATTCGTCGAAACGTATATCCGCGGTGAGTCTGAGCAAACAGACAAAGATAGTCAGCCTTCACGACATTCGAGCACTGCAAATTTAGACGGCAAGCCCCGGGCCAGACAAGAGAAACCAGAGATATGAACCGATCTCGTGGTAAATATACGCAAATAGGCAGGGGGCACGGAGCAAGAGCTGAACGATGAGCGTGCACGGACCATCTGCAACCCAGAAACGCTTTCTTGAACAATCCTGTCCAATAGGTTGTAATTGCAAACTTTCTTGGCTTTTCGGGTCGGACGGGTCTAGCGGTGCTAAAGGTGCCGGTTTCTTGTGCTTATTGTGCTGGACACCCCAAGCGCGATCAATGGTGGCCTTGATCTCAGGCGCATGGCACAGTTGCAGCTCAACGAGCTGGCGCAATATTTTGAGCTAGAAAATGCAACGCGGCGCGACGTCAGCTCTCGACGCGTTTTCGAGAGGAGAAAATGGACAAGCCTTGAAATCCCAGTCCGTCGTGAAAAAGCCGCCTTCTAGGCCTTCAAATGGATCTATGTTAGCCTTCAAGTCCTCGTTCCAGAATATCGTCCGTTCGGACGATTTGCAGTATTCCGCGAGGACAGAGGCGACAGTTGTTGAAATCTGGTCCGTGCTGACGCCACGAGCAGAAATTCAGTATTTGACACGACCCAACCCGCGCATAAGAACACGCGCATACCTCAAGTTACGCGTCTGAGGTTTGAGATTCACGATGAAGTTAGCCAACACCTGCGACAGGATGCTATTAGGCTCCTTCGACATTAAAGCATCCTCGAGACTAGAGCACAGAAATGTATTCCAGTCAGCTCATAAACACTGTACGAAAGGTGCTCACTCCATTGGCGACTCCAGTCCTTCGACTTTGTGCCGCAGGTTCGTGAACTTGCAGATGAATGAGTACACAAACAAAGACTCCCAACGGTCCGACGGATGTATGGCATTTGACGGCGGGCACACATGGGACTTCTTCTCGATCCTCTGAGAGGTAGACATGTGGAGAGGCGCAGGAGGCGCGACGAGCCTGCAGAACGCTCTAATGTGTGTGGAGAAGGAAGGGGTTTGGGTGGAAGGAGCCACAATTTATTTGATCTGATCCTTACCCAAGCTTATTTTCTAGTGGAATGTAGAACAAATATATTACAATAGCGAGACCAGACTAAGGCACAAGAACTCTCAGAGGACGCGACTCTCTAGCGGTTTCGTTGTATTTCGGCATAAAAAACTACATGACAACTCTTGAGGAGACGGGACCACAAGTGCAGGTCTTGAGCCAGGTAATGGAGAAGATAAGGGGCAAAGCAATGCGCCTATACAAGGTACATTATCCAGGTCCAACCTAGTGGAAAGGGGCGTCATCAGAGCAGAACAATTGCAAGAATAGTTCAAGATCACCTTGGGAATGTCGTGATGCTCGCTCAGAGCCTCAAGATGAGCATTGAACTCGTTAACGCGGTCCTTGTGAGTTTTTCCAGCAAGTTTCGCTACGCGTTGAGCCAGCTGCAGGCAGAAGGTTATTTCACAACATGGACGCAACAGGAAATCTGGCACGTACACGACGCTTCTGAACCTCCTCGAAACGTTTCTCTGCCTCCGTTTTGCGGCTCACGCTGCTGCTGCTGCTCGTTAAGGCAGGGGAATTACGTCCACTTCCAGACGGTATGTTGTCCTTATCGTCGTTTTTGGAGACAAGGTCTTTAACGCTATCAAGATCATGGTCTTTGGACTCAGACTGCGCCTTCGACTTCTTCTTCCTGAAAGATGAGAAATACTTGGCATCGAGAAGGAGACAAATAACTCACTTCTTCACAATGCCGCCCTCAGCGACCCCTCCTTTTAGCTTGAGGGAGCCACCGGGGCGATAGTCATAGTCTGACATGGGGGAGCGGGTTCAAGAGCTGCCAGGGTGACCGTGACGGCAGATCCAATCCGAACCTTGCCCCGAAAAGGAAGTCCACGTGAGTTGCTAGCGACTTGCCGTCAATTCGGTGTTTGCAGACTGAGAAAAACCTCGACGACCGCAGGCCACCCCGACTGTCGCCTCCGCCCTTGGCGTGCCGTTCCCCTCATTATTACGCAAAATGGCAGTACTATCCTCTCCGCTAGTGCTGATACAATCGGTACCACCCGTTACGCGTGCATACACGGTTGCAACTGTCGTCTCGTCGGCGTTGTATGGATGGCTCTGCTGGAAAGGCTCGAGGACGGAAGCCGCCCAATACATGACACTCGTACCAGGGTCCGCGCTTTTTTCCCCATGGACACTTTTCACGTCATCACTCGTTGAAACAACCATATTCGAGGTGAGCAACGCCGCTCCTTTTTCACGGGGGCCTTCCAACTGAAACGCTTCCAGTTCATTGCAACTTTAATCTTCGTGCCCCCATCACTCAAATATCTCGAAAGACTATGGGGAGGACTAGAGACATTCAAATTCATCTTTGTCTCTATCGTTGCTTCAAACGTGATCGTGTTTGGGTTTAGCTGGATCGAATTTATCGTGACAAGAAACGCGGACCTATTCCTGTGAGTAGTTATAGCGTCTCTGCCTAGGATTGACGCACCCTGATCCCTGCTTTCTTAGGTATGGCATGCAATATCACGGCCAAATGGCCCTGCAGATCGCAATATTGGTCGCCTTCACGCAACTCATTCCTGAGCACCAAGTTCAAATACTTGGAGTCATCAAGGCCAGAGTGAAGGTCAGGATTCCTCCTAGAGAGAAAGAAATGTCCCTCATTTCTTTGTTCGCAGAGCCTACCCATGGCCTATCTTACCTTATCCACCGTACTATGCATAGTCGGTTTCCAGTGTCCTTGGATCATTATTCAGTTCGGATGGTTCGTCGGTTGGGTGTATCTCCGTTTCTACAAGAAGAACCCAGGAGAATCTGTCGGTGGTGGTGATACATATGGCGACAGGAGCGAGACTTTCTCATTAATATCCTGGTTCCCGCCCTTCATGCAGTAAGTGTTTTCACGAAAAGTGACGCAAAGGAGTTCTCATACCCCAGTCCAGTTTCCCTCTCACCCTTCTTGGAAATTTTGTGTATTCGTGGGCCAACCGTCTTCACCTCATCCCAACTTCAGGTTCGGATGTTGAACTTGGTGGATATGCCCCGGTTCCAGGAAACGCTCGGGCTGAGGCTGAACGACGAAGGTGAGTCGAATGACTTGCATCAGCATGCGTTCGAACTCAACGCTTCTTGTATACAGAGCAATGGCACTGAAGGCTTTGGACCAAAGGGTCGCCAATAACTCCTCTCCAGTGGGATCCAATTCAACGAACACTCCATCTTCACAATCTCGGTCTCCTCCGACAGTTGGCTCGACTCGTGTAGATGCAACATCACCTTCACCCACCAATGGGAGCCTTGATCGCTCGAAGAGTGGCAGCGACTCAGATGAAGCTACCAAAACCAAGTCATAGAGCCTTCTCGATGATACAACAGGACCAGCTAGGCTCAAGTTATGTACACTTTTCTCTCTCGTGTTTACGATAATGTTTCCTTGTTTCTTGCCTTAATGACACCCTTTGGCCCTTCTCGGGGGCATCCACACCTCCAACACCGAGTCGAACAAATCTTGACATCATTCATCAACCCTTTAACTACCTCGATACGTCGTGAAGGAATACGGGCTGATTAGCAGCGGGATGTGATAGTATTCCTCCGGGCTTTCGATGACGAATGTAATCTGTTAAGGTGGTTTAAAGGGACAGCACATAACTCGTAGGCAATAGCTGACCTCAACCCAGGGATAGAATGATTTACGGTTCGTTCTTTCGAAGTACTCCTTTGTCTTGAAAACGACTTTGTAGGTTTGACCAACAGCGAGGTCGGTCTTCTCTTTCTTGGCTTCCTCGGAGCCAGCTGGTGGGAGAAGAGCCAAGCAACGACCATCTGCATTTGTTACGCTAGGAAAATGTTCAGAATTACTTTCGAAGGTAAAGTCCTGACGGCGCACCCCTTGGCGAGGGGATGGAAGATATCTGCTCCATTGTCCTCGGAGTGTTCGTACTGCTGGAGACGGATGAGCACACCCTCGGCTGGTTTGCCAGTGGACGCGTCAAGAACTGGAATCTATAAGGAAATCTGCATGGATACATACAATAAATCCTACCGTGGCAAGTAATGGGTGATTTGGACATCAGGATGCGGAGTACAGGATGTTGAGAGAAGCGACCGACCTCATAGGGGAGGAGATAAGATGTTGTCAAAATCTCTGCAGCCGGCTTGGCGGGCTTCGGCATCCGCCGCTCAAAGCGTTCAGCGATCACTGTCCTGAAAAAACTCTTCCTTGATTACACCATGACATCCTCCGCAAGACCTCCTCTTGGAAAGTTCCTTGCGTCTGCAGGTATGTAGAGTCAGTTGAGTACTTGAAGTTAGTTATTGAACCAAATAACAAAAAGACAAGAAGACTCGCGATAAGGCCATAAAAAACCTCTCTGTGTTCCTCTCTGACACCCAAAATGTCCTTCCAAAATCTGATATGGACAAGTTATGGAAAGGGATTTTCTATTGTCAGTCAGACATCCGTTTACCTTCTGTCATGATTAACCTCATCAATTCAGGCTTCTGGATGTCCGACAAACCACTTGTCCAACAGGCTCTCGCAACAGAGCTGGCTGAATTGATTTTGACCATCGCATCTACGACTGCTTCCCTCGCCTTCCTACGTGGTTTCTGGAGAACAACTGTCCGGGAATGGAACGGAATTGACCGCCTAAGGTATGCGCTCATTGTTTTACTATGCTTTCACAGTCTGACTCGGACAGGATCGACAAGTACTATATGCTAATTCGTCGCTTCGTTAATGCGACGTTTAGACTTCTCACCCGCGCAAAATGGAACAACGGTTCATGTCAGGAATATAATCGCATTTTGACCGAGGAGGGTGGGCCTCTTTGGTGTGTGCCCTTGTTTCATGCCCTAGACGATATTTAACATCTTTGACCTGTGGCAACAGTCCTGATGATCCGCGAGTTCCCTCAAGCCTGGCATCTCACATAGCTGACATTTACATGGAAGAGCTCGAAAAAGCACTAGGAAGCACACCAGACGCGCTACCAGCCCCTCTGGGAATCCTACTCGATCCTTTCGTTGTTCTAGCTGCCCGAACACCCGCCAAGGTTACTTACAATCGTCTTCAGTCGGCATTATTCGAGCCTTTGCTGGATGCATTGTCTTCTGAAAATTCAGAAGATGAACCTAAAGCAAAACGGATTCGTCTAAGTGATGGTCCATCATATCCTCATTTGCTTGCTGGGGCTTGTCTTGAGGATCCTGAGCAAGAAGGACGGGTCGAAAGAATAGCTCTGAAGAAACATCTATTAAGGAGGATGTTCGAGATGGCGAGTCAGCCGGAGACGAAAGATTCAAACCGACGAAAGATGTATGCACTGTGGAAGGAGAGTTATGAGGAAGATCCAGGCGCTGAGTAATAGGATGGTAAACGCTCTAGTAGGGGGAGTCTTGTATGCTTTTTCAAAACAAGGCTGTTGCTTGCGTTTGTTATTTGTTTTCATACTTGCCTCTTCTCTGGTTGAGGGGTAAGATTGTCCTGACTTCAGCAAGTACTTCATAGTGGAGCACGTGCACAAGTGCTGTCTACCGGTACCGGAGCTTCTGCCGCAATTGGAAAAGACGGTGATGGAATTTGGACGCGATAACGTTGACTTTACGGTTCACCATGTTCTTCTTGTTGTCTTGACTTGCGCAAGTCCTATTTGATTCTAGTGAGTTCGGCCCATCAACCATCTCTCTAATAGGTTCTGAACCGCTCCATTAACCTCTATGTACAGTAGCCGCAATATGCACCCTGAGCTACCTCTAGACATCCTCTTCACCATATTCTCCCACCTTCCCGTCTCAAGAAGTAGACTTGAACTAGGCCCGCGAACCTTAGCATCCTGCCTCCAGACCAACTCTCAGTTTCGAGATGCCGCCTCTCTCCCCTTGTTATGGAAGCCTCACTACCATATCCGGTATGAGCATAGCGACCAAAAACGCGAGAGGGCACGCCGGAACGCAGTGCAAGATAACAACTGGCAACTCTTGTACTCGGAGCGCCGGCGTTTGGACTGCAAGACCATGCGACTTCTAGACGAAGTGGTGTCCAACAGAGTTACTCGTCAAGCGCAAGCTGAACTGGTTGTCGAGCTTGCGATGGACGTATGGGATGCCTTGGAACTGGAATCCGAGTGCCCTGTTCCCGCTCCTTTTGCCGACACTGAATTTGAAAATGGCAGCTGCATCCCGGATCACGCTATCACACGACGTTTCTGGGCCAAATCTCTCCTTGACACCATCTCTCGAGGACACGCTGTCTCAATATGGAGGAGGTTCTGGGAACATTCTGGGGGTCCTTCCTTTGAGGAAACGATGACACCAATATCATGCTTCTTAGGGTGCTCAGAAAAGAGAGTATGTCTTCTGCAATGATTCATAAAAACAGCCTAACCAAATCCTCTTATACAGATCACTGCTCAGTTGGATGATCTCGCGAACCGGTGTCGAAAAGACCTGGAAAACAAGGGTATTGTCGTGAATTCAGGTGATCCTGGCTACAATCTTGCCTCTTTGTGTAGAGGTATCTGGTTGTTCATGCGTGAGGATGGCTTCTCTGCTCCGTCCAGTAGGTCTATTTGCCTCCCATTATGGCCTGCTTGTTCATTCACTTTGCGCAGAACAAGAATATCAAGATATTCTAAATAATTTTCCACACGCATCATTGACCACGAAGAAGCGGACCATCCCCATTTCCCTGGCGCATATCTATGCCGCCATCGGCACTCGTCTTGGGATCGATGTTTCTCCTGTTAATTTCCCAGGCACTGTTCTGGCTCATGTCCTTCCTCGAGAACCTGGCGCCGAGCCTCTTATAATCAACGCATCAGCCTCTCAACCGCAACAAGCTGTCGGTAACTTATCCATCGCAGACCCAGTTCCTGCCTGGAATGCCATGCATGGCTATTCGAACATTCGTGAATTTTTGGTCCCATGCAGCGGCCAACTAATGTTGTTGCGGGCATCCAACAATATATTGTCATCCTTGATGTCCGTCGCGGATGTTCCTCGATATGTCGTTCGGCCGGCAGTCTTATTCGCTGTCACCACACACCTGCTGTTTCAGGCGGACGAAAGAACTCTGAGGCGGTTGATGTCAGAGGTGAAGCTCCAACCACTGGATTGCATTTTCATGCGCAAGGAGCTGGCGCCGTGCCTCGTAGAAAGATGCGCCGCCCTGTTGAAAGCTCACATCGATTTTGCGTTGGAAGAGGAGGCTGCGGACGAAAGCAATCGGCGAACGCCTAATGGACCAAAATATTTCGTTGGTATGGGCTTTTACCACATTCTTTATGGTTATTTTGGTTTTATCTGGGGTTGGACTGTATGTGAATAATTCTCACTGCCAGTTACCACCTTCACTCATCCATCTCCAGAAAAATTGCGTCGCAACCGAGGAATGGATTGTCCATATGAAGGTTGACAGCCTGAAACGAGGAAGAGACCAACCGTTCTATAATGTGTTTGTAGATGACGGATCCCAACGATGTAAGCCACATTGTGTGCAGCCTTCTCCTGCTCATATGTGGACCCCAGATGTTGCAGAAGAAAATATCAGACCAGCAAGTTTTACACGAGTACATGTGAAGTCAATTTATCAACATTTTCTAGACTTCCCTCTTTACTTTGAGGGCGTGGAATTTCCTGCTGAACCTGGAAAGGGAGTGGACTGCCGCGAGGGAAGAGGAAGATTGCTTCTGAGCCCGCATACCGCCCATACTCATCCAGATGACACGAAAGTAGGCGCACATTGGGTAGAGCATGGCACGTTCCCCAACTTGAACGAAGGAACCGCAAAGTCCATTTCGTCAGACGCGGTAGACTGAAGGAAAGCACGGCAACTGCAGCGACAGTCAGTGATTAGCAATATTACAGACAACCATTTATAAGTATTACAAGTTACATTGTATCACAATACTACAGGTTTTTATCTACTGTGATGCCTGCATCCACCATCTCTGTTACCCAACTCATGAGAACTTCGTCACGGAGTCTGACGGCCTCCAATAATTTCCTGATACCGACAAAGGCCTTTCTTCCCCGACGTTCTCCTTCCTTTTCATCTCCTTCTGTTCCCTCGTCAACGAGGTCAGACCCTTCGGGCTCCTCAGGTTCCTCAACAGCGCCAGGGAAACCGAAGCGATCAGCACTTGCCCGAGGTGCAGCATCGGCGGAGGCAAAAGATGTTCGGAATAATATTCGGATGATCAAAAGGGCAGTAGAGAGGTCGAAGGCGGATCGATCATGGGAACCTCATAGGTTATCGTGGTGCTGCGGGGAGGAGGGGGAGGGCGGTTGGTAGGATTATCGGTAGGGTAAGGGTAGTTCTCGGAAGGCAGAGTGATGGTATCACTCTGCGATGGGTGCTTCTGTGAAGGCTGGGCACTGGAAAGATGAGTGAGGACATGTAAACGCAGTGCGTGCATTGTAGGTAGGGATGCCGAGCAGGTTGACCATAGGCAGGATAACTCTGGGGTTTCTGTTGCCGCTAGGTGTTCCAAGACATGGTCGTACAACTCTCCTGGGGTTGCAAATGGCTGAGCAGTGCATTGGGAACGGTCCCAATGGCAACGATATCTTTCATTTGCTGCAGACTCTTTCCTCCTGTCTACTCCTCGCACAATGAAACGTTGGACAGGGCCTTGCATAACCATAGCTTGCGCCTGAGGAAAGACACTATTGACGTTTTTGATGACGTCGGACGCAACCAGAAGAGGGTACTGTTCTGCATGCGGAGAAAAGGCGTCCTTATACAGATTCCAAAAGTCAACTTGGGTCAGTTCACCGTCGGCCTTGGCAACAAACATGGTTCTCATCCTAGCAGAACATGATTCATCGAGTATAATCTAGTAGAAAAAGAGGTGACATACCAGTCGTAGCAGCGCTGTGGTTCTGATTTGGGAAGCAAACTATCCAATTCCTCTTTCGTGAGCTCGTGGTCCCTAGTTGACTGTGAAGTGGATGAAACAGTATGAATTGTCCCAGTAACATCAAGAGTAAATGTTTGTTCAAGACCATGCTGCTCATGGATCAGAAGCCCAGCAAGCACTTTGAGAACTCCCGGCATCTCCGGAAGGAGGAGAAATGCACGCGCCATTGACGGATGGGATACGTGGGTATATAGGTAGTTGAGGCAAGCATCGACCAAGGGCCGGTCTTGGAAAAGAGGTAAATAACGGATTGACGCAGTCAAAGCTGGGAAAGTCGAAGTGATCTGTGCAGCATTTCCAGGGTTTGAAAGCAGAGCTGTCAGTGCGGCCAGTGTTGTGATGATAAGGCTTCGGTTAGATGTTTGTGACACAATGTGCAACAAGGGAAGGATGGGGTTCCATTTTTCGCCTCTGGAAGGCTTGACGATGTAGTACTGAGACAGGGCATGCAGCATGTCGATTATATGCATGAGAGCTTCGCAGTTCTCGTCCCGAAGGGAGTCAAGATTATGCAAGCCATTCATTATGAGAGGCACTGTGTGTGAATGGGTGGCCAAATCGCGGGCGTTCGTTTCGTGCAGTGCGGCATTGCGTATGATGAAGAGGGATTCAAGCGCAAAACGACGTCGGCGCGCTTGTTCAGCGGGAGGCCGAAACAAGATGTTCTTGTCCGTAACTTGCTTGTAGCCTTCGGTAACGTACCATTCTGGCCATTCGAAAAGGCCGTCAATGACTCCGGGGACGGTTGTGAAGAGGAATTGTTCGTTGAGAACTAGACGGCAGAGACGGTCAAGCGCCCATCCTATTTCTGAATGAATACCAGAACGTATTGAAAGAGTCATTCTGTTATTGGGCACGCTTTCGGTATACCATCCTGGCGGACCACTTGATTATTGAAGCGGTGTTTGGCAGGAATCGAGTGACGCACTTTCATAATCGTCTCTGACATTTGCCCCGGATTTCAAGTTGTACGCTTGCTGCCGATAATACGTAGGAGTGGGGACTGCTCTGTTGTTGATGAAAGTCGTCATCTCCGTCTCAAGATGACCGCAATGGCACTTGCGGTTGGAAATGGAAAATCGCGACCGTCACGTTATTGTTGGCATGCATGTGATGTGACATTGCTTGTGCGGTGGCTACTCTACGTCTGACGTCAGCTCTTGATTCCAACACGCCCCATGAACTTTCGTCGATCACCTCCTCCATCTCTCAATGCGTCAAAGATCACCTCCAAGTTCGTTAGTATCTATAGCAAGCTCCTCCTTGGTTTCTCCCCAAGTCAAATATGCCCTCATCAAGACCAAGATCGCTTCTTCTCCGACCTCTTGGACCTCAAGGTGGACCGTCCATATCTTGAAGGAGAGTTGAACAAGTTATCGAAGGAGACGTGTTTAGGAAAATTGAAGGTTCGTAGTATGGTTGAGATAGCCCCCCGTGACCGTATAAAGTTAATTATCCTTGACGGAATTCAGTAGCCGTTCCTGAGTGCGCTCTTCAAAGTCTGCATAAAACATATCCGAGAAGCAAGAAATGAGGATATTAGGAAACTGAATGCGATAGAAACAGTGTACATCGTCATCTCTTGCGTCCTGTCCAAGAGCATGACTGGGTGGGAGACCATGGAAGTTCTGGCTGGCTCCGTTGCGCAAAGCGACACTGTCTTCTTGGTATGTTATTCCAGGTAGATCTATCAACGAGGCCTGAACTTTCGAGAAAGGGATTTGCAGAAGTTCTTGATACGATCATGGGCGACCCCGAAGCTCCTAGTGAGTTAGAGGACCTTCAGAACGTTCGTTGTACTGAGCGTATTCTAAGGAACTGTTCGACACAAGGTCCTGCAGCTGGCTTTGATGTATATGTGCAGAAGCTCTCAACTCAGCACTGGTGCCTACTTTCTCCGTCGGGATTTCTTTTATTCAGTGGCATCGGTCAGTGCTAGTGTAAATCGCCTCCGTTACTCAACATTGACAAGTTTTGACCTTCTCAAGCTCGCTAAAGCCCCTGAGACAGAAGAATTCACATTTGAGGCCATTTTATTCCTCACCATTCTTGCAAATTTTCACAAATCAGATGCTGCCAAACTGAATCCTTACCTGAAGCGGATCCGTGAAACAACAGACGGGGACTTCATGCGAAAACTCTGCTGGGCGTCGAACTTCGCGTTGGAGTCCTCCATCAGGTATGTTTAAGCTTATGCGCTTATCTTCAATGGTGCTCAAACCAATCCAGAGCGTACCAAGACCTGGCTGACGATGCAACTCCCCCCACTTTGACTTCATCACTTGGCTCTGTCATCACTCGGCTGCGCCCCGACCGCGCACTCTCTTTTATGTCAACGGGACAGCCTCGCGAAATGTTTAAGGACCTGTGAGTCTCCCGTATTTTTCTTTCGGCCCGTCTTCTATTACTCACTGCTAGGCCGCGATATCTGTAGCCCTATTGAAGCAAGCGTGGTTTTGCTACCCATATACGAATTCTTGCGGCCAAATCCCCTCTTTATTACCGTCTTCCTTGAAGATCTCGTTTCACCATCACCGCCAATAACGGAAAGTGTGGACACGGCGCCGCTTCCGTGTACATTAATAACTTTCACCTCATACCTCTGTACCCATGCGTCATCTACGTCCTCCCCGAGATCGATAGCTTATGCAAGCCTATCTCTCAACATTCTTCTTGCTCTTGTTGAAAATGGCGTCTTCATGGAGTTTTCTACGCAAACACAGGCTCCAGCTATTCGATTGTGCAGACAAGTCAGTGCAATTCATTTAAATCTATGACTCGTGTGTCTCAAGGACTTGACGTAGAGGCTCCCCACTCTCACACCTCCTTTGCAGAGCCAAGCCCCTATCTGTGCGATTTTGGACTGTTGCGTTCTCTGGTTGCGCCACAATCTCCACAAACGGCTACAGGTGACTTCTTACGTGTGAGCTCTGATGACTACCTGTAAGCCCCCATGATTTCGATGATTGTCCAGAAACTCTGTTTGGATATGCTACCGGGTCGTCTGGTTCCTGCAACACCGCCGCATTCGTCTTAGTATGAAGTCCTCTTTAACCCTGTCTACCTGTTCCTTTGTTCACGAGCTTCTGACAGTCTACGACTGGACCGAACTGTGGAATTCAATAATCACTCTTTTGGGGTTCCTTTCATCAAAATCCGATGTATTGAACGCCACAGGAGACATCCAGCTGGTGGTATTGGAGGCAAGTTCCTCCGGTCGAAGCGTACCAGGTTCTGACATGCTCACAGACGGTTCGATTCCTCGATTTCGCTCTGTGCACTTCGGAATCCTACTTACCCTCTCCGCATGCTGTGCACGAGTTCATCGTATGTTCTTATTTCTTATCGAGATACTCTACTTATGTTGCCGATAGTATGAACTTGTCCGATCCTCTTCTGTTCTGAAGAAACAGCAGGAGCTGCTGAAGTCTTTGGAGCCCCCGTTCAATCGACCTGCCGTCGAGCTTTCCCTGGAATTCTTAGCGCATATGATGATAACAACGGACTTCTACGGAGAGAAGATCTCAGAGATGAGTGCTGGGATCGGGATCGCGAAAGATGCCATGAAGACGGTGGCGGACGACATCGAAGCAAACGGAATACACGGCACGCGGGACATGCGTGATGCACCGTGAGCCTGTCGAGATTAATGACCGGCAGAATACTGACGATATTTTTGCAGCACGCGCTCGCAGAATGTGCTTGATTTTGGGCGACTTGCATGTACTGATGTGTTTGATCCCATGTGTGCTTACGTGATATCCTGATATCCATGCGGAGCTCCGTTGCTCCGAGCCAGGAGAAAAAGTTTTTGTCTGTCGGGGATTCTATATTGGTCGTGGGGCCGAGCTCACACTGGTTTGCTCAGTACCATCACTCTAAAAAATCCCAAATTCACTCGAAATCCATCGTATATTCTGTATCCCCCATCCTACACTTGACAATGCATTTTTTATGCGCAAGAATGTGCGGATCCTGGTTATCAGGCCATTACGTCGATAAGACTTGACTCGGTGAATGGCTCGGTGAACTTTTTGGCGACCCTTCCGAAAATTCGCTTGCTCTCCTCAAATTTAGTCCCCTAACTCAGCATTCATCTCCTACCTGGCTGAACTGTCTCCAGCCATGGCAGCCTTGCGCTACGCCCTCGCGTTGGGGCGTTTGACTAGCTTACGGCCCTCTCGGACATTCTTCCTTCACTTCCGGGGACTTGCCAGCCTCAAGCCGCCTTCATCGCTCTTTGCCCCATTGGACACCTTTTCAGAGCGCCACATAGGTCCTGATGATGCGGAAACCTCGAAGATGCTTTCCCAACTTGGCTACGAGTCAATTGAAGCATTTGTCGCCGATACCGTTCCTCCGAAGGTCAGAGTGTCGACGCACTCCGTCAATAACAAGTCCATCCCCTCCTTCAGCGAGTCCCAGCTGCATGCTCGGGCTAAAGAATTGGCTGGGCTGAACAAGCCGTTCAAGAGTTATATCGGTATGGGTTATCATTGTGCGGTCGTGCCTCCAGTCATTCTCCGCAACGTGCGTCCGTCTCCCATCTCTTTTTGTCTCTCAAATTCAACATGTTTCTAGGTTATGGAAAATCCGGCATGGTACACTCCGTATACGCCTTATCAGCCTGAAATTGCTCAAGGTATATTTCTATTGCTTCCACTCTGAGGAGGGATTTCAGCTAACGCCGATCAGGTCGTTTGGAATCGCTCGTCAACTTCCAAACAATGGTCGCGTCGCTTACGGCAATGGATATCGCGAACGCTTCTCTCTTGGATGAAGCTACCGCAGCAGCAGAAGGAATGGTTATGTCGTCCGTCTCTGCTCCTAAGAAAAAAACATTTGTTGTAGACTCCGGTGTTGCTCCCCAGACCATTGCCGTCCTTCACACTCGTGCAAAGGGATTTGGGATCAGGGTGGTCATTGGTGACGCAAGTTCTGTGTTGGAAGACCCAAAAATCCGTTCGGATATTTGTGGAGTCCTTGTTCAATACCCGGATGTCAACGGCAACATCAAAGACTTCAGCCCCCTCGCACAGGCAACTCACACCCTAGGAGCCCTGGTCATTTGCGCCACAGACCTGCTATCCTTGACGAAGATCAAGGCACCGGGCGAATGGGGTGCAGACGTTGTTGTCGGAAACTCTGCGCGCTTCGGTGTTCCAGCCGGCTACGGAGGTCCACATGCTGCCTTCTTCGCGGTCACAGACAGGCTCAAGCGCAAGATGCCTGGACGACTCATTGGCCGAAGCCGCGATACTCAAGGCAACCCGGCTTACAGATTGTCTCTTCAAAGTGAGTGTCATAGCTCTAGATCGTTAGTAACTGCGTTCTCATATTGTCCAAGCTCGAGAGCAACACATTCGTCGAGAAAAAGCAACCAGCAACATCTGCACAAGCCAGGCACTTCTAGCTAACATGGCTGCTATGTATGCGGTTTATCACGGTCCTGCTGGTCTTAAACGAATCGCCACAAAAGTTCATAAGTTCACTCAAGTTTTTAAAGCGGCTGTCGAGTCGATTGGCTACAAGGCACTTAACGGAACGTTCTTCGACACTCTTACTCTCGATGTATCTGCCTTGGGTTCAGCCGAAGCGCTTCACGCGCAAGCCGCTGCCGCCGGCATTAACCTCCGCCGCATCGATGACAATCACGTCGGGGTTTCGTTCGATGAAAGTGTCTCGCCGCATGACCTGGTCAACTTGTTAAACGTCTTTACCACCTACGCCTCCGCCAAAGCCTTTAAGCTTTCTGATCTTTCGGAACCTGAGTTTACAGTTATTCCACCAGAGTTGCGGCGCACGTCGGAATACCTACCGCACCCAGTCTTTAACAAGCATCACTCCGAAACCGAGATGTTACGCTACATCCATCATCTCGCAGGGAAGGACCTCAGCCTCGTCCACAGCATGATTCCTCTAGGAAGCTGCACAATGAAATTGAACAGCACCAGCAGCATGATCCCTCTTACCTGGCCCGAATTCAGCTCAGTCCATCCTTTCGCTCCATATGACCAAGTCAAAGGATATCTCCAGATGATTAAAGTCTGTCGTGGTCTTTGCGTCTCGTGTGTCCCTGCTGATAACTATTGATAAAGGAATTGGAGGACGATCTGTGCCGCATCACTGGGTTCCATGCTGCTTCATTACAACCTAATTCCGGTGCTGCTGGGGAGTATACCGGACTTTGCGTCATTCGCGCTTACCACGAGTCCCGCGGCGAGAGCCACCGTGATGTCTGCTTGATTCCTCTCAGCGCCCATGGTACCAATCCCGCTGTAAGCATTCTATTTCTGTGTTTAACCTCTACTTGAAGATGCCGCCAGTCAGCTACCATGGCTGGATTGAAGGTAGTTTCCGTCAAGGTACACAACGACGGTAATCTCGACCTCGAGGATTTGCGCGCCAAAGCGGAGAAATATAAGGACAATCTTGCTGCGTTCATGGTAATCCTCATTCTTTACTCGACGAGGACTTCAGCTAATTGTGTCATAGATCACTTACCCCTCAACTTTCGGTGTCTTTGAAGCTGGGGTCCTGGATGTATGTATCTTTGAAGCGTCCTTTTCAGTACCACAGGTATTGACTATCAATTTAAAGGCTTGTCAGATCATTCATGACAATGGCGGTCAAGTTTACCTTGACGGTGCCAATCTCAATGCGCAAATCGGTCTTACGAATCCTGCCACATGTGGTGGCGATGTTTGCCATATGAACTTGCACAAGACTTTCGCTATGTATGTCCCTTGTCTCTCCGTTGCTTTTCGCCGCTTACGAGCAAGAACCTAGTCCACATGGCGGAGGTGGACCTGGTGTTGGGCAAGTGATTCTATTGAGTGTATACGTAACTCTTGGTTGACAGCGAGGCTTTCAGACCCATCTGTGTTGCTGAGCATCTAGCCCCGTTCCTTCCGAGCCACCCTGCAATGCCAGTGCGCGGAGAGCAATCGATCGAAGCAGTTTCAGCCGCGCCATTCGGAAGTGCATCCATTAACCTCATTTCATGGGCATACATCAAGATGTTGGGTGGGCAAGGACTTGTCGACTCGTCGAAGATGGCCCTCCTCAATGCTAATTACATGGCGAACCGTCTGCAAGGCCATTACAACCTGCGGTACAAGAACGAGAACGGACGTGTTGCCCATGAGCTCTTGATCGATCTGGCGGAATTTGACAAAGCTGCCGGTCTCAAGGTCACGGATTTCGCTAAACGACTCCAGGTTTGTGCTCGTCTTGTGATTGATATTGGGGACCTGAAGCTTCATATCTTCAGGACTATGGCTTCCACCCACCCACTTGTTCTTGGCCAATTCAGACATGTATGCTCATTGAGCCCACGGAATCAGAAACCCTAGAAGAGTTAGACCGGTACGTACAGTCCACCAGGTTACTTACCACCTCGTTCTACCTTTATCCCCAGGTTCTGTGATGCCATGATTGAGATTCGCAAAGAAGCTGGAGATATCATTTATGGCAAGCAACCAAAAGACAACAATCTTTTGAAAAATGCTCCACATACCATATCCGCCATCGCCTCCTCGGAGTGGAACCGGTATGTCTGGATAACCTTGAATGCAGTTCTTTTTCTACATCTAACGCGCCACCAGTCCGTACACTCGTGAACAGGCGGCATACCCACTACCATGGTTGCGCGAAAGGAAATTCTGGCCGACAGTATCACGAATCGACGATGGTGAGCGAAACACTCCTGCTTATGTAAACTCACATTGTCTCACCATTCTTTCATAGCCTACGGTGACCTTAATTTAATCGTGAGCCCCTTTCACCAGATGCCATTTGGTCAAACTAACCCTCGATTGATAGTGTGATTGTCCTTCAGTAGAAGAGTTGGCGCAACATTAGACATCTAGAATGGTTTCCTTGTAGATTTCCGTTTTCATGGGCTTTCTATTCCCCTAGAGGCTTGCCCAGTCCGTTAATAATTGCGGTGCTCAACCACGCTTTAGTTACTGCTCATGACAGTGTATTTGTACATCGGGTTTTTGGATTGTTTTCTCACATGCTTTGCGCAATAAATCATCATGAATCTCGGATTGCTAGTGGTAGACTATTCCATGTATCGGGTATCAACGTCTGGAACTGTGTCTTATATCTCTCCCAGCAATCGTGCTTGCGTGCAAACCTACCAAAGATATCGAAGGTGGCCGGAGTTGGTTTGATGCGATATTTTTTCATGTCAACCACCACCACCTTCAACGCAGCATCAAATTGCGCATTTCTGCACAGACACTCCACCCAGGTATCCCAATTCCGTACATCCATCTGGAAATCCACCTTCTCTAGCTTTAAGAGTATTGATCTCGCAATCCGGACTTGACCAGCATACCCGCAAGCGTCTAACATAATGTTGATGGTTCGTTGGTCGTATCGTCCGGTGAGATACATCATCTCCCACAGCCTGTAAGCGTCGGCGAAGCAACTCAGGCGTTGGTATGTATTCATGAGCTGATTCCAAAGAATTGCGTCGGGTGAAATGGACGCGTCTAGTGTCAAGAAGTCGTGGATTCGACGGGTGGTGTCGACCAGGCGTGTGAGCATGGCGTGGTGAGCTCGGGTAAAAGAGTGAACAGGTCCAAGTCTTGCTGCTGTTAGTCCTATTTGATAGAGTATCACTGTGTACACAGGTGGCGTGATAGCAATACGTTGGTTGCGCATGTCCTTCACAATGGAGAAGTACTCTGTGATCAAAGGAACTTCAAGATCGCCTGCAAAAGAGAGACGAGTATACTCGCGTAAGACCGCGAGGAAGCCTGTCTCGTCTAGTTTACTCCTATGTTCCCGGTAGAACTCGAAGGCCTTCTGGAAACTGCCTGTGCGTCGCATCTCGATAATGATGCTTGTAGCCGCAACAGAGGGTGTGTCGGTGGGCAAACCACGTAGCTGCATGTCATCCAGAAGAGACTCAACGGTAGGCAAATAAACCTCCGTCCGTGGAGAAGACAATAGAAGGCGGAATAGGATAGCATATACTCCTTCGTCGGGGCCAGATTGCTCGTCTACACTTTGGTCGGAAGTTACTTGGGATGGAGGAAAAGCTTCCGAGATGTGTTGATAAATCTCTAGAGACCGTTCAATGGCCCGGTCCAACGATTGTTCGATATCCTTGTGGAATAAAGAGGCGAGCAATGGATAGATAAGAGCACTATTAGGAGGGATACCAGCCTTCTTCGACTGTTCATAAACATGGAAAGCTTCGCTGTAGTCTCGATTCCTGACACATGTCCGGAGTACGATAGTATAGTGCTTCACGGTGCACTTGAAGCCGGTCTTCTTCGCAAAATCTTCCATGTCGGCGTATGAGCGCACATCGCGTAACAGTCCTACGATATCGATGTTTGCGGTGCTGACGACGGGTGGAGGTTCGATAGCCTTGAGGCCAATGGGTTTTGCAGCAGCTTCGTATATTTCAAGGAGTTCGTGCCCTTTGTGGAATTGACCAAGATCGGCATATCCTCGATATAGAGCGTCGGCGATGATTGGGTCGAAAGTCATGCCCTGTTCGGTGTGCTGCTGAATCATGGAAGAAAATTCTTCGACAGTAGGAACCTTTCCTTCTCGTGCAGAGGTTTTCCAATGTGCTTCGATGAGGATGGCGAATGTACTGTTGTTGGGTTTTGGACCTAGTCGCTCGATGCTTGCTGCAATATCCTGCACAAACACTGTGGGAGCAATTTCGCTGCAAGACCGGAGGAAGAAATGTATCTGCTCCAAACTGGGTGTGCGGTTTCCTGGCAGCTGCGGCATTTTTAAGAGGAATTCATACGCCATCTGAACATGGCCTTGGTTGACGAACGTTCTGAGGAGAGCGGAGTAGATGTTTGTGGTGGGGTTTAGGCCCAAGACGGGACATAGGTCTTGCAGGATTTCGCAAATGCGCGCCAGATCCTCATGGCGGCCGGAGGATGCCAATACGTGGAGGCTGAACAGAATTCGTTGTCTATCGCCAGAGGACGGGGCAGGTAATGGCAACGAAGCGGTGTTCCGGCGCTTGACAAGCTCAATCAAGGCCGAGCAAGTACGGTGAATTGAGGCCACATCTTGAGAGGCGTGTAGGCTGGTAAATAGATCTTCTAGCTTTCTGGCATTCGGTGCATTTGTGCTTGCCGTAGAGTATACGACGGCGCGACGCAAAGGGGAGGCAATACTGGTACGCTCCGCAGGATGGCTAGCCGACCGAACGAGAATACTGATGCTGCCAGAGCGCTTTAGGGCCTTACCCACGACATTCATGCGTGTTTCTGGTGCAGGATGAATTAACCACGAACAGAGAAGGAATTGTGAAGTCGACTTACGGGTGAGTGGGTCTTGCACGTCGGACGCGTGAAAAGTCAGTAAAGCCTCCGGCGATCCCAGTAACGTGTCCCGAGGCCGTGGGAACCTCTTCAGGGAAAGTGCGCCAGCACACTCTCACTCATTACTCCCTTCCTTACACCACGACCATGTCTGACAAAATCCGCGAGTTCATTGAGGTCCCCCAGCAATTCATTCGCGATGGCAATCAGGTCTGTTTCCGCAAACGATACCAGACATTCTGCTAACGCTTGTCCTGTACAGTTCCTCACACGTTGCACAAAACCCTCAGAGAAGGGTCAGTTTGCCCTGTTCAGCCGCTGTCCATCTACTGACTGACACATAACAGAATTCATTCAAATCTGCAGAGCAGTCGGAGTTGGTTTCGCCGTCATGGGTTTCATTGGTTACTTCGTCAAACTCATCCACATCCCAATGCAAGTCTCCATGGCCTCTTGATATTGCGTACCTTTCGTTGACCATTTCTCCTTCTCTTTTGTAGAAACAACATCCTTGTGTATGTCCAATCTCTTCTATCTCGATACCCTGACTCTTATCTCAACGCCATACAGTGGAGGTGCTTAGATGGGCTCAACGACAGAGGGCGTATCATGTATTTATTACCTTGTCATCCACTTAATCGTTCGTTCATTCACCACGATAATCCTTGAACTGTTGTCCGATTACGGAGCTCTATAATCATATCATGGTGACGGTTGTGTACGTACACGGCGCGAGGCTAGGGAAGACAAGTGGTCTATGTGAGTATCTGAAGGAGTATGTCGGAGGGTTGGCATGCTGGTATCAGAGGTACTGGGATGTTCCTTCCTCGTATCGATCCAGAAACACCAAGACAGGATGACGTTCTGTGACATCCGTGAGCACGGTTTGAACAATAAGGAGAATGTGTTATCATACCTTTTGCGACGCAAATACCAGGAAGGCCACCAGAGGTACTGGACCAAAAGGCGCGTGGTTCAGTTTGGCGCACGCACCTGGAGCAGTGGACTTACACGCTGCCTGTACCATGAACAGCCACGACTGGTTCCTCTTACCGGTAAGAAAGACGATGCTGGCGCTGAATGTGTGGTTACTTCAGTAACTACCGCAGAAAAACAAGTGGCGCAGAGCTCACCAAAATGTGATAAAGAGGTACATGTTAAACAGCGTGATTCTTATGACGAGCCCAAGTGATGTTGTCCTCGGCGCGAGTGGGAAGTTTGTTACGATTCTTTTGTGCGATCGGTAGTAGTGAACGCCGATGGCAACTGAAGGAAGTGAAAGGTTAGGAGAGGGACAATTTGGAAGACCCAAGACCGACCTTCGAATCCTATCATTAATGCAAGCATCATAATGGAAAACATAGGAACACTCCATCCTCGACTAAGAAACGTCAGTACTGGATATTCACAAAGAGGCGGACGTAGCCTACAATGGTGCGTAGACTGTGCAGTAGAGCCCATTCCCTGGGCTGACGGCTTCAGGGTTGCGATCTTGTAGCTGTTTGAGGGATGTGTAAACGTGGCCCTCAAGTCTCAAGTCAAGTCAGGACAACACTCACGACCACGGATATAACGAAGAAGATAAAAAATACAATGTAGGGTAATATAATGGTCTGGTTGGTTTGCATTAGCTGGCCTGTTTGCTTGGAAGGACAGCGCTTACGATGAATAAAGTCTGTGTATCAGTCCAAGATCGTCCTAGCCATATGCCATGAGGGTCTCTAAATGTTTGCCATATCTGCAGACGAGAAGGGTTGAGATGGAAATAGGAGGACGATTTTTTGCTTGCCTTGAAAACGACGATAAAGGTGGCAAATGCTGCCCTACAAGTAGCCGAGGTCATCAGAGGCTCCATTGATACAATGGTCGCGTACATTGGTGGAGCTCCATGCACCATAGCAGCTTGGGCGAAACATAACGAGGAGGGTGGATTGAGAGGGTCGGGGCTGAGTCCTCTGGAAGGAAAGTAGGGAAGCCGCGCCAATATCTATAGCGTGTGATAACTCACGAAAGAGTGTAGGAAATGGAGTTGATTACCCAAGCGATGCAGAAATTAATTAGGGCGGGTTGACGAGGGACTCTCTCGGAGAAGAGGAGGGTGAGGATGAGTAAAGGAAGTCCGACCAATCCTCCCGCAATGTGAAGCGTCAGGAAAGTGGTTCGAAGGTGCCCTAGAGAAGGCACGATCCCTTGTGCAATGGCATTCTCACTCACAGCTGCATGAGAACGTCAACACCACCGTCGCGATACAGACTCAGTGTGAAACGTACATTCGCCCACCATTGCGCGGCATGGACATGAGGGAACGCTTCGTTGCTGGATCACTCAAGCCTCGAAAAACATGATAGCGAAAGAGAACGACGTTGACCCTCGTGTCCTCCCACACCGCTGGCCCGCCCTGGTGTTGTCTAGAATGGTTAAATGCGAGAATGCCGGCTCTGCAATCATTTTCTGTCGGCTGCAATTGGCTATCCTTGGCGAGCCTTCGCGCCAAAAATAGGGGCGAATCTGACTGTCCTGATCGATCACGTAACAAACGCCGGCGTGCCTCAAAAAAGGCGCCTACAATCCACCGTTCTTGAGCGGCAAGCTCGAGGGATGTACCACAGCACACAACTTCCCAATACATACAAACATCACCACTGGCCTTCGCTGGGATGGATTTGTTGTGATAAACTTGGAGGAAAATGCAGTGGGGCCCACTCGAAGTCATCTTTAAAGCATCTGTGATGTATACCTGGGACAGACATGGGCCCAATTGCGAATCCTCTATGGGATGTGGTATCAACGATCTATGGCTCTACATTACCCACTAACAGCATCCCAAACCTCGGGCTCGGCTTCGCCAATTCCAGGGCATTGTGATAGTTTTGGTTTATCGGAGGGTTCCCGAATTGCAAGAGAGGTGCATCAAAGGACAGGGCGGGAGGGGCAGGAAGTAGTGATGAGAGCATTGTCTGCATCCGTAAAAGGTATTCCGATGCGGCAGTCTCAATCTCTGCGCGTTTCCCACTGCCTGGTGTCTGATGTAACATTAAAACTACGAAACCGGGGACAAGAGGCCAGAACTCACTAGAGTTTTCAATCCCGTGTCTAGAATCTCCGAAACCTCCTCCCATGACTGCCCATAAATACCGGATATATTCCGAAGGAAAGCCAGGTCAAAAATATTTTGTTCATTGGCCACCTTCGAGCTTTCTTTAGCCCACAGCTTAACGAAACTACGTAGAGTCTCTTGAACAATGACACTTTGTCGATTAGAATCAAAGACCACCCCAACGTGACGAATTTCGTCAGCAATCGAAAGCAGCGATTGGAGAAGGTCGGGTGATGAGCCTGTAGGATGTTGCTTTAGATGTACATTGCCAGCACGTTACTTTGAACACACCAATAACCAGTGACGAATACTTTTGGATCGAGGGTTTGTTTTCGTTGACAATTCTTGAGGTGATGACCTCGCGCCACTTCTGAAGGGCTGTGTTGTTCAGAGACGCTACCTCTCTTCTGAAGTCTGTATACCGTTGTTGATTTACGTCATTCACGATCAAGGAAAAACCAACCTTTCACTGCTTCAGGAGAACAACCAATATCCTCAACAAAAGCCGAAGATGACAGGGCTTCCGTCAATCGACTCAGAAAAGCAAGCTGTTCTGCATCGGAGACTACAAACGCGATGAAAGATTTAGTCTCGGCCAGGAATGTCAAGAGTAGTAACGAACCATGGCCTTGAATGAAATCAGTGGTTGTTTGACGAATTATAGCAACAATATTAGAAGAAAGATTATGCGCAGCAGGTTGGTAATTGATTTTAAGTTGGTCTACAAGTGGCCTACATTTTTGAGTTTGTCACATGTCCGTCTGCAAATAGTCAAGAGTGGACATACATTCGTTTCCCATCCCCATGGAGCTTCACATGTAAAATATCCTGCTGAATCGTTCGCGCACATTGCTCAAGTGTCGACAATACAGCATCTAGTTGCAAAGAACGACCAACAAGCTGGCGTTTAAATGCCAGCTGATATTTTTGGAATTGGGTATCAGCAAAGGCTTTGCTGCTTTGAGATAGCACTGGTATCGGTGGTGGTGAAAAGAGAAATTCTGGAGGTGACGGATCTATTGTTTTTAAAAAGAAAACACATATAAGATACGATTGAAAATTCGAGATAACGACCGACCTTTTGTGAAGCTCTCGGAGGACGTCGAATCATGTATGCACACCTTGAATTCGTTCTCTGCATCCGAGAGCGCTTTCTTCCAAATGCCATTGATTCTTTCATGGCAGACATCATCGATACTTGCAAGCACATAATCTTTCTCTTTACTGTCCAGGCCGGAGGTCATAATGCGTTTCCTCACTGATGTACGTAGGGACCAGACGTCCTTCACAACGAGTAGGCCAGAAAACCACTTGCGAGCGGCAGTTTGCCACCCGTCCGTTGATTTTCGAAACCATTCTTGAAGGCGTTGTGCAAAATGGGTTTCGATTAGAGACGTCGATGACGAGGTCAAATCAACATATGGCCGATATGACCGCAGGTGTGAAGGAAGCAACTGGAAGTTGGCCGAAGACGTGAGTTGAGTCAGGAGAGATTGTGTAGATAGTCGGAGTTCATCAGGTAAATCTTTTGGGTCGAAACCAAGCTGAGACGAATCAGCTTGTATCGAGTCCAAGACGCGAACGATGAGAGGGGGACTGGTTCCTTCTTGTTGAAAAATGGCTTTAGCGGTACATGTTGTTCGGGCTATCGCACTGAAAGCCTTCTTCATAGCCTGCGTGACTTCTCTCACTGGTATAGATCCGGCATTCGCCGCGTGACCTTTGCTCGGTTTCGTTGCTCGGTCCTTGTCGCCCAGCTGGGAGTCTGGAATCCATGAAAGAACTGATTGTAGTGTTTTTGACCTCTGAGATAGCAAAGCAGCGAGGGTGTCATTCAACGGTCGGGAGTCCAATAAATGCAATGTTACGAGAGTTGCGCATGTGTCCTGATGTGCGGTTAGCATTTGCACATTCACGGCTGAAATAACCTACCTCAGTTGAGGCCGACGCTTCTCGCAACGCCAGGGTAGATTTGTGAATAATTTGCGACCGAAACTGTGATACCACGTCCCATTGCCTCTGAACCAACGGAAATTCCGTCTGCGTTTGTGCTGAGTGGAGTGGCTTATGTTACAGGCAAAAAAAACGAGACTCACTGACACATCCACACCCTCGCTGACCCATGGTTGGTCCTCAGTCTCGTCATGTCGCACAAGGGCTCGGTGGACGACACGAGCTAGTAGAAACAACCACGCAGCCTGTAGGTATTTTTTTCGTTCTATCAGGCGCCATAAATGCTCAGGAGCGTCGAGTAACAGCTTCATGTGGGCAGCAAGAACCTGTAGTGTGTATAAATGCCTGTCTGTATGGCTCCATGAGAGACAATGTCGTTGAAAAGCTTTGAAAATACCATCTACGCCATCTAAGAGGACGGTATCCGGAGGAGGAAGACCACTCTGAGATACAATCGTCCCTCGACTTTGCTCAATAGCGTCCAATACGCGATGAGACGATTTCGCAATTGCAATAATGGAAGTCGAAGCTTGCAAGAGATCCCGGTAACGTTCGCTGTGCTTTCCGGATAGCATTCAGGGCGAGGCTCCGAGGAAGGAGATACAGTATGCACGCACCCAACCATAAGACGCAATTCCTCCTGCTTAGCATCGGCATCAGCCCTACACGCAGACATCATTCATTTGCTGCAGTGCACGAGATATATCCCAAATAACCTCAATCGTTGTTGCACCGCTCTCGCTTCAGAGACGGTGTGCTTCGTGAATAATTCGTCCGAATCGACGAGCAAAATATCATGATTGCTAGACGTCGGCGGGACGACTTCGATTGTGAAGCGCTTTGAACAGCTGGAGATAAAACTCCAAATTGATCTACCAGAGCATGACCGTTTGACCTTGGGGACAAAATAGATCGCGCTGAAGCAACGGAGGACAAGATTGACATGGAGGGAGTGGAGAGAGGTCTGAGTCTGACGCTTCTTGACACACTATCTGCGTCGATTACGTAAACGCAAGGTCCATACTAGCCGTCGCTTTCAACCCATCAATTACAAGTGTATATATACAGTATGCGAATATCTAATCAACACAACGACGTCGGATTATAGGTCTGGACATCTACTGGTCTACCCACCAACATGAAAGTCCGAGAGTGTATATGGTGTGTAAAGAATAGGTAATGTGCGAGATCAGATCATAGGCGTTAAGAAAGCAACGGAACAAGATAGAAGCATTCCAGACTCAATGAACGAGGACGTTGTGGTATTGAACTCCTTTGATACTGGCCCCACGCATCGAGTTCTTGACATTATGAAGGAAGGTTTCGCGATTCTTACTCATCTCAAGAGCGGCCTCTGAAAAAATCTCAAAATCTCAAAATAATGCTACACAGCCATAATTATGTCGCACCTTTGTTTAGAGGGTCATCGGCATTTGGTTCCAGGAAAAGGTACTGCAGGCCGACCATGACGGAATTAAGGTTTAAGACGGGCTTCCAATCTTCCCGGAGAATGTTCAGGCAGACATTGCCTTCAAGGTCGACGTTCGGGTGGTAGATCTAGTCAAAAAAGATACATTTTCGAGATGTCATGATCAGGTTGCGATTGACGCACCGTTTGAGTGCATTTGACTTTCGGAGGGTCGTGTGGGTAGTTCGTGTTAATGGCAAACGAGAAAATGAACGCGCCGCCTTTGTACATTCCTACTCCACAGATTAGAGAAAACATGCAATAATCGAAAGGCGCGTACCCTCATCGGGTGTGATCGTAAGAGTGAAGTTCAGAAGATCGTTGGGATCGGGGAAGTGCGTCTGCATGGTGGGCGGGAGATCGAGCTCGGTCAAGTCTTCAACGCGAAGAGGAAAACTCAGCATTGAGAAATACAGCGTAAGGCGTGATACTGACCTTTCTGGACTCGGATCTGGGCAGCACTTGTCTTTGGCTTCTTCTTAGCTGCCGCATCCTCGTTCTTCTTCATGCTCCAGATCTAGAGGGTATGCGTCAGCCGTCGGCCTCTCAAAGGGAGGTGCCGATGTGAGTATGTGCAGACTTACCTTAATCATCTTCGCGGGTGGTGGTGGTGGTAGGTGTATAAGTCGTGAGTCAAAGGTAGGTGGCGGTAGGTGTGCAAGTCAGAAAGAGGTCACGCAGAAGCAAGGCGCATGCCGTGTGGCTGTGTAGCTCCTTTCAATTGTGCTATGCGATATGTCAACTGATTATGGTTTCCTAGAGTTTCCTAGATGATAAGCCCCTCCTCACGGTCTATCTATCACGAAACCCCCTTTCCACTTGTCGCCAATGACTGCCGAAGATATTTCGAAGGATCTCCCAGTCATCGATCTCGACCTCTTTCTCGCAGGGCCTTATGACTCCGAAGCTGTACTCCGGGAGTGCAAAAAGGTGAGTAGCGGGTCCATCAGGGTGAATAAAGAAGAAGAACCACACTTCACCCTCTCTAGGCGGCCAATGCTCTTATAGTCTATGGTGCCCTCGTGCTACATGACTCTCGCGTGTCTGAGGAAGACAACGCGAAGTTCCTGGATCTCATGGAAGATTACTTCAACCAACCTGAAGCCGACTTGAAACAGGATGAACGTCCGGAGCTCAGCTATCAAGTTGGAGTCACTCTTGAGAATACGGAGAAACCGAAGTGCGCCGTGGATGAGCCCTGCCTCAGGATCATCGAAGCTTTGGAACCATCTGAAAGGCCTCTCGACATCAGTGCTCATTTTCCAGATCCAAAGTGCCGTTTCTTCTGGAAAATGAGTGAAATACCTCCTTACGAAACCCAATTCCCTGGGCTGAATGCTCCCAATGTCGTCCCGCAGGCGGTTTTCATCAAGGAGAAGTGGACAAGCACCATGGAGCAGTGGGGCAAGGCCATGAAGAGCGCGTAAGTCGCGCTAAAGCTGCCTCGACATCCCATGCTTAACACCACTATTGCTTAGTGTATCTGATTTGGCAGACATGGTTGCCATTGGTCTGGGTATTCCCGCGGAAACCTTCAGGGAGGCAGGTCGCTACGGGTTGGTTGCTTCTACGTCTTTGCTACCCATTACTCTGAATAATTATCTAGGCCTCATTTACTGGCGCCTACGGCCTCTGATCTTGTCAAATACGGCAAGAAGGACACTATTTTGGCTGGTTTCCATTCAGATCTAAATTTCCTCACCATTCACGGTCGTTCTCGCTACCCTGGCCTGAATATTTGGGCACGCAACACTGGCAAACGCATTCCTGTCAAGATACCGCCAGGAAACAACCTTCTAGTTCAGGCAGGAAAACAATTGGAACACATTACTGGTGGTTTTATCAAAGCTGGCTTCCATGAGGTCGTTGTCAACGAGCAAACTCTAGAGGTGAGCTGCTATCCTCGTTCAGCATTGTGGTCCCCTCACTGTTTATAGGTGATCAAAAAGCAAAAGGCTTCTTCACCAGACCGTCCTTTGATCAGAATCTCCTCGACATTCTTTTGGCATCTGTCTTCCGACTACGACCTCGTGCCTATTCCGTTTTTGGAAGAGCGGGCCCGGAGCTTGCGTGCTGAACATTCGAAGGCCGGAAAATCAGATGGTGACGAGAGCGTGTATTCGCCGATGAAGGTTGGCCAACAGGTTGCCCAGTGAGTTGTTATCGGTTCTTCCAAGCAAGGATACCGACTCAGGGGCGTTACAGCGAATTAAAACACATAGCTTTAATGGCATGACCAGTGTTACTACGTTCGTGAAAGAGTGGGCATGTTACAATTGTCTCTTATGGCTGGTAAATCTACACTGCGAGTTCAAGATGTCCTCATCCGTTGTACCATCAGCGCTGACATAACGATTTCGTCAAGACAGTCGTGACCATTTGGCGTAACTTCCAGCCTAGCATGCGCTACAGGTCGACCTGGCCGTCGAGGGAGAGCCGATGGCAAGAAAGTCGCAAGGATATTTGTGATCAACTTTTCTTTACCAGCAAAACACTATCTCTCTGTCAGCGCATGTATTAACCTGTTCAAGGAGCCACTAACCAACAGTTGTGATATCGATTGACCTGAGGATGCCTCCTCCCAGTACATTTCCGTCGTCGATAGGCCCACACGGGTTATTTGTTTCCACAGCCACGACTACTGACCATTCAGCGCTCTGCAATGACCTTTTTTGAAACCATCCATATGTCCTTACCTTTCCTCGGAAGAGCTTGCTGGGCTCTAGCATCTCGCTAATAGGGACTTCGTATCCATGTAGACACATGGTGCCCTGTTTCTTGGAGGTTGTACTCATCCTACACCCAAATTAAATCCTGACCAGCTTTGGCCAAATTTTAGGTAAGATACTCACTCGAAGTCGCCAACTAGCTCTCCTTCCCAACCACCAGTGCGGATTGTTGTAATGTATGACGAGGGAGTGAAACAATTCATATTCACCGTAATATAGTAAGTAGGATGCGATTCCCCAAGATAACCCGGAGGCCCCAAGATCATGCTATTTGCGGGAATGGTTTGCGGTAGGAATGTGTAGGTAATTTGCGTTTTGGGCCGCGCCGGGTGCTTAGCTTCTGTATAGCTTTTTTTGATATTGTCATTTAGGCCCGGGCGCCAATTCCTAGGGAGGGTCGCTTACATTGGAGGGTATATTACCTCGTTTCGGAGGGAGCTCAGGGGCGAGCCTGTGGCCAAGGAGCTTGTAGCGCGAGGTTGCTCCGACCCAATTTGAAGCTCAACTTCTGACAAAAGTAAAGATTGTTTAGAGAGTCCTCTTTAGACGAAGGTTAGTTACCGGCTTGGAGGTAAAGACTAGCACGCACCCTTCGGGCAAGATCATGGCAGGGTGCCGTTAGTAGTGTTTGTCAAGGGGGAGAGCGGCGATTGGGCACGCCAATTTTATTCGATTTCGACCTGGATAGATCTACCCAATCGTGGGGCTGTGTGGCGACTGGGATCATTAGGTTTGCATAGGTTGAAAGCCAGTTGAGGGATGATTGATAGATATCTGGACCGCAGTCATCGGCGTGCAGACAGGTCCTGATTCGGCGAATCTTGTCCAGCTACATACAATGTCCACCAAATGTGCAATAGATCATCTAGGAATATAAGTTGAAGTATATATAAAGGAATAATTCAGACCATTAAACGATGTTGAGATCGATGAGAGAAAGCTCTATATAGCGATAAATTCAGCAGGTCCAGCGCCAAAGGCACGCAGAACACTCTGAAGCTTTGTGATCATCTCTTCCCATTCCGCCTCAGAGTCGGAAAGCGCAGTGATAGCACCGCCAGCTCCTATTGCCCATTCTTCATGGAAACCCATTGTATGGTCCCGTTGTTGCTCAACTGATTGTTCTTCCGCGTATTTGAAACAACTGCGGATAGTGACGGACCAATCACCCCCGCCACCGACGCACCAATAACCAAATACTCCAGAATAGATGCTACGCTCCTGGTCCTCAAGAGTCTGGAGGATTTCGACGCTGCGCTTCTTTGGTGCACCGGTCATGCTGCCTGGCGGAAGGCTTTGCTTAAGGACCTGCCATCCAAGTTGATCCACCGAGCCAGAAATGAAGCCCTCATCGTCTTTCAATTTCCCCTCTACGACACTGACAAGTTGCCAGACAGTCTCGTACTCTTCCACAGAGCAGAACTGTCTGACTTTGACATCGTCGCCGACAACGCCATGTAGATCATGCCGAATGAGATCGACGATCATCAAATTCTCCGCGACTTCTTTGGGACTGCCCACCAGTGCTTGCTCTGCCACAGCTCGAGTGATGTGCGGAGCCTTGCGAATGGTCCCTTTGATTGGGCGGAGCTGGCACACAGTTCCAGGAGGTCGGGTGTACGAGAGGAAACGTTCCGGAGACGACGAGAGCAGTGTTGTTGGGTGTAGACGCAGATACGCAGAATGAGGAGCCGGATTGCGCCTGCGTAGACGTTTGTATCGTTCCCAGGAGGTGGATGATGCGCTGGGAAAGCCAGTGGAGGCGATGGAGATTTGAGTCTGCGCTGTCAGGCATAGTTCGTAAGAGTCTCCGGCGAAAAGATGCTCTTTCGCTTGATTGATACGGGATATATAGCGTGTTTTACTGGGAAGTGTGATGCTTGGTTTGCCGACGGGAAGAGGACTGTCATTTGAGGCCTGAACTGGCGGCAGAGCCTGTAACTTGGTGATGGTATCTGAAAACCATTTATCGTCGTTGGGCACAATAGACTGTAGGTAGATCTTGCCCGTCTGAGAATCAATTACCACGCTCCTCTCAACGAAAACGAGGTTGACATCAGGATGTTTGTTATCGGAAAACCCTTTCTCCGCCCTATCCAGCTGAACGTGCAGCGTCTGAACGCCAAGCTCATAGCTCAGAGAACCAATGAAACCGCCCCAAAAGGGAAGTTCAGGATTTCCATCAGCGATTGCCCTCGACCGCATAAATATTGCAAGCCAGGTCCATATATCTTGCGAGTGGAGTGCTTCATGGAAAGTGCGCCCATCCTTCGTCAGAGACACGGTTGTGTCGCCGACACGGTATTTGACATGCAGAGTGGAGGAAGAAAGACATCCAACGATAGAAAATCGACCTGGTTTCGCAGCTGATTCCAGGAGGACAAATCGCGAAGCTTCCTGTGAAGCACCAAATGCTTCGCAGATGTCGACAACTGTGAGGTCCGAATGGTCGAGGACGAGGGTAGCGACTCCCGGATGCTTTCTCGATGTCGGAGCCGGTGACGAGAAGGCGACTTGAGGCCAGGGTCTGCCAAAAGTATCGGATAGTGCTGCGCTCCAGGGAGCTGGACGCCTCCCTACACGTGTGGACCATGATTGTGCTAGACGCCAAAAGTTGCTCACAACCCGTAGACCTCCGCCCTCGGTGCAAACCGACTCCGGATGGTATTGAACCGCCCAAAATGGTGACGACTTGTGGTGCACGGCCATGACAACCTTGCCATTTTCATCGTCTTCTGTCCAAGCCAATTCCTCCACATCTTCGTTATTCTTCAGCTCGACATGGAGAGAATGATACCGGACGGCATGTATAGGGCCGACGTCGCGAAATAGGTCCGTGCCGTGATGGTGAATATGGGACAGCTGTCCATGTTTGACGGTGTTCAGTCTTTTCAAGACGGCACCATGTTCGATCGCCAAACTCTGGAGTCCAAGACAGACACCAAAAACTGGGATAACATCCTCATCCTTCAACTTCCACAAGTCTTTGACAACTCCGATGTCTTCTGGATTATCTGGAGAGCCTGGCCCTGGGCCTACAATGACGGCGGAGAAGTACGGGAGATACGCTCGCAATTCGGAAATGTTGTATTCGTCGTTTTTGATGATTGTGAGGACACAATTAGGTATAGCCTGTCGGAATAGAGAAGCGAGACTAGAGGCGAATCGGTGAGAAGTCTTTAAGGTTGCATGTAATGACTCACTTATGAGTAAAGGAATCGTAAGAATCAATGAGAAGGAGCCTTGGGTGTTCGATTGTCATGTCGATATTGTACGTTCTCTAACATATGAGAAGAATATGATCTGAGAATTGCGACGAGAACAATGGCCGGAATGGCGCAGATGAGGGTAAAAGTATGGACAACCTACCCGATGATAAGATCGGAAAAAGAAGAGAGACGACTTTTTCCCCCTGAAATTGTCATGCACCTATGTCGGATCTCCGAACTAGGACTTGGCAATAGAACATCCGCTTTTCGAAGCGGTATACATGGCGTGCATTCCTGCGCTTCGCTGGAGGAGCTCGATCATGAAAAGAAGGCTGACGTTCGCAGTTGAGGACGAGGGGGGATAATATGAGCCTTGGTGCATCACGTGAGCTATATAGCACTGAGTAAGCGCGTTTGATCTCTTTGCAAGCTCGATGACCGCACTCTTCTACGTCTACGACAACGATTTGCCTTGAAGCCGAAGACTTGGCCTCCTCTTGATGCGCAAACGTTTTTCTCACTCTCCCCTCGATGCAGACGACCGCGACTGACAATCAGGATACCAGCAATGTCCAGACGTACTTCAAGAAGGTGCATGACCTCTGTTCTTCGCAATGACAATTCCTCATTCTCGATTCAAGCTGAAACTTGTATGTGTCCCATTGATGGGCGCGTCAAAATTAACCACTGGTTCTACTCTAACCACAACAACGCTACTCAGCCAGCTTGTTGGACTCTTAAATGAAATTCCACCAGAACATCTAACGTCTAATCTCATTTCCTACGTGTCCCAGCCACTATTGGTAATGCTTCAGCGCAACTCATCAACTGAAATGTCAGACCAAATTCTGGAGAAAATCCTACTTGCTCTGAGGTCCCTGGTGGAATCCTGGTGGTGGTCGTGCGAGATCAACGTTTGGGAACAGATCTTCAGACTTTGTGGCGCCATACTTGGAGGAATAGGCGGGAATGCGAAAGGCAAAGGCAAGACTCGGGATGATGAAACAAAAGAGGCCGCAGCCTCATGCCTTCATACGCTCATCCGACCCCGAACACCTGAGGAGGCTGTCAAATGGTCTCTAGACTCCAATGAAGCCCAGAATCGCCTCTGTGAACTTCAAGAGCGTACGCGAAAGAATCCTGGGTCTGTACCAATCATCGGCCAGACTCTCGAGTCTGCACTTGATTGCGCAACCTCTCGCCACCTTCCATTGCAGCGCGTTTCTTTGGAAATTATCGGCCTCTTGATCGATTTATATTTTCCTGATCAACTCATTCCATCTGTGCTCCCAGGTGTCGCTAGTACCATGACAAAGATTTGTCTTGGGACGCATCAAGGCAAAGGCTGGGCCAATGGAGAAATCGTGAGTCGAGGACTCCATGCGATGCAAGTCACCATAGTCAAGGCCATAGGGGACGAAGTCTGCACCAAGCATGGGGCACTACGGCCACTCCGCGATCTAGACGACCTCATGAAAGTAGACGAGACTATCGAAAACGCGGAACCCAATAATGAATCGTCCTACAGCACTCGGCGGACCGAGTCATGGCTGCGCGGAACAGCTACACAACTCCATATCGCAGTCAACACCCTTACCCCTCTTCTATCGCATCCCACTCCCTCTGCACTAAATTCACTATGCACGTTTTCAGCGACTTTAATACGTTCTACACCGTTGACCCTGCCTCACACGCAGCCCCTCCTATTGGCATTTCTTCTGTCGCTTTCACTGTCTGACTATCCATCCGTGTCGTCCAATGCACGCCAGTTGTTAACTAATCTCCTCGACAGACCTTCCAATGCGAAGATTCCTCTACAACAAACGCTAATGCAGCAACTAGGCAATAATTTGTCAGCTCTTCCACGCTTGCTTTCGACACAGGCCGAATCGCGAGTCTCACACGTTGCAGGGCTCGTTGAGGCTATCTGTCGTCTTGCTTCAGATCATGGGCTCCATTCATCTCTCTCAACAGTCGCAAAGGGAGTGGGCAAATTACTCGGTCCTACAGGCGGGATCGAGAAGTGGGGTTTGGGTTTACTGACCGTTTTAGAAATCGTGGAGCCGCAAGTGGTTATAATGCAAACGTCTGCCGCGCAGTTGGCGCTGGAAGGCAATCCCGAAAATCCTCAATTAGCCAGCTTCCCGGAGCTAGTGTTCAAAAACATTTCATCCCACGAAACTCGAGATGCATTGGAGAACATGTTTCTTGCCCTCGGGGCCACAGGGGGCGATTCCGCTCTTTTTGCGGTGGAATGGTTTCTACGTTTAGGCTGTTCAGGCACCAGTTCGACATCCGTTGCAGCCCTTTGGTGCGCGTGCCGGTTACTGGAGGGCATCGCCCATATCTCCATGCACCAGGGGGACACAGGCGCCGTACCAGTTGTTCGACCGTCGAAACGGCTGGAAAAACAAGTGCGGACTTTCGCCAGAGCTGTATCAGAAATATGGGATCAATTGGATCCTGTGGCCATGGCGAACAACGACGCCACCAGTGGTATAAACGATGACTCTTTACTGGTGCAACATCAAACCGGCATCGTCCCCTTGCACGAGACGTTGAAGATAACACATTCAACACGTCCCAAGGTCGTGGTCAAGACCTCTCAACCAGTCGTTCACAAGGCGCTCTGCCTTCACCTCATTGCCATCACCGCGGGCGTCATGCAAGATCGTTTTAACCCTCTGTTTATCCATTCGTTGTATCCTATCCTCCGCTCTCTCGTGTCACCGTTGCCTTTCTTGGCTTCTACCGCACTTGCAACTCTCAATTTCGTCATCATTTCCACGTCCTACGCTTCACCCGGCAATCTCCTCCTATCGAATTTCGACTACATCCTCGACTCTGTTTCGCGGAGATTGACACAACGTTGGCTTGATATAGATGCAACCAAAGTTCTAGGTATTATGGTTCGTCTTGTTGGTGCCGACATAGTGGAGAAGGCAGGAGACGTCGTCGAAGAATGTTTCGATAGACTCGACGAGTTTCATGGCTATGCTGTGGTTGTTGACGGTCTCATCGAAGTCATAATTGAAGTCATCAAGGTCGTCGAACGCGAAGCGAGGGCAAATCCTCCGCCAAAGTCAAATGCATTTGCGATGCCAAGCACTGCTGTGAAAGTTAATCTGGATGATTTCTTTTCTTTTCTTCCTCAGCGGATGAATGACCCTCTCCTAGAAACGGACAAGACCGACTACGGCCCAGCCCCCAGAGAGCCCTGGGAAAAGAAAGATCAGACAGAAGACGAAATTGACGACACCATCGGTGCCACGAAGACAGCCCCTGTATCCAGCCATGAATCCCCTCCCACGCCACTACAAGTTTTGACCAAGCAAATGGTTACTCGATCCATCTACTTCCTGACTCATGATTCGCCAGTCATTCGAGCTCGGATCTTGACTCTACTCACTCTCGCGGTTCCCGTCTTAGCTGAATCCTCTCTTCTTCCATCCATCCATTCTGCCTGGCCATTTATCCTTAACCGCCTGGACGATACGGAAACGTTTGTCATCAGCGCCGCCGCCGGTTTGATCGAAGCCCTCTCCAGAGATGTCGGAGACTTCATGTTCCGTAGGATTTGGGATGATGTATGGCCGAGATTTCGCTCTATATTATGGACTTTGGAGCAGGGCGAAAGCGCTGATGCACTTACTCGTCGCAGCAAAACGAAAGTTGGCACTGACTCAGCTTATACTCATACGCACCGCCTATATCGAAGCCTAATCAAGACCATGACCACGGCTCTCAAAGGTGTTCATATCCATGAAGTTTCCTTCTGGGAGGTGATTGTATTGTTTCGGCGCTTCTTGAGTCTCCACGCACACGAAGAGCTACAGCATTGCGCATTGCACCTTTATGAGGAGGCAACGAAGAGTAATCCTGATGCAGTGTGGTTACTCTTAACTTCAACAGTGAAGGAGATTGGCTCTGTTATCAGCTTTCTTCAGAAAGAAAGCTGGGACCTTGGCAAAAATGCGAGCACACTTTTGAACTCCGTAGAATAGGAATAAGTACATACTTGCATTACTATGTAATGGTATCACGATCAGATTCAGGTTCAGACTTTATAGAAACAACGCCTTCGTCCTCGGCGGGCAGCAACCGGAATCGGCTGTTCGGGTCATATCTACGAAGCTGGACACCTGTCTCTTTGAAAAGGGCAGCTGAGGCGTCATCTCTCCGGGACGGTCAGTGCTCCATCCGGGGCAGTTAGATAGAGGCTTACACTTTGTATGTTAGATTGTATACGACCGTTTTGACCCCTGTTTGTATGATCTTGATGGTGCATTTGAGGCAGGGGCAGCTAAATTTCAGGGCATGAATTCTTTCGAAAAGGGACCGAGGATGGTACGCACGTATTACAATACAGAACACAGTCATCACCAACCCTCTCACGTCCAGCTTCGAGCAAAGCATTCTCTTCCGCATGCAGGCAAACACATTCAAAAGGTATAATACGAGAGTTGCTCGCGGAATTGCAATGCAAACAGCCACCTTCATTGCAGTTGGTAAGCCCACGAGGAGTCCCATTATATCTGCCAAATCTGAATCAATCAACGGCAGCAAAGCAGCTGCAACTCGTACCCAGTGGCAAGGACTCGATTTCCCCTTACCAATATGGCTCCTACTCTCCTCTTCATACAATTTGAACGACGAGACGCCAAAGATGCCAAAGTCTGGAGGAAGCATGTTAAACAGTCTCATAAGTCATGACATTACCACCATATACTCGCCATGAAATAGGCGTCCCAGCTGGGCCGTAGATGTTCAGGATGCAATAGATCGAGACCGTCAAGGTATGCATGAAGGTCTAATAGAGTTGTGAAAGAGTTCTCCACTTGAATATTTACGAGATCCGCTAGATTTTGCAAGGCGGCTTGTCTGGACGTTGGGATCTGGCGAACGCCAAATACAAGTCGATCATCCTCTTCGACGAAATCTGTCAAAGTCATGTTCATGGACCTGGACCAGCCGCATTCAGCCAGATACCTTGATTTAAAGATAGAATAGTGACCTCCTAGAGCGAGCATATCGTTCCAGCAGTGGGGCGTCGACACGGAGGAGGAGAAAGAACGGTCGCCGAATGAAAGGCTCTATGATATCTCTTGTGTTGAGGTCGGTTGTCACAAAATGTTGTCTCCAGTTTTCCGTGACAAAGATCAACAGTTCTTCTGTGCTCGAGAAGCACCGAGTTTGTTGTTGGCGTGAGTAAGAAGATGTCGAAGTAGGAGCAGGTGAAGGAAGTGGGCTCATAGATAAAAACGATAGATGTTTTGACGGTACATCTGTCTCTGGCTTCAACGATAAGCGGAGACTTGATGGTATTCCACGCAGTAAACCGTTCGTCGTTTTGAGCGCCTAACAAGGTTGATACCAGATATGTATTCGATTGTACTATGAACGCACCTCAAACCTCTCCTCTGACCCTCCGATGTTGATATCCATGTCGGACTGGACAATGCGAACGGAGGTGAATCCCTTGCATGATACCAGATAGTTCTCAATAACCGACTTTCCTGAGAAGCGCGTCCCGACGATGGCGACAAACATGATGATTGGGTTCAAATTCACAAGGTGTTGATGTGACGTCAGTCTTGTGATATGTGACAATACGCGAATACAATATGCGAATACTCTACTGCTCTGCATACTTAGAGCATGCCGAGACACCAGAACCTCAGATTTCTCCAATGAGTAAGGAATGGGAGATTAATGGCTGCGTCATTTCAACAAATGCTCTCTATTTTTCAGTTTTGCCCTCTCTCTCCCCTGATTTCGCAGTTCCTTGGAGACTTTCATATCTTTAGGAGCCGTAGTACGAAGTTGTTTGACATGAGTTGCAAAAAGACTTCGAGAAGGGTCTGCCCTGGAGAGCCATTGCGCAGAGAGAACAGGAATCCGATCCAGCAGCGGCAGTAGACCGTCTTGTTCAGGGTAATTGGTCTAGAAAACATTTATCCATGCAACAATGAATTTCTGGCGAGTAACTACTTACACTGATTGCCAGAACAGCCGCCCGACGGATTCCCAAAGTCTGCGCAAGGGTGGACTCCGAGCCCTTCGGAAGGGGAACTATTTTGATAGGTTTGCTTGGACAATTCGAATTGAATGCCGCCACAAGATGAGGTAGATGATCGATGAGCAAGGGTGGGTCCACATCGGCTCGACAAACGAAGACGTATTTTAAGCGCGTTAAATTCTTAGAAGCCTGTTCTTGGACACTGAAGATCACCGGGCGATGGGCATTCTGGACCTGAATCTCGAGGACTTTCGTGACTGCATTAATGCCATATACTAGATGATGCAAGAGAAGTGGTGGTTCTGGAACTTTCTTGGTCAGTGAAACATCGTCTACAGTTTCGCACAAGTCCAAATCGGGGTTGGTTGCGGTTTGAGGCGTAGCATTAGACTCGCTGTCCACAGGTACCATGGTCTCGTCAACTGCAATTTTGCGTCTCTTCTCTTGCGGAGGGGAAACTTCAGAGATTTTTGAAGCCCGTTTCCGTTTACGGTTCAGTGAGGAACGTTGGTCAAAGTAATTGGAGGCACCATCTAGAAGCTGAATTATTGACGCCAAGATAGAGTTTTGGAGGTTTAAGGGGACGGAGGGCCTGCGAGCGTTGAAAGTCCATTGCCATCTCGAGGAAGAGGGACACACCATTGAATACGGAGGGGACTATCTAGCACACCTTTGAAGACCGCTTTCTTCTCTTTAGCATCCTTCGGTCTCGCGCGATTGGAAGGTTGAGTGTGTATTCGAGCTTGTTGGTCGGCCATTGGGGTGGGAAGGCTGATGAAGGTGAGAATGAAGTTCAAAGCTATTACATAATGCGTTCAATTCGACCCCTGCTCTTACCCAACGATAGCCCAAATTACCCAGAGTGACTCAACAAAATCTAGGATGAATCTTGTCCGACAAGGCACTATTTTAGGGTCTGGCTCTGCTCAAGGGGCAGATACGGATTTCGGCACTGTTCTCGGGGATGCTCATTCTCGCCTTAAATCTGGAGCCAAGCTGCAACAGTCACAAAAATGTGGAACCACCAAAGCTATAAATCTGGAGCGCGCTTCTCCTAGGTCTCGTGTAGACGTCGATATTCTGTTGGAAAGTGATGTCTGCGTAGAAGGCGGGCAGCTTACAGGTCGACTCAAAATTCGTGTCAGAAAGCAGGCGAAGGGAAGGGATCCCGTTATGCTATCGGAAGGCAAGGTACGAATTATCGGCTTCGAAAGCACCATGAACGCGCAAGAGCGCAGTATCTTCTACGAACGTTCTGCACCTCTGGGACAGGTGTCTTCCGGATTGACAAAGCTTTACACCTCTGAGTTCGACGACGAAGGCTTTGCCCAGACTTCCGAAGGTGTCTACACGTTCCCTCTTGCGGTTTATCTTTGTCCGGTCTCCGAACGAGGAGCACCCAAAGGTAACATCTCTGTTCACCCCGGCGTTGCTGTTCGTTATATTGCCATGGTGTCAGCTTGAATTCAACTCTTCCTGCAACTCACACTGATGCTCTGGAAACTACGACAGCTCTCTCAGAATTAAAGACCCCCTTACAGGCAGCAAAGCCGTCACACACTTCTATCGCGACTGTAGCATCTGGCCTAGACTCAATCCTTCGGTTGTCCTCGCTCCTCTGCTCCAACCTCTTCAGGCGACAGCCTCAGAAAGCGGCGGGGACAAGGTTCAACTGACGGCTTCTTTACACAGATCATACTGGGTCGCCGGTCAGCTCTGTCATGTTCGTATCAGGGTGGTGAACAATTCTAAGAAAGTGTTGAAGAGTGTTGTTCTTGAGCTTTTCCGGTCCACAACTATCTTTAGACGCGAGCGACCAGCCAGTGGTCCGGAAGAAATAATGAGCGTTTCTCCAGCATCTACGACTACGAAGAAAATAGCTGAAGCCTCGATAGTTATGGGAGATCGAGCTACTCGAGGGCACGCAAGTGCAAAGGGATGGTGGACTGGTGTTGCGCCTGGTGAAATGCAGGTCTTCATGCATTCGATCTTGATACCAGTGGGTGCTCAGAATTACCATTCGTGCCAGTTTCAACATTTCCCTCAGCCAGATGCAGTGTCGATTTCGCGTGGTCAGCTCTTGGAGATCTCGTACGCAATACAAGTTGTCCTCAGTACGAACGCAATTTTCTCAACGGATGTCCACGTATCGTTACCCATTCGGATCATCAATTTCATCTCCATCGACCCTCCTCCAATCTCGCCAGCCTCCCTAGGTGCTACGAAAAGCGTTGTAGAAGACGAATACGACCAGCGCTGCGAATACTTCGAGCCTGAATCAGAGGACGAACAGTATGACGGCTATGAAGAGCTCGGAAATCTCCCCATTCTGGACGATGACGATGAGGTCGTTCAACATGCGGTCAGCTCTCTTATGAACGGCACAGCTCATCATAAAGATCCTTCGCGTGGCTCGGAGATGTATTATGCGGCGTTGCAGGAGGACCTCGATCGTGCCGTGGAGGACTTCGACAGGAAGCAAAGGGGAGAACGGCAAGAATACGAAAACGCTTCTGCAG